TTGGCATTCTGAATTTAGGATTGCTCTTGGGAAATGCAGTTTATTAAATCATAAATGTAGGTAGATATTTTCAAATGCCAATAGAAATTCAACATTGAAATATGCAAAAGTTATTGTATACGATTGTATTTATATATCGATTAACTAAGTGATTATTAATTACTATATTGTAAGCACATTTTCTGAGATGGAAAACCATTTTTGAATGTCCACAAATAATGGTTAATCGATGCTGTATATATAAAATATATATTTAAAAATTACTTATAATCCTATTTCTTAATCTCACCTAATTCCCCACTCAAAACTATTTTCCCCAATTAAAATTCGTAACCTTTAAATAGCTAAAACCATTCCCTGAGGTTAACCGGAATGAATTAACCAGAGCAGACCCGTCTAATGTGCATAATTGATATACACATATAACCAGAGTGGAGGAGACATATGGAGGATTAAAAATGCACAGATCTGAGCCGAAAAGCCACATTGTCGTTGTCTCGTCTCATCATCTTGGGAGGAACTCATCTATTAGTTGGTGTGTGTTAGCCATTTCCTCGGCCATTTACCCCTGTTGCATAATTAATGGTATTAAAAGCGTTAACTGACAGTCAACACACTCACGCACGCCCACACACACATGCCAAAATAGTTGGCATAATTCGGGGCATTTCAATGAGGTCGATAATTTGATGGTTCAGTGGAGGTCGCCCTCGTTATTCCCCCCGAAAAGGCCCTCAGATACATTTGTATCTTTCAGCTACTTTTATCGTCGTCTGATATCTAACCTCGATACGCTGCGAGTGTGTGTGTGTTTCTGTGTGTGTATGAAAATAATCAGTTTAGAGATGAAGAAATCCCAAGAACAACAAGCTGCTCTCTGGCTTCCCCCCACTGAAACAAGCAAATACAAAAAAAAAACGACAACATTCGGAAGGTATTTCCCCGGTCCCAGCGGCATGACTTTCGGTCCCAAAGCAACCCCACAAAAAAAAAAAATATACACAAAAACAGAACACAGAAAGCCAAAGAGATTCATTCACCCAAAAATGAACTTGGGATTCTCGAGTAAAAAGCTCACTCGTATCCCTAAGAAACACTCAAAGTGTCTTCACTCACTTTCGCTCTCTCTGAGAGAAAGCCAAGCGAAAGTGTTTTCAACAAGTTCTCTTCCGGCCAAAAGGATAAACGTATCTGCAGACAAGCGGCACGCCAAACAAGCAGCAAAATGCACTGTTAAAAATTTAAAATTAAAACCTTTTCTATATGTTTTAGAAAGATAATAAATGAGAACATTTTAAAGAAGCTTTGAGGTATGAAAAGTCGTATTTTTAAAGGATTTTTATCTTGAAAATTCATATATATTCTCTAGAAAAATATCAAAGCTAAAAAACTCCTTAAATTAAACCCAAATAAACTCTCCAGAACTACAAATATTTCCCCCAGTGCAGCCACTGAAGACATATCCTGCAACTTCACCCCCTGCGAAAGTCTATTATAATACAAAGGAACCCAAAAAAAAAAAGAAAGCTATGAACTTCAGATATGGCAGGGTGGATAAGTGGGAATCGCAGTCGGAATCCATGGAATCCTTGGGCTGCCAAGCGTGGAGCGTTAAGCCGAGAAGGAGCATAAATAAATAAAGCCCAAGTAGCAACAATAGAAGGCGGCAAAATGGTGACTTCATCCTTGTCGACGGCCATGTTTTTGTGAAGCTCTCTCTGTCTCTCTACGACTCTCTGTCTCCCTGTCTCTTCTGTTGTATTTCCTTTTTTCTATGCCAAAAGGCATAGAAATGGAGCGAAAGTAAGTTTTCGCATTATTTTAGGCCTCTTCTCCACTTCCATAGACCCCGGCACTCGTTGTCATTGCCCCATAGTCATTGGGTTTATGCGACAATAAAGTTGAAAATTTTGAATATTATCGTTAGTGAAAAATTAGAGACAAGTTGGTGGGGGTGTGTGCATACCTCTCTTACCTTCTGGGTGTCCTGTTTGCGGCGTGCGCCAAAAACGCTCTCGGCTCCTCACGGCTGTTCACGCCATCTCCAGATAAAATCAGCGGAAAATGGTACGCCGGAGGTGGCAAAGGAGCCTGTGTCGAGCCTGGGCAAAGCGATTTATGTCCTTGCCAAATTCATCATTAAATTTGTGTGTTGTTTTGCGATGCAAAGATAATGCCACAATTTGTTGTTCGCGCGATGTTGCTGCTGCTTGGCAAATTCACAGTTAATCGCTTGCCTCCTCGGAAAACCATAAACCAGGAAAAAGTTTTTGACGCTTTTTTTAGATAAAGATATTCTGGGAATTTATTTCAATTTTCTGTGACTGCGATGAGCGTGGGATAAAGGACGGGGCTGAGGTTAAGGTTAAGGTTAGGGTTTAGATTTAGGTTTAGGAGTTATGGCAGAACAGGCTAGGTGAGGACATTTTAGAAGATAAGAAGTTTTTGAATTACTGGGTAGAGTTTCTTTAAGTTTAAAATAAGTTTAAGGATATTTAGGAAAGGGTTTTTAAAATATGTACAAAGAAAGTAAAGTATTTTAATATCTTAACCCAAATCACAGCCTTTTTCCATGCTTTTATTTAATTTTTCTCACTACAACTTTGAAAGGATGTAGGATACGAATGGAGTTACAAGGGAAGTTCAATATTATTTTTATAAAAACAATTCATCACCATAAAATCTTAACATTTCCTTAGCTTTCCGGTAATTTTTTACCACTAAAATCTAGAAAAATCAATCAAGCTTCGATTTGAAGGACTTAAAAAACCGATATTTCCTTCCAATCAAAGGCCCCTCCAAAGGGGAGTCTCTCGGCCAGCTCCTGCTACCAAATATGAATGACCAATTATGCACTTCGTTGGCGCTACGTGCCTGAGCTGCCAATGGAGTCCGCGGGCGAATCTGTGTGCCTTCGGGGAAATTCTCGGGAAATGTCTTCTCCCCGTCAAGGTGGTGGCCCCAGTGTCATGTGCTAGCGCATTTGATGATGCGTAGCTTTTCATTAAATGAAAATTTTCGCGTTGCTGGCACAAACAAAAAGGACAAAGCAAAGGCCAAAACAGAGTAAACTTTGTTGCGAAGGAGAGGAGAAAGAATGGGAATTGGAGAATTGCAGGAGAAAGGGCGTTTAAGATGGGAGACACTTTGATTTATTGGCAGGACGCGACTGGAATTTTTAATTGCCGAAAAAATACAAGAGGAGGCAAAACGAAAAAACAGCGGAAAAATCCTTGTGGCGGCTGAAGAAATTGAATTGGTAAAGAGATTTTCGAGGCTATTCAAACTGCAACAGGATAAAGATGCAGAAGAAGACATCGTCTTAGACATATGCAAATGTCCATGTCCCGAAGGGGAGACCCTGGGAATTTATGCGTCCTGTGACAGGATATTTTGAAAACATTGTAATTCAAGCAAGGCGAGGGCGAGGACGAAGGCTGCCTGCTTCCGAGAAGTCAATTAGCTGCCCATAAAAATCGAACCTAGGCTCTGTAATGGAGCATCCCGAATGTGATGACATCCCTTGTATATCCTCGTGTTTCCCGGGGATGAAGTCATCGCCCGAGCAAGTGGAATGATCCTCTCAATAGCCACTCGATACGTATTCAAATTTCAGAGCTGCAGTTGCATCTGTGAGCTGCGTGTGTAATACGATACAGTATCTGACAGATACACGGCTCGGCTCACGCCTCACGGCTCTCTTGGGATGGTTTGTGTTAATGATGACGATGATGATGATGCCGCTGGTGTAATGGACGCACATCTGGTTCCATTGCCAGGTCCCAGGCATAGTTCCCGATAAGCGCCATGCGCAAAATAAAAATAAAAGCGTGCTTATTTATTTTCGTATACTTTTTGTATATGTTTTGTATATGTTTCTCTGGTTCATTATAAAGTTTGGGGCGCCATTCGCATATCAGTTTTAATTGAATTTTTTCGCTTTTTTCGAGCCTGTCAGTCTCTTATCGCCGCTAAACTGTGATTTATGACTTCATTTTTCAAGATAAACTTTAAAGAAATTGCCTACAAGTTTTCTGAATAAGTAATTAAATAAATTTTGCGACATGGACATATGCAGAGGCCGTCGCCCGCTGTTTGGCCAGAGATCAACCCTCCTCCTCCTCTTCGTACGGCTCCTGCTAATTTGTCCAATTTGTCGAGTGAGAAAAGCAACAAAAAACTATATATGTAAGGATGAACCCCCTGCTGTTTGGAAGGGAAAATATTATTTGTGCAAATAAAAAAAAAAGGGGGCCGGTATCATGTCGCCGGCGGATGCATAAAAGTATTTTCAGCATTTAAATGCAACGCACACGGGTGTCAATTTCCATTGGCACTCTAGCATCCTGGCCGCAGGACATTCGCCGTCTGTCACCCCACTTATCGGCCTGTGGCCCCGGGGCCAAACATCTGCCCAGAAAACTGGGAATAACGAATGAAAAGAGAGCAAGTGGCAGGCAGCTAAAAGGCGTCGCAACCCATCATTAGCTACTCGTAAAGTCGTCATTGGTTATCGTTGGAGGTCTGAAAGCCTTCCTAAAGAGTCTTAATTGAAGGCTTTATGAATGGTTTTTATGCCCAACTTATGGATAATTGCCTGCACAAAGCCAAACGTCAGGGATTTTTGTATACACTGGGTTTGGGAAGTGTCAGAAATGGCAGGTCTTCAAATTACACTTAGTAATGGGGAGAAGGAAAAAAGAGTTCTAAAATAAAAATTAAAATTAATAACTCAAAAATATAGTTTAAAATTGTTTAAATATTTTATAGAAACCCTGTAAATATGCCTAAACAGGAGTCTTGAAGAGAAAACATAAATTTTTACTGGTTTCTTTAGAGACTTCATAACCTTAAGACTTTCCTAACTCCCAAGGATTCTTTTTCAGGCTCACAGAAATAACATTGATCTTATAAAAACCCTTCTGTTTTCTCTGTTAATTAAACTTTATAGTTAAATTTTACAACCCATCGATTAACTCCAATCAATTCCTCTCTTCCAGCTTCTTCCTCAAGTTCTTTTTGAAATGCAATCAAAATTGTTTGAAGAATGCCGGCAACCCGCGGGATATGCGCAGATTTCAGGTGAGTAAACGCAGCCCAGGCCAGGCTTTAGAATACCAATTAATATATCATTATTATCCACTCTAATCTCAGGTGGTGATCTCCACACAGGTGGCCGTTGATGGACCACTGCTGGCCATCTCCGACAACATGTTCGTGCACAACAATTCGAAGCACGGACGGAGGGCCAAGCGACTGGACACCACGGAAGGTACAGGCAACACATCCCTGTCCATTTCCGGTCACCCCCTAGCGCCCGACAGTACCTACGATGGTCCGTAGCAAAATTCCAATTATTCCGACCACACACATTTTATTCGTTTTACGTAGCTCCCAAAGATCCCCCAAAAACTATCCCCCCAAGAAATTTCCCACTTTTCATTTTGTTATGTAGCAATTGGCAGATCCGAAACGAGTTCATCCTCGCCAAAGTTTATAAACCAACTAACCAAAACCTTCTCTGGGATCTCTTGTTTCAAGGTCTCTATCCCCCGCTGCCTGTGGCCACGCCCTGCATCAAGGCGATCTCACCCAGCGAGGGCTGGACAACTGGCGGTGCCACCGTGATTATTGTGGGCGATAACTTCTTCGATGGCCTCCAGGTGGTCTTTGGCACTATGCTGGTCTGGAGCGAGCTGATCACCTCACATGCAATCCGGGTGCAGACGCCACCGCGGCATATTCCTGGAGTGGTAGAGGTGACGCTATCCTACAAGAGCAAGCAATTCTGCAAGGGATCGCCCGGTCGCTTCGTCTATGTCTGTAAGTGGTCGCAGCTTGGAATAGCTCCTAAACCTTTACACCAAGTCTAACCTGTATTTTGTTTTGCGTTCCAAGCAGCTCTCAACGAACCCACAATCGACTATGGTTTCCAGCGCCTGCAGAAGCTGATACCCCGGCATCCTGGTGATCCCGAGAAGCTGCAAAAGGAGATAATCCTCAAGCGAGCAGCCGACCTGGTCGAGGCGCTGTATTCCATGCCCAGGTAAGCGCAGCTCTGTTAAGTTATGCTCCTCAGAAAGCTAATACGCAACCCGTGTTGCAGCAGATCCCCGGGCGGCTCTACAGGCTTCAACTCCTATGCCGGCCAGCTGGCGGTCAGTGTGCAGGATGGCACTGGCCAATGGACCGAGGATGATTACCAGCGGGCCCAGTCGAGCAGTGTGAGTCCGAGAGGTGGTTACTGCAGCAGTGCCTCTACGCCGCATAGCTCGGGAGGATCCTATGGAGCCACGGCGGCTAGTGCAGCCGTAGCAGCAACTGCCAATGGTTATGCACCTGCACCCAACATGGGCACGTTGTCCTCCTCGCCCGGCAGCGTCTTCAACTCCACGTCAAGTAAGTTATGATCCCTAGATCTAAGTTTTCACTCTATAAAGGTGAAGGGAAGAACCCATTGATTTTGGAATAATAACCACTGTTCCATCATCTCTCGATTAAGGATTCATTTTCCCTACTTTTTCTACTTGAGTTGAGTTTACCTTTCGTTCTGTAAAACTCTCACATGAATACCGCCCCCACATAACTCTCTGGTCACCTCCATAAACCCCATTCCCGAGAATTTTTCTCCTCACCCGAAACAAAGTGAACAAAGTATGCTCAGCAAGTGCATTTTCGCCATTAATTCCAACAGTGTCCGCCGTGTCGTCGACGTGGCATCAGGCGCTCGTGCAGCATCATCATGCAGCGGCCGCCCATCCGCACCATCACTACCCGCATCCCCACCAGCCCTGGCACAATCCGGCCGTGTCAGCAGCCACGGCGGCGGCCGTTTAAGCCATATATACCAGGAGAGTTCAATGGAAGGAGAGCAGAGCCAGGACCTGCGAGGAAATTAAATGCTGCCCATGTCCAACCCCAAGAAAATAAAGAAAAATCGACACGCCAGCCACCCACGCAGAGAGAGAGGGAGATAGCCAGACAGAGACAATCTATCAATCGGCAAGGACATGGCCAAAAGGGGTGGCAAATAACAAATCTGAGCACTCTAAAAACACACATCCACCTTCAACAGACACCACAGACAACACACGATTAACGGTATTTATAATTTCCATTATCCCTAAGAAAGTAAAATTAAGAAAGATCCTTTTCCCCTTAGTTCTACCTCCCGGAAAGCGTATTATTTGTGTAGATTTTTGTGTAGGAAACTCCCCCTTTAAATTCCCTTTACCTGTAAGAGTATTACAAATGTATTTTTAATATTAACCCTTTTTAATATTATATTTTTAGGGGTCAGCAGCCTGAGTTTCAATCCCTTCGCCCTGCCCACCTGCAACACACAGGGCTATAGCACCCAACTGGTGACCTCAACCAAATAATATTACTACTAATGAGGCTATTGGCAGGCCACCAATCCCCTCGCGGACATCCACAAGAAGCTCGACAGTGCAATAAACATGAGGAAATGGTTCCAAAATTCGCAAAAAACATAAAACAAAAAAAAACTCATAAAAAACAAAAACCTATTGATATAATTGTACATTTTTTGATTAAAGCCCGTTTTTAATTTATATTTAAATACGCCTCGGTACTAGATATATACCTAACAAATACATATAGAATACCATATCAAAGTAATTTAAAACATATGAAAGAGGGTCTTTAAAACCCAACAAGAAATCATTTTGTAAATATTTATCCCAAAATATACATAAACTTAATGCTTAATATTAATCGGAACTGTGAATAGAGGAAATTATACCAATTTATATATACCCATGATGATGATTGATCAATTCTAAACAAAAATACGAATACGAATCAAGATATACCAAAACAGATACAATTTGAATGAACTTTTTGGACATAAAACTAACTGCTTGTATACGATACTTTCTTGGATAAATATCGAAAAAAAAGAAGAAATTTAAAGAAAATGGAAGACATATGGGGAATACCCTCGCTCTCTCTGCCAATTGAGAAAACCGAAATCAAAATGTTATATACCTACATAGATATACACCACATTCGCGGTGACATTTGCAGCATATCTAAGCGTAATATTACAATGAAATTTATACCAAAAAAAAAACAAAAAACTTTTGGCAAAAACATATCGTGCACTTAGCCCTAATATCCAACAAGTCCATCTCACGCAATCCCATACTCGTATATATAGTACATCATTTCCACCATTCGAAATTCATATAGAACGGTTCGATTAACACCAAATCATCATAAGATATATACATGTATACATTTTGCTATTCAAGTCAGAGTGTGTTTGATAAACTACCGATTTGTTGACTAGACTCTAAGCCAGGCCCCATATCTGGGGGGTGCATACAAGTACTACACACAAGTAGTCCTAAGTTTATTGTTTATTACTCGATTTGTAGGGGTTTTACTGTAATTTCGTATTCGTATTGTATGATATAAAGCCGTATGCTAGCACCAAAGGCCTTATAGTAACAAGATGGGTAACGGTTGTAGGATTTTTTCAGGATCTCTGGAAGTTTTGTTCTTAAGCATTCTTAATTCTAAATGGTCTTCACTTTGTAGCCAGCGTTATTCATCTTGTTATTATATGGTCTTTGCTTGCACTCCTAGATCTACAAAATAATTGAAATCCCATGCGAGAGACGATAGTGAAGCATATCTATAAGGGCAGCAGCATTAACCGCTAAATCGATTTGTAAATTACAAATACAATAATTTATAATAACAACCATCTAGCAAACGCTCTCTGTTTTGTAAATCTTAACAAGTTATTTAAATAAAATTTATTTAAAATAAACGTCTTACACCATGAATGCTTTTGGTTATTACTATGTGGTACAGTTTATTTTATTTCGTGTCTGGGGCTAAGATAAAGATAATGAAAAATTGAAAATATATGTGTAATGCCATATTAGTCGTAAAAACCGAACGTACAATCGCAATATGTGTTTACATAATTTAACTGAATACACAGGGAAAGTGTATATATGTATAATTATCTTAATTATCGACATCGAGAACATGTCTGGTTGCTCCTGTTCCTTGCTTGGGGGCTTGGGAATCCCCTTACTCGTCCTTGGAAGCCAGTGACTCGCCCTCGCTCTCCTTGAACAGTAGCTCCTGGATCTTCGAGCGCACGTACATCTTCCGATTGATGGACAGATGGCGCATAATGGGCACCAAACTGAGGGCAAAGTAGTAATCGTCGTCCTTTGTTTGCTCCTCGTGGCTCTGCTGGATGATGTAGCTCAGCTGCTCGCTGACGGTGGTCAAGCGGTCGATGGACGTCTCCAGGTTGTTTTTCAGCTGCTTGGCCGGGGAGCTGGCCGAGGAAGAGGCCACCACGGTGGCCACCACTGGTGTGGCACTGGCCCGGCTACCGCCAGCACCGACAACGCTGGCGTTGCCCACCACATGCACCTTCTCGCCCGTCTCCAGGGTCTCATCTTCCATCACATGTATGGGGCTGTAGCACAGCGGATCCTCGCTGTATATGATGTCCTTGATATCGTCGGTGATCTCGTCGTTCTGCTCGTACTCCTCCCACTTTTGCGGCAGGGCCCCGGTCTCGCCCACATACGAACCGGAGACGTCAATCTTCGGCTTGGCCAGGCGCAGGGGCTCGCGCAGCTGCTTGGCCTTGGCTATCCGCACGGTTTTCTCTGAAAGCATATGCGATAGGAGGATATATCAATGGCTGTGCAATAGTGCGGGTGGCGATGTTATTTGCGATACATATTGAAAGACTTCGAATAAATTAAAATAATCATATCGAGAGATGGACGGCGATAGTTTGCCGCGCGGCCAGACGGTCGATAGCTGTACACAAAGCGGGATCGCTGGCGGGCCGCGCGGGATTTGGTGCGCCCTTTACCTTTCTTGATTATCGGGAAGACCCGGTTCGGACGCTGCTGGACGGGACTGACCAGAACCTCGTCGCTGTGCTTGTGACGCAGATGCGTCCACAAATTGGTCGTATTGTTCCCCTTAAGATTGCTGGCCATGCCGCCACGCGATATATTGTTTCCGCAGTAGCGGCATATCGCAAAATTTTCGCACTCCTCGTTGATGTCGTAGTGCTGCCACACATTGCTTACGCGTCCCTTGGGCATTTTTACTTAATTTCTTTTATTTTCTCGGACGCTAAACGGATTTTCCAATTTTCTTTTTTCGTATAATTGAGATATCGGCGTTGTTGCTGTCAGTGCTGGTAAGTACCGCCACTACCAGTGTTGGAAAGCGCAGGGGCATAGGGGTGAAAACAAAGGTAGAAATAAAAAAAAAAATAAAAAATGGACAAATAAAAATAAAAGGAAGCAACGAAATTTATTTATGGAAATATAACAGCAGATAATTGGTTTTTTTATTGGGTTTAATTTGTAATTTGGGTTTCCCCTGGTCCTATTATAAATCAACACTGATTGTGGGGGCACTGGTTTTCCCTGCAAACACTGGCGCACGTCTAACTCGAATTTATATGGATTTTTTCCCGCTCTTCCCAATAACACGGATTACCGTGGACTTATCGCTACGGTGCTATCGCGATGGCAATTGGCGGTGATCCGTGCTCAGTGTCTCCGGGCACGGACACGGAGCGGAGCACGCGTGGCAGTGAGGGGGCGTGCGTGATATTTCGGATCCTGAACTTACCGTTACTCGAGTGGAGGCACCGGTGGCGCAGAAGGCTCCCCGTTCCGGTCTTCCCGCTGTAGGAAAGGAGATCTCCGCAGGTTTTGCAGCATGCATACGGTTCTATTTGGTCGTCGCAGGAGACCAGGTTGAAAAACCTCCAGACGCAGCTCTTTGTGTTCCGGGGCTCCACCAGCTTGCAGCGCTTGTCACCGGACTTAAGCATGCTGCGCAGCTCAGATTTTCTCTCCACGTGCATTGTATTTTATCCCTGGATATTGTTTGATAAACCAAAACAGATCCAAATTATAAAATCCACACAAATACAAACAAATACACGCATGTCACGAAGTTCAGTCACGCACAAAACGGTGTTGGAAAGTGCAGGAAAGCGGCCAGGGCAGGGTGCAAGATAGGCAAGGTGGTGCAGGTGAATAATATTTTTATCTTATAAATTTAATTAAATATTACCCTGAGTGATAAAATTAAAAATTAATGAATTTGTATTCCTAATTCTTGGGCTTCCTTTATAGCACAGATGAAAATGTTTCAAGAAAATCGATTTCAACGAATCGATTACATGCTGTGCACTTCGATAACATGCTGGCACAGTATATACAATCTGTAGAGCACAGTACTCAATTAAATTTAATTTATTTCAATTCTGCAGATTCTAGTTTTCCAGTTCAAAGCGAAATATCGAAAATGACAACCGTTAAGCGCGAAAAAACCCCCTATAGCTACGACTACCTTAAGGCTCTCATTCAAGCCGGAACCCTTCGCTTTAGCAACAAGCGCAGCCGGAGCCGCGTTTGGGATGTTTTCGCCAGGATCGATGATCAAAGCGGTGACCAAATCCCCAACGTCGTGATCTGCCGCACCTGCTCCAGTATTTACAAGTACAAAGGATGCACCTCGAATATGGTGCGGCACAAATGCTACAGAATCCAGGTGCTCGGCGTAAATAAGGATCCCCTTGGCTCCGAGGAGCCCAGAACAGATGTCGCAGAAGAATCCACTGCGGAGGTGGAGGCCACCGATAAGGTCAGCCAGGCAATGGTGGAATGGTGCGTGGTGAACTGTCGTCCCTTCAATATTGGCAAGGATTCGGGACTGCGAAAGCTAGTCTCGGTTCTCTTGGAGGTCGGTTCGGAGTACGGTCGCAATGTCTGTGTGGAGGATCTGCTGCCGAATCATGGTGTAATCGCCTGGAACGTACAGAATTGGTACGATAATGTCCTGCAACAGGTGCACCGCGAGATGTCCGCTGCGCGGCAAACCGGCTATAGTATTGCCATAGCTGAGAGCAGGGACTTAGCGGAGGAAAGCTTCTATCTTTCCACGACTATCCACTACGTGCACGATGGACGGAAGAAGAACCAACTGCTCGGCGTGACCCAGGTGCCCAGGAACAAGTCCTCTACGGGTAAGATTTGGAAATTCTCCTTATAATTTTCTATATTCTCTATATTTATTCAATTTTTGTTGTAGATACTTACATAGTCAAGCTGATCGATGCCAATCTAAAGGGTTTGGATTGTGAGTTGGCTGAAGATGATCCCATTTTTGTGTACGACGAACGTACGACCATTAAGGCGGTATTCGAGGGTCGGAAAACCATTTTTTGCTTCAACACCTTGCTGGACAGAGTCGTAGAGAAGACCTTCCGCGACGTAGCTGAACTAAGGTTGATGTTGAACACGGCCAAGGAGCTAGTTATCCTGGGAGTGCTGCCCACACCCACATCAAAGGGCCTGGTCAGGATCTCGGACATTTTCAAATCCCTGGAAGCCAACTGGAGCATAATCGCAAACGAGGATGAGAAGCTAATGGAGGCTTGCGACATCGCTGGCCTGGCAGCCATCAACAATCTGCTGGGTCAGTTCGAAAAGTGCTGTTCCACGCTGGAGTCCAGCACGGGACCGTCTCTGCATCTGGTCATTCCACATGTACATAGGCTGCGAAAACTGTGCAGCAGCGATTCAAGCCACGCGATAGAGGTGGATCTAAAGCGTTGTCTGCTCGACAACATGGATTGGATTTTAATGCCCTGCATTACCAAGTACCACATGATGGCCCATTTTCTTTTTCCGCCCACCAACAGGCTGCTGCAATGCAGCCAGGTGGAGCGTGAGGAGACCATAGCGAACTGCGAGGAGTTTATGAGGCGGCACAACTCCACGGAGCATTCAAAGCCCCGTCAAGTGGAGGAGGTCCTAATCAAGGGAGAGGGTGATGTGCTTGAACAGCGCGATTTTGAGGCGAACGATGATCTTTTCTCGGACTTTGTGGCCATGGATAGCCAAGAGGACAAGATCACGAAAGAAATGCGAGGATATCAGGGCATTCAGATGGCCTACCATGATGGCTTTCAAGTCCTCGAATGGTGGCACTCCCATCGGGAGCAATTTCCGCTGCTCTACAAGACTAGTTGCCAAATACTGGCCATACCCGCCAGCAATGCATCCTCCGAATTGGTGCTCTCGCAGGCTAGCAACCTGATAAAAGATTCTGCCTGCAGCATCGATGAGCTGAACCGGGTAATGTTTTTGAAAACGAACAATGGGGGGATTACACTAGAAATGACCGTATAATTTAAAACAATATATGTACTTACATATACCCAGTGTGCCCAGAACCTGTAGTTACCCATCTGTTGCATGGTATTTCCCGGCGACCACTACTTTGGTCTTATTAACGAATTACAATGGAATTACAAGACCTTCTTTACAGAATTTCCGCCACTAAAACCACAAGATCTATACATCAAAAGGCTATTTATAGGTCTAACTGCACTGGGTAATCCTTGGGGAAACCACCAAGGGCAACAACAGCGCCGGAAGGTGACGCCACCACTCTTCTGTTTTGATGTTTTGGTGTTTTGATAAGTGACTCATCAGCCGACGCCGGCTGTGGGCTCTCCGTTTTCACTTTTTCACTTTTGTTGTGGCCCCGAAACGGCATTTAAGGCATTCCGGTGTAGACAGCGGGCCAGAAAGCAAGTACACGCAGCAGTTCCGCGATTACGCAGCACACGCACACCCACAGACAATCAATATGTTCGACTTCAATTTGGAATTCGCGAGGGGAGGTGCCCGCTTCACCACCGAACTCTTCCAGCTTTTGGCCACTGGTGGCTTCAAGGAGAACGTTGTCTTCTCGCCCTTCTCCATCCAGACCTGCATTGCTTTGGCCTTTGCCGGAGCCCAGGGTGAAACCGCCGATGAGATCGCCACGGCCCTGCACTTTGTGTCCAACTTCCCGCCAGAGGTGGCCCAGACCTTCCAGTTCGTCCTGGAGCAGTACCGCAACAGTAACCTGCTGCGCGCGGCCAACAAGCTGTATGTGCAGGAGGGTAAGCAGCTGAAAGCAGCCTATCAGGAGGCCATCAAGGAACAGTACCACTCGGAGGCCGAGTCCATTAACTTTGCCTTGAGCGATGCCGCCGCCCAGGCCATCAATGCCTGGGTGAATGCCAAGACCCAGGGCAAAATCACGGAGCTGGTCAGTGCGGATTCCTTCAATGACAACACCCGGCTGGTTCTGCTCAATGCCCTGCACTTCAAGGGCAGCTGGGCGCACAAGTTCAGCGAGGATCGCACCGAAGAGGATGACTTCTGGGTGGGCGAGGAGGAGCAGGTCAAGGTCAGCTACATGAACCAGAAGGCCAAGTTTGCCTACGGCTATTTTGAGGATCTGGGTTGCACTGCCCTGGATATGCCCTACCAGGATTCGGATCTATCCATGCTTGTGCTTTTGCCGCAGGAGCGCACTGGCCTGTACGATCTGGCTGAGAAGCTCAAGGAAGTGAATCTGGTGGATTTGTCGGCTAAGATGGCCGTGGAGGAGGTGAACGTCAAGTTCCCAAAGTTCAAGGTGGACTACTCCCTGGAATTGGCCGAGAAACTGAAGCAGGTGAGGGAGGAGTTGGCACCTTTTTGGTATAATTACACTTTATTCATGGTCAGCTTTCGCCTTAACGTAGTTTGACATAGTTTTTTGACCCACTTTCATGATAAATGGTTTGGGTAGGTGCGTGCCTTTGTGAAATTATTCGGATTTAGTAACTTCTCTTTAATATAAACCCCAAAATAGTAACTTTTATAGCCACGTTGCATCACTGCAAACCGCCCCCTAAAACCATTTATTGAGTTTCTTATCTCAAAAAATTCCTTTGCTTGATGTATGGAATTATTTATAAGTAGCTTATCGCCACTAAAAGGTGTCTAAGATAAGTCAAAAATGGACTGCGATATTCATACTTTTATTGACGCAGCCTGCGGTTCGTGTTAAAGATCATGTATCAGCCGCACGAACCCATAAAATTAAACAATTTTAGTTGCAGTCACACCCTGCTAAGGTTACCTATCTTATCGATCACAAACCCTCGAGAGTGGCTATGACCTCATTAGTTATTATTTACCCCAGACACATATTAATACTCTGCTTATTTATATACTTTTAGCTGGGCATCACGAAAATGTTCACCGACGGAGCCGAGTTCAACAATCTGCTGGAATCCCCCGAGGGTATATTCGTTTCCCAAGTCCTGCACAAGGCCACCATTGAGGTGAATGAGGAGGGCACCGAGGCGGCGGCTGCCACTGGCATGATCATGATGACCCGCATGATGACTTTCCCCCTGCAGTTCCAGGCGGATCGCCCCTTCCTGTATGTTATCTGGAACAAGAAGAATATCCTTTTTGCCGGAGCCTTTGTGAAGGCTGTCTAAGAAGCTCAATTTTCTCTCAGTGGACTCAGGTTCAATTGTTTTTGTATTGTTTTTATCGAAAAGTATTTTTAAAATTAATAAACGCATCATGACAAAGTCAATAAATGTATGTTTTTGTCTCAAAATAATATTTGTATACATTTTTTGAAAATTGTGTAATTATATTATTTTTATTTTTTATAATAGAATAGAAAAGTTTCCCTAGAAAATCAAAAGTTGGAGCCCAAGTATGACCGTGTGCTTTACAAAAACAACAAATCGTAAAAAAACCCCATGAACGGGGTATTTTTTCCCTCCTCTCCTCCGGCCACATGTTCAACTATCCGGACTTTTTCCACAAAGCAAAAACTAAACAAATTTATTATATTTTATGCTAAATTTACCCAGACCCACACTATCATGCTCATGAGTCGCGCGCTCTGCCGGAGCTGGCTCTCCCAGGTGGCGTAAGTAAGCGGGGCGACCACCGCCTAGACCCGGCATCCCGGAGTAATCACAGCCCAAAACCAAACATTAACTCTTGCAGCCACAGATGTCATCATGCCAAAGCGCCGCTGATCCTGCCCTACAGACACACCATTACCTCGGGCCATCCGGCGACGAGGTCATGTCGCCGAACCTTCCATGGCAACCGGAAGCAGAGCACCAGAGACCTTAAGCCGATGGGCGGTGAGCCGGCGGCGGCGGAGCAAAACACTTCAGTGCCGCTTAACAATGTGATCAAGGCGGTGGCCTTCACTGGAGCAGTAAGCGGCGGACTCGTCTGGATTTAGACTCATGCTAATGAATTCGTATATATCTGCACCTAGTTTACGGTGGGCTGCTTTGCCGGAGCCACCATTCTGGAGTATGAGAACACACGCAGCGCCATCCTGGCGAAGGCGCGTCAGGCGAGATTTGGCTGGTGGCAGAGCCGATCGGTGGCGGACCGCAACTATTGGACGCAGCTGAAGCAGGACATCCAGCGCCACTGGGATGCCCTGACGCCGGGCGACAAGATGTTTGCTCCCATTTTCCTGTGCAATGCTTTGGCCTTTGCCCTGTGGCGGGTGCCCTCCTTGCGAACAACCATGATGACATACTTTACCTCCAATCCGGCGGCGCGTGAGTTTGGAAGACAAGTTTTGGGATATCCTTGCAGTTATTAGGGGTTCGTAGTATTTAATTGTAAGGTTCCCTGATGATTCGCAAGGTTATCTTAATGCTTATGCTACATTATGTAAAAAAAACAACTGATATATTCTGTTCACAGGAGTCGTCTGTTGGCCCATGTTCCTGTCCACATTTAGCCACTACTCCGCCATGCACATATTCGCCAATATGTACGTGCTGCACAGCTTTGCCAATGCGGCGGTCCTTTCGCTGGGCAAAGAACAGTTCCTGGCCGTCTACCTCAGCGCCGGCGTATTCTCCAGCCTGATGAGCATGCTCTACAAGGCCGGCACAAGTTCGGCGGGAATGTCTTTGGGGGCGGTAAGGATGCTACAGAAAATTTTTAACAGAATTCGTATAATTATGAGCTGGAAATTTGCCTTTTAGTCTGGCGCCATAATGACTGTTTTGGCTTATGTTTGCGCCCAATATCCGGATACGCAGCTTAGCATTCTGTTCCTGCCCGCGCTGACATTCTCCGCCGGAGCCGGCATCAAGGTGATCATGGGCATTGACTTTGCCGGATGTGTCCTGGGCTGGAAGTTCTTTGATCATGCGGCTCACTTGGGCGGCGCTATGTTTGGCATGTAAGTTGCTTTTTCATCTAGTGTGATCCTTTCCTCTTAATCCTGTTTTTGTCTACAGCTTCTGGGCCACGTACGGAGCACAGATTTGGGCGAAACGCATTGGCCTGCTGAACTACTACCACGATCTGCGGCGAACGAAACAGAAATAGTAGGGCGGGGCAGATGTTTTGGCCAGGTTTTGCAACGTGGAGATAATAATGACATCGTTCTGCCTTAGAGGTTCATTGCAATGAGTTCTGTTGAATAAAGCGTCGCGATCGAGTATTCATTTGGCTTCTCGGCTCTTTTTGGGCGGCGGGTCCTCATCCCGCCGATTGCAACGGATGCGAAGAGCCACCTCCTGCCCGCGCTGCAGCAGCTTCTCCCGCAGCTCTTGCTGGGATTCCCTTTCCGGAGCGTAGGAAATGTGGAGGATGCCCCCGTAGAATGGGCGAGCATCCAACATCCGTTTTGCCCTTCTAGCTACGTCCAAACGCTCGAATTTGACTGCAAATACGTCTGTAAAGGCCTCTAGTTCCACTAGAGATATTTAGTTAGTTCAATGATCATTTTAAGACACTACCAAGACTCACTCTTTGAAGCCATAACTGAGGTTATGCATATACAGGACTCCAGCCTTCCGAAGCCCTGCAACTTGGTCTTCAGATTCGCTTGAAGGTTTATCTTTGGCACGCCGAATATCAGCAAGTGCCTGGACTCACTGGCCACTGTATAAACCTGAGGATTGTTGGTATTATTAAATTGTACAATGCATACAAAATAATATACTTACCTTTACAGCTTTCAGCTCTCGTCCTTGACGATACTGCAGTCTAGTGGTGCAGTATTCCATTCGCTTGTGGTGGTCCGAGGATGTCTCTTCCATACTTGCTGATGCACAAATTGTAGTTTTAAAACTAAAAATTGCGGAAAATAAAAACAAATTTGACTTAGTGATGCTGAAAACATCGATGCATCGAATATCGACCGATAATTCAACCTATCGATTGAAAACTGTTTTTGTGGGCTGCCCAACACTGGCACCTCAAATAGTGCTGTTATTTTCTGAGGATTTAATTTAGTTTTTGAGCGTCGGCTGGATAAAACGCTAAGTAATAAGCTAAACTTCGATGTCCAAAGCCACAAAGTGTCTCAGTAGTATTTTCCTTCATGTTGATTTTCCGTTCTGGTTCAGAGCAAAGTTTCGTACCTTTTTTTAAATCTCACTGATCGTCGATAAATCGATATATCATTTATCACAGTATCGATAGAACCATTTATGCTGTAGTACCATCCCTAAAATTGGCGGCAAATCGAAACCGCATAAAAACCTCGGAAGCAACGTTTAACAACTCATTTGCCGCTGACATTTTGGACTCGATACTAAAGATTAACCGCGTTTTAAAGTGAATTTCACCAGAGCTACCTGCTGCAGTATTAAAAAACAAGCAACAAGCTAGGATAAATCAAAGCACAAACATGTCTCAAATGGCGTCCAAGGAAAACATTGCGGACAACATGGAGAAGTTCTCACTAAAGGTAATTGACACGTTTATGCAACGCCAGCGGAGTGCACAATTAAATGCACAAGTTCAGGGCTATACATAGAATTTTTGCATGTGTCTCTGTCTGCGTGGGTTCCCGGGGGGAAAAATACAACTACGCAGCGAAAAAATATATGTTCTTTTTGTTTTCTCTTTATTCTCGCCGTATAAACAGAGCCCCAGCAAGAAGGTCTTGACCGACAACGCCAGCAACGTTCGCAAAATGTCCATTGGCCAGGAGGAGAACGGTGGCCAGGCGGTCAAAGAGGTGGCAGAGAATGGAGCCGGCAAGTCTGCCTCTATCATGGATAAGTCGGCAGCACCCTTTGATCCCTCGCTGGAGCCGCTTCTGCGCGAGAATCCCCGGAGATTCGTCATCTTTCCCATCCAGTATCACGACATCTGGCAGATGTACAAGAAGGTATGTGTATGTGCATGTATTTGTGGTGGTAGTTGTGGTGGCGTGTGTGTAACTGTGTGCGTGGTGAAAATCCAATGATTTTGGGCGGCAAAAACTGTGGAAGGGCGGGCGTTTCGTGATAAAGCGCGCCAAAAGCCGGTCACGTCGGCGATAGCATGAATCAATGTTTGTGATAGCCCCTCCCCCAATCCTCGGCCCTTGCCCCTTCCACTGATTTTACTGTTTACTCAATGTGTCTTCGTTTTGGCGGGAAAATTACCAAGTGAGATTATTATTTATCGGAAGTGTAAAACAATATTTCGTACTTTTTCTTAATTAGGCCGAGGCCTCCTTCTGGACCGTGGAAGAGGTGGACTTGTCCAAGGATCTCACCGACTGGCATCGCCTTAAGGATGACGAACGCCACTTCATCTCCCATGTGCTGGCCTTCTTTGCCGCCTCCGATGGTATTGTCAACGAGAATCTGGTGGAGCGCTTTAGCCAGGAGGTACAGATCACCGAGGCCCGCTGCTTTTATGGCTTCCAGATCGCCATGGAGAACGTGCATTCGGAGATGTACAGTGTGCTGATCGACACTTACATTCGGGACCCACACCAGCGGGAATATCTGTTCAATGCCATTGAGACCATGCCGGCGGTGAAGCGCAAGGCTGACTGGGCCCTGTCCTGGATCTCTTCCAAGTCGGCCAACTTTGGGGAGCGCATCATTGCGTTTGCCGCCGTCGAGGGCATTTTCTTCAGCGGCAGCTTTGCCTCCATTTTCTGGCTGAAGAAGCGCGGCCTGATGCCTGGTTTGACCTTCTCCAATGAGCTGATCTCCCGCGATGAGGGTCTGCACTGTGACTTTGCGGTGCTGATGTTCCAGCATCTGGTGCAGCGACCGAGGCGCGAGCGCATCATCGAGATCATCCGCGACGCTGTGGACATTGAGCAGGAGTTCCTCACCGATGCCCTGCCGGTTAATCTGATCGGCATGAACTGTGACCTGATGTCGCAGTACATTGAGTTTGTGGCCGATCGTCTGCTGGTCGAGCTGGGCGTGGGAAAGATCTACAACACCAAGAATCCGTTCAACTTCATGGAGATGATCTCGCTGGATGGCAAGACCAACTTCTTTGAGAAGAAGGTGGGCGAGTATCAGCGCATGGGCGTGGCCACCAACCGATTGGACAATGTGTTTACCCTGGACGCGGACTTTTAGGGCTGGTCCCGGGTCATCATCCCCCCAAGCCAATAATTCAATTTAATTCAATTTAATGCAATTTAATGCAATCATTCAAGTGGACGCAAGGGCTGGCTTCTCATGCACTATTCTTTAAGCAGACCGCCTTAATGTGTTGTCCGTTTTTAATTTAATCTAGGCTAAGACCGATCACTGACCCGCACACCATCACCACTATTTTTATCATTACTTATTTGGGACCCAGAAAAGCGCTCGATCATTGGAATTTTCAGCAAAACTTGACTAGGAGCGACCTTTTTTCGAATTCATTGTACATACAACATTTTAAATAAATTTATGCATAGACAATTATTAAGCACTACTATATAAAAGAGTTCTCTTTGGGAGTATTTTGTGTAACAATTAGAACTTTCTGAGGGTTTCCTAGCTTGCGTTTTGGTTGCCATGCAGTTGGTGGAATAAAACAATCAGTTTAAAATAATTAACATTCTTATATTGGAACTATTTCAAAAAGGTTGTGAGAAACGGAGCTTAAAATAAAAAAACGAAAACGTAGGTTAATTCTATTAAATAATACCTTTGCAGTTTTGCAACTTGTTTAAATCTACTATAAATAATTTCATATTTAATGATTTCTGAACTTGGTTTTTGATTTTAATGAAAATCGGATGACTATATTGGTAAGCTTCTTGAAAGACCTAGAAAAGTTTATTTTCCGATCATATAAATCACATATATTCTTGATCAGCGTTGAAAGCAGAGTCAATCTAGCTGTATTCGTGGGGAAAAAAATAATTAAAAATATTACCTAATTTTTAAAAATTTTGAAATGGGTAAAAATGAGCGAAAAGTAAAATAAAAAATTAATTATTCGGAAAAAAAATTGTACCTGTAGTAACAAATTTTAAAATTTTAAAGAAAATTTTAGTTTAAGAAAATATACATTTTGTATACAGATTTATAAACCTTATAAAAATTACCTCAGAACAGCTTTCCGAACTCAAATTAAAAAATTATGATCGATTTAAAATACCCTCTGGCTCTCTTGAAAGAATATACAAATTTCGGCTTACCAAAGTTACCTCTTTTAATAGTTTTATTTGTTTTTTTTCGATCGATTTACAAGGGTATACACCCTTCGGGTTTACAAAGTTGGTTATCTTCATTGATATTTTTTTTAATCTGTAAAAGGGAAAGTTATGTCGACTTTATCAAAACCTATTATATTTATTAGTCATAAATTATGGCAGCCAAAAAGCTAATTGCTGATAATGAAAAACCCATAAAATGGGGCTCATCCACAATTATCTAGGCCAAACATTAAGAATTACGTATGATTTTTACATTATAATGGAAGATATTTTATATTTCTTTAAAGATTTAAAGCTTTAAACAGGCATCTTTAAGCATACAAAAATATATTTTATTTTTTATTAACATTTTCCTTTCTTTATCTTTTCAAGGACTTTTTAAATTAAATTAAATTAATTATTAATAGTAATAAAATCTTTAATGTCGATAGTCTCTTGATATCGATAGTCACGAGCTTTACGTTTTTTCGGCAATCAGCTGAACAGTTAACAGATTTATCTCTGATTTGTCGAACCCTTATTACGAGTTGTTGCGAAAAATAATTAAGAAAAAAGAACCCCGATTAGATGTGACGCGAAATCGGGGAGTAACTCAAGAGCACCAAACGCTTATCGCTCCCAAAAAACACTCAGTTCGCTGGATAAGATGTCCCCAAAATGAAATGCCACCAAACCGACGGCAACCGTTAGCGAACAAAGAGGCAAATGCACGGCACTTGGACAGCGGATAATGGCGAGGAGCAGAGCTCTTTGCTGGCGGCGGCGGCGGATAGTTCCGCCACTGGATCCGACGAGGAGGGGAACCAGCACCGCACCAAGGTCAAGCTAAGGAAGTTGCAGCGACGCAACCGCCTGCCGCTGCCAAGGAGCCTGAGACGCCTCGGCTGTTACACATTGAGCGCCTGCACTGTGTTGCTGATGCTCTTCGTCTACCTGCCGCTCATCTACATGGATGTGCACCGGCGTAGTGGTAAGACAATGGGTGGTGCCTTGTCGTCTGAGGAGAACCTCCCATTCATTGTTACGTTTTTGCAGCTGGTCTGCCCGACTGGACGCTGGAAACCTCCCGGAGCGTAAGCGATTATCTCGATCCCGGACAGGAAACGGCAACCATTGTGCCCCGTGATCTTTGTCGGAACAAGACCTTCCTGGTAATCGCCGTCTGCACGGGCCTGGGTAACTTTGTTCAGCGCCAGACCATACGCGAGACCTGGGGCAACACCACCGAGTTTAACTACCCGGCCTTTGCCAAGCTCCATGGCCATCTCAAGGGTAGGTACCTGCCACTGCTGCCGGAGCGTCTCAAGCTGTACGCTGAGTACCTGCACGGCATGGGTGACACCCTGACCGCCACAGTGCGCGTTGTCTTTGTTATTGGCCGCAGCCGGGACGAGGCACTTGTGGGAAACGAGACCCTGACGCGCATTCACAGCGAAGCGGAGCAGTACAATGACATAATCCAGGGTAACTTTGTGGACAGCTACAACAACCTCACCCTCAAGTCGGTTATGGCTCTGAAGCACATCAGTCGGAGCTGCTCGAATACATCCGCCTTCTTCCTCAAGTGCGACGACGACACCTTCCTGAATATACCCAATTTGTTGCACTTCCTCCTCGGAGGCACCATACCGCTGTACAACGACACCTTGGACTATCACGATCGCTTCACCTTCCTGGCCACATCGCCGCAGAACCGGATGAACGACAGCTCCGGGGTGATGTACGGCCATCAGTTCTGCAATGTGGTACCGGTGAGTGATGTGACCAGCAAGTGGTACATGCCCTCGTACATGTATCCGCCGGAGGCGTATCCAAAGTATCTTTCTGGAGCCGGCTACCTGCTCTCCATCGATGTGGTGCAGCGGCTATACGAGGCGTCACTTAATACAACGCTGGTTTACTTGGAGGATGTGTACATCACGGGGCTGTGTGCACAACGGGCCAATGTCAAGCGTCGCCATCATCCTCTCTTCAGCTTCGCTCATTCGAAGAAACTGTGCGCCTTCAAGGGCAGCATACTGCAGCATCAGGTAAAGGACGACAGTATGGTGGAGGCCTGGAACCATGTGTCCGACTACTCCATCAAGTGTCCGCCGCCGGAGCGGTACTTCAGCCAGCTGCGACTGCACAAGCGGCCTAATTGTTAGAACCCGGGCTCTCTACTTGACTTCTCTACTTGCTTCATCATTTTACAAAAATTTGTTAGTCTGCAGCGGATAAGATATCAGTTATCAGTTATCAGTAATTAGTATCAGTTATCGGTTATCTGCTGAATTGGTTGCCAAGAGAAGGTGATACATGAAACCCTCAAAGTTTTTAGATTGGACAAAGATTAGAAATGTATCAAGCTTCCCAGTTATTCACTTAACTCACTCTTTTCCGAGTTATTTGCGAATATTTAACATAAATCATTATTTATGGACCCTGGTTTTCAAGAACATTGTGTTATAGTTTCTTTTTTCCTTATCGTCTCTGTAATGATCGATGTCTACATGTATAATATTCCTAGCCCAAACTCATTACTCGTACTGAATGTATTCACCCTTTTATCAACGAAAACAACCCCCTTAAAATTGAGATAGGGCTTTTGCGATAAGTTTATACAAGTAAATGTTACTTTATTTTTCATTATATTAGCACCCTGAAACCCTGTAACCCCATATCAATGTTAAAAGTAAAGCACATATATATATATCGTACGTATAGACCCCAGATCATAAAAAGAGATTTAAAGTTAGATATGTAAGTATTTATTTTGCCAAGTCCTGCTTGTTTATATCTCTTTTGAATGTTGTAAATCAAATATATATATCACTTTTTGGCTGATCCACGCACAGAAACTGTAACATTATTTATAATCAGTTGGCAAACGTGTGATACATAAGAACGGAACAATATTTAATAAATTAAATTGCCAAATATCTAGTTGTTTGTTCAAACTGCAAAAGAAAAAATGAATAAAATTCAAGAAATTCGCAAAACTCTTTTACATTAAATCCTTACACTGAGCAATACTACTAACCATACAACATGTCTTATGGTTAGTGCCAATACTTACCTTTTCATAATATAATCCCGAGAATTATAAATCATAAATACTAATAATATAAATACATCTTTGACTTTAGCTCAGTACTCCTTTTATTTGTCATTAGATAGCTTAGAGTTAAACATATATAATATCTGTTTAGCCTAAACACTAATCGGTAATTATCGGCAATTGGCTTTCTTTTTGTTTTATATTTATTCTAGCTTTCAATGATCGTTCAGAGAAGTCATACGATTGCTTCATGCACACACACATATTCCTTGGGATTACCGGCTTTGTAAGCGTTTCGAAAACATAACAATGCATTAGAAAATGCAAGATCTATAAATACAATTAAAGATGATAAGGTGCTTTGTTTTTTTTTTGTTGAAATTCCCCTTTCTGTACACTTGATTTTGTCTCTAAGCCTTAGATCTTAGCTGAGCATGATGATGAGTTTAAAAAAAAGAATATGTTCTACACAAGAAAATTTTAAAAGTAAACAAATATGTTCAATAGAATCGTAGATCTACGATGATTAATGTACAAAATGTGCTTTGTCTTTCGTCTGTTAAGGTCCTTGCGTTAGGTTTTTCCTGCTGTGGGAGGACCTCGAATGATCACCACAAACTAGCCCAGTATCTGCCCCGTGGCGGGCACATCTTCTGTTAAGGTGGGCTCACTGGCCTGACCGTTCTCACTGCTGTTGATCGCAGGTGCCTGTCCCTTTTCAGTCTCTCCATTGTCGTCTTCTTTGAGTAGGATCTCAGGTGGCTCTGTAGTTTCCAGTGGCAGGGTTTCTATTAGTTCATCAGCATCCAAATCAGTGACATTTTCCGAACTACTGGCCAAGGCTTTCATCAGCTCTTCGGTGGCAGAACTCAGCTCGATGCCATCCATGGCAATCACTTCGTCTATGGCACAATCGAGTAATTCCTTGGGCGGTTCGTCTAGTTCAATCACATCCATGCTTTCCACAAGCTCAGCGGCCGAGGGCTCCTCATTATCAGGAGTAGTGTCCATGGTTTCTACAAGATCCGCGGTGGAGTCTTGCTTTGGAAGTGGTTCACCTTGCGGAATTACTTCTTCTGTTACAACTTCATTTTCAGCTTGGCTCGGTTCTGCCTCTGGAGGAGATGCTGCTTCGGTGGACACTTCATCTAAGATAGTTTCAGTAGGTTTTTTCTTAGCTTTTTCATCTGAGGGAGAGGTTTTTGGGCTTTTTTCGGACAAGGTTGCTGTTTCATTATCCTTTTTGTTTTGTTCTTTTTTGGACTGCCTTGGTTCCTTTTCCTCAGATGATACTGGATCTAGGACCTTTTCTGTTTCTGTCTCTGAAGTATTGTTAGACTGGAGCTTCATTTCTTTCTCAACTGGCTTTTGTTTTTCTGAAACCACTTCTTCCTTATCCTGCTCTTTAGACTTTTCTTTTTCTGCTACCTTTTGTTTAACTTCTTCCTTGTCCTTATCTTCAGCCTTTTCTTTTTCTGTCACCTTTTCGGATTCCGAGTTGGATTCCTTTACATCCTCATTGAGACTATCCTTTTCTGATCCTTTCTCCAAGTTTGTTTCCTTTTCTTTGACTCCTTTAACCTCTTCCTCTGCAGCCTTGTCCTCCTCTGTTACCATCTCTTCTTGCTCTTCCGTTCTTCCTTCTCCTCTTTGTGCTTTCTGTGTTATCTTGGCTTTTATAGCTGCCTTTAACATTTCCCCAATTTTATCTTTATCCTTGGCTTCAGAAGGAGTTTCCTTACCGGACCCTTTTATCTCCGAGTCTTCAGACTCTCTGTCCTTGTTCGGGGATTCCTTTTCTGGAGACAAAGCAATTAGTTGAACCTCAATTTCTAGAGGCTGGGGAACGTCCTTAGACTCCTCCACAACCTTTTCACTTGGAGCCTCGGCTAGCGATGCCTCCGCAATGTCTGTAGCCTGCTCCTGATCCCCCTTCCTGTTTCTCTCCACCCATTTACGCGCCACTTCAAAGTCTTCCTCAGCTCGTCGCAGCTTCACCCTACACTTCTTTTTCAGCTTGGCATCGGAACGCTTCATCTCCTCCATTCGTTGGCGTTCCAGCTGCAGTAGAGCTGGATTCGGTTTATTTGTGGTCTTTTTGCGCGGCTGCTTCTTCTGACCAGGGGAAATGGACTTTGGATCACCGGTGGTGCCTCCCTCGTGTATGTCGACTTCCAGCAGGCTGGCCAAGATCGTGGAGCTAAAGGCAGCCACATCGATATCAGCTTGGTTTTCACTGAGCTCCTTCTTAGGAGCCGCTGATGTTACCGAGACAATCTTCATCATGGCCTTTTGTTGCGTTGAGGTCGAGGGAGTATCATCCTCGTTATCGGAATCAATGGTAATGGTATCCGTTTTGGGCTCTACAATCTCAATTTCGTTGTCTTCGTCATCGCTGGCTTGTTTTTCTAAAAAGGTAAAGATACAAATTAGAAAAGTTGAGAAATTAAATATAGTTTTAATATTAAAAGAGACTTAATTCCTTTAAAAAACCCCTCGAAGTAGCAGAGATTATTACAGAAAGAAGTTGGCAAAGGGTTTTATTTAAGCCTTAACTATAATCTCAAAATTCGAAGCATAACTAAACTAAATTAAATACTGGAATATAAAGCCTAAGTGTTAAGGAAACGCATCTCTTCAAGCGGGAAATTGGCCCGCATTTTTTGGAGCTTCTGTTCGCTGGCCCGCGTAGGTGGTTGCTGCTCCATCTCCCGGCAATAGCATTCGTAGGCAAATTTGGCCATTTGCCAGCGCAGTTTACAGGACTTGGCATCCCTTTTGAAACGTGGCAGCCGACGGGCCACCTCTGGCCAAAGCCGCTCCCTGGCTCCCACATCATTGTAGTCCACATGTCGGGGATTCCATAGAGTGGGATAGGCTCGTATGGCCAGCACTAGTTGCTGGGCAAACTGCTTGTCATCGGGCATGTCCTTAAGCTTGCCAGCCATGTCAGTGCCATTTGGCACGCAATCCTGCAAAGGCTCAAACTCATCGCGCAGGTCCTGCTCATCGATCTTGTACAGAAAATACAAGCTGGCCAAGTACTTGGAGTATTTCAACTCGAGATTGGCAAAAATGCCCTTGTCCTTGATGCTCTTGAGGCGGAAGGACTTGTACATCTCGTACATTTGCTGCCAGCGCTCCACGAGGTACTCGTAGGCATAATCTGAAAAAGAAAACGATTATTTTTTAGGGAAAACTAAGAAAAAGCTGAGAGTTTAATCTCTTACTGGGCGCCGACTTCCAAAAGTTTTGCCAAAGAGATTTCCTGGTTTGCTCATCAATACTGTTAAATTCGGGATCTGTGGATTTGCGCCAGAGCACGGGATGGCTCTTGGCAAAGGTAATGATGCGCTGATCAATGGCACGCACTTCCAAAGGTCGCATGGGTAAACGTGGCTTAGGTTTCAGTGGTGGCAGAGCAGCCGCCTTCTGTTCCTTGTGTTCCATGGTGTTCTCAATGACATCCAGTTGCTTACGCTCAAAGCCATCGCCGTCGTCTTCGCCACAGTCGACGGCCAGCCATTCGCTTCGGGGACGATCTCTGTTGGCCAAATAGTTGGTGGCCTTGTCAAAATAGCCCTTGAAGCGCTTGCCCTGCTTCAGCCTGCGCTCGATGCGAACATAACGCTTGCGTACGTTCTTCCAGCGCAGCTTGATGTCATCGCCGCGGGGAAAGTGAGTGGCTATCACCCGCCACTGCTTGAGAGTTACCTCCTTCTTGCCATAATCCGGATGACGGGTGCACCAGAGTGAGGGATATTCGCGCAGAAGGCGGGTTAGCTTGCGGTCATAGGCATGAGCCTGTTCGTTACGATTCATACTCTCCTCGGTGCCCAGCTCGCCGCACTCCTCGTTATCCAGATCGTCATCGTCCAGGTCATCATCCAAATCCTCCGTCTCATCGTAATCAAAATCATCAGCTTCCCGATTCTGTTCGGTTGGTTCCTCCTCCTCGATTGGATCGCCTTCGGCTCGAACTCCCAGCGGCATTAGCGGCGGCAGGGGCTCACAGTCTTCGCCCTCCTTCAGATTGGCATGCAGACTCTTGCGGTACTCATAGACCTGGTGGTGGAAACTATTGCAGCCCGTATTGAAGAGATCCACATCGTCCAGCTGGCCATAGCACACGTAGTCCACGGCTGCAAGAAGCGAGAGACTATAAAAACTGCTGCTGCTCGGTTCCATCCCATTGCCTGTTCCTTGGATGGTATTTTGCTAACACATGGACCAAGCTAAAACCCAATCGTTTCTTTCCTTTGCAGCCAATGAGATGGAACCCGCAGAGTGAGTTTTTTTTTCGTTATAAAACACAGGATACTTACATATAGGCTCTCATCGCTGGTAAAATTATAAAAAAACACACACGCGGAAAACGGAAACCGAAAAGAAAGTGACAACGCCGTCGCCCGTCCATGTGTCGAAAATATGCACCAAAGAAAGGTTTAGGGTGGAGGATAATCCTCACAATTTATCCTTACAACTTAAAGGAATACTACATCCCCATAGACTTAGCCCTCTTTTGTACAAAAAACTTCGGCTATCCGAAGTTAGGTTCTTTCTAGTTTAAAATAAGTTTAGGTTCTTTGGTACAGTTCCCACAGAATCTAGATCCATTGTACTTAAAATGCAACGTTTATATATTAATATAAGATATCGTTATATACATATTTTTATTCCTAGCTTAAATTCCATTAAAATCATTACAGAAATCTATATTAACCCTACCAACTTATTTCTAAAAGACCTAACTTGTGACTACGTGCTTAATAAAAGTATATAAACAAAAACTCACCGGCAGCCAGCTGTCCGTTCTCCAGACTATTGGCATCATTCTTGAAGCCCATCTCCCGCATATCCACCAGGCACTTCTCCTGGAGATGCTTGAACCGCCCGATGGCGTACGTCATCAGGTAGGACATGTGAATATACAATTCTTTGAGATCTATGTAATTCCGGACCTGGTTATACGCATTCGAGTGGGTGAGGGACACCACCTTGCCGGTGAGATGGGTGCAAATGTCCATGGCGCTGAAGATCTGCTCCTGCAACTGTGACCGTGCCTGTCCCAGTGTTGTGTTGGGGAAATTGTGACGCACTAGAGTTGGAGTCTTGGCCGGACCGGGCACGGGAGTAATCATCAGCGTCTGTCCACCACCACCACCACTCCCATTGACATTCGAGGCTGGGACCTGAGCTGGCGATGGTGGTGCTGCCGCCTGGCTTTGGCTAATTCGCACAACTTGAGGTGCTCGCTGCTGCTGATTAATCTGCGGATTGTAGATGCCCATGTTGTTGCCAAAATTATTATTGCCCTGCGTCGGCGGCCTGCCAACTGTAGGCGGGCCTCGCGGACGTATAACCACACCCGGGTTCATGGGAGGGATGACAATCGGTGACGTTGGAGCGGTTGATCCTCCTGCCGGTTGGTTGGCCAACGGCATCTGGCGTTTAACTTGAATCAGTCGTCCATTGGGCAGGCGGTAGGAGTCCTGTTGGGCAGCACTGTTCAAATCCACACGGAACCCGTTGATGGTGTGGAACACAGGGCCACTGTTCCGGACCACATTGGGCACCACAGTGCGTCGCACATTCGTGACATTGCCAGGAGAACTCTGACGATAACGAATCCCTGAACCAGTGAGCACTAAGGGCGGTGGCAGGCTGCCGCGTGGCGCTCCCATTGAGGCGGAGGAGCCACTACCATTGCTGGTGGTGCCACTGCTGGGACTGGGTCCCGTGTAGTTCTGCTGGACGGTGACAATCCTTGGGGTGGTGGTGATACTAGATGCTGGCCCCGGCTGACGGTTCGGTGGCTTGGGGAGCATGGAGAGCTGGCAGTCCGGCTCCAGCATACTGAGCAGATCGGGTGTACAGACCACCTCGTCATTTGAGGATTTGGGGCGTTTTGTCGTTGGTCCCGGACTCGGCTTGGACGGGAGTGCTCTCTTGACCGCGTTCGCCAAGCTGCCTTGGCTGCGTCTCGATGCATTGGACTCCAGGCTCTCCATGGAGTCCGAGAGACTGGTGGCCTTTGACTTGGCCAAGCGACAGCAGCTGGTGTTGTCCTTAAGCATATGGCGGCGGGCTTCCAGCTCGGGCATCTGCATAGATTGTAGAGCTCTGTGGATTTCAGGAGAGGATTGTAGGGCTTTGGGGTAAAGTATGTTGTGGTAGAAACTCACTTTTTCGTCGACTGAATGTAGTTGACCAGCGCCCAGTGCTGAGCCCGCAATGGCCAGAGGATCTTCGATGTGCAGTTGAAGCAGTTCCAGTGCTCGTTCTGTTCTATGTCCACAATCACGCCCTTGGACAGGTTCTTCACGATGCACGACTTGCAGAAGACGTACGGGCAGGTGGAGCAGCAGTAGACCTCGCCGCCCTGCCCGCACCAGCGGCAGTACAGCTCTGAGCCATCCTCACCCTTGGAGAACTCCCCGCTATTGTAGAAGTCGTGACATTTGACGCAGTGCGTCACGCGCAGTATGGGATGCATTTTGATGTTGTTCTCGGCGGCAAGGGCGGTGCCCAAATGCTGGCGGCACACGGTGCAGTGTACTCGGCGTTGGTTGACAATGTCCACGTTGGGATACATCTTCAGGTAGAAGCGACGCTCCTCCTCCGACAGCGAAGCATGCATCTCGAACTTGGAGCCTGGCGGTAACAGAGGGGTGCTACGTTATTGGGGCCACCACGCTAGACGACCGAGACGGGTCATCACTTACCCGTGTACTCCACATCTATCTTCGTTAGTGGCGAGGGCGATGGTGTTGCCGCCTTCACCAACGCCACATCGCTGCCTCCCGGAGTACTCATGATGTGGCCTGCTCCTGCTCCTGGTCCCTAGTCCTGTTCCACGTGCAAAATTCTACGAAAAATGCCAACTTTCTGCAAAAATCACACAACGCGCTGGCCGCCGCAACAACAAAGCGGCGCGCTAATCGCTCTTATTTGTTTGCCAACAACAACCCTCCCTCTGCCGCGTATTTTCCCCTTCCTTGTGGCTGCTTTTAACCAGCAAAAGATCTTTAGAAATTCGAAAATTTCCTTAATTTTCACTTATTCACAACGAACTGTTCGGAAAATGAGAAAGAACAGATTTTTTCACCCGAGAATGTCAGCCAGCTGAAATTCCAATATGGCGGCTACTTCGGCTGTTCCGAGTGAAATTTTTGTACACGAAGCTGTACGAAGTATATATAACAAGTTTGGATACTGATTTATGCCCGATTTGGTAAATTTAAGTTTGCGAATTTCCTGGCAAAATTGAGCTTAATCGTTTCTGATCCTAAAGATCGGCATAATTACCCAAAATCCCACCTCAAAAATGAGATCTTTAAGCTTTTATTTGGGTACAAAAGCGGAGTTAACCTTAAAAATTGGCTTAAAGATCACAAATTAATAGATGGAATCATGTTTTATGAAATAAGGGCTAATTTTATTAATTTTTAATACAAATTTAATAATTATTTTTCATACTTTGCAGATCTTGGCAACCCTATAACATACTAGTTGTCTCTTTCCCACTTACGGCAGGGCCATAAGAAGCCGAGCGCAACAAGAAAGAGAAGAATGTCGCTTAAAATATTATGGGGTCAGATGAGTTAAAGTTAATTCAAATGTGTTATATCTATAATAAGAATTTAATTAAATGAATAATTCATTAGCCCAGCGCTTGCCAATTGCAAATATTTTTCCCAATCGAACCAGTTCAATCAGTGTGACCGTAGTAAACATCGATAACTTTTATCTCTTAAATTGTAATATCGTTGCTGAAAAATTTTAAAAGCAAGTGGAAGTTTAAAGCGCTTGAAGAGAAGAATACATTTTAATTACATATATATATATAGTTTGTTAAATTTATATCACACTTATATAAAGGACGATTAAGCCTATATCTTTAGATGAGCAAACTCCAGATAAGTAATAACTATATGTTATCGGTTATATCGATATAAAATCGAAAATGTTTTCGGATAGAGTTAGAGAAGAATTAAATATATTGGCAGCGCTTAGGTAATCAATGTCAGAGCTTTTAAATTAAATCGAACTTTCTTTGAATCAAGCGTATTTTTTTGTAGTTTTTATACATAAATTGATCATCGCATATATTTAATTTTAATTCATTTTTAATTAAAACAGCGATAAGAATCGATATCATATTTATTGATCGGTATTTAAATTGATATCGATAGTTTCAGTGTTACCCTCTCAAACGAGTGTAAAATTGTATTGGCGCTTTATTTAAAATGAATAAAATAAAATTTAAAACAAAATTCTGGCCGATTTAGCCAGAATAGTATAGTTCAAATTTCAATTGTTTTAGAAACCGAATAAAACTCCAGATATATAAAAAACAAACGTTTAGTTTTTTATTTGGTTATAGAAGTTATTTTAAAACATTCGATTATTTATATTATCCGAGTAGTGAAATAAAAATCAAAAATGTCCAATTGAATATAATGCATTTATTAGAATTAGGAACTACAACTAGTTGGTTTCGTGGATACTGTTGCAGCCTGCTCCCTGTCTGCCATCCAGCGATGTCACTATAGTTTCTATCCCTTCTAACTAGGTCGTTTCTCTGATCTGCTGACAATTTGTAAATAAATATACGTATATGATGGACTTGTTTACACATAAAATATTTATAACTAAAAAGCGGCGGTAACGATAATTTCGGATTTCCTTTAATTTAGCGCTTCTTCTACTCTTTTTTTCCCTTTTGTTTAGTTTGCTAGTTTCTTGGCTAAACTCATACGCGTTTCTTTTTTGTTTTTATCACAAATGTATTCCTTTTAGTTGGCTCTGCATGTGTAAACAAGAAAATATACATCTCCTTTATGGGTATAAAATAATCCTGGCCCCCATGCCTGAGCTCCGGCCGTCTGTGCTGAGTGAGTGAGTGTAGTAGATGACTTAACTTAGGAAAATATACAACATGAACATGATGATGAACTTAAGTGAATGTGCGCGGGCTCAGGACATGGCGCATGGCTCCCCCCACTTCTTCATTCCGTTTCTTGGCTAGTTATTTGCTCCTAGAGCTTCCGCAATCCCTGGTGCTTCTGCTTCTTGGCCAGCAGCTGCTTCAGGCTGAACGAGGACAGAGCGATGCCGAAGAGTGCCAGCATGGTGGCCGAGCGGGTCACCACACGGTTTGGCGCCGATGAGCTGGTGGTAAAGCCATGGCTAAGGTGCGTCGTGGACTGTGCGGACAGCGGAGGCGCCTGTGGGAGAAATGATAAGAGAACAAATAGATTAGGTTGTCTCGCATTTTTAGGGTATTTATAGCTGACCAAACAAACAATAAACTTGGCCCACTGCCCGGACACGCCCGCCCACCTAGGCAAACTACGCAGCAACCGTTGGCAACGAGGCTCAAGTGCTTTGCTCCGGTCACACGAAAGCGATTACCCCACACACATTCCCACGTTCATTGAACTGATATATAGCCAAGGGGGGGCGATGTAATGCCTGATTAGATATAGAGCTCACTATTGATGACGCCTAAATGTGCCTTATCAATTACAGCCCGCTTCAGGGCTAATCTCGGCTTGAAAGGCACCGCTCTCCGCATGACGCACTTGCTGCGACCTCCTTTCCAAAGTTCACATCTGCTGATAGCAGGATGTCCGCCACATATCTCTCCTGGCCACTTGAACATGCGGTAGACGCGTGCCGAGCATTAATAATCCGCAAATCGCGTCGCCAAATAAAATGTATATATAATACAAACAAAGCGGAATTGTTTATAAATAAACGAACTTGAATTGTGGTCCGGTAGATGCATGCATAATTTCATATGCAAATTTATTTGGAATACTCGAAAAACGTTAAAAAAAAAAATTCCAGTTGCTTATGACGTTCGCTTGGTGGTTTCCAGTTGCTCAATCATCTGCATCACCGCCTGGGTGCGTGGCTTTCTACCCATGGCCGGGCGCGTGGTGCTTCTACCTCCTCCACGGGACGAAGGTTTTGCTGCTGCCGAATGTCGACTGACGGCGTCCATAAAGGACTTGGTTGGATTTATTTCCGGAATACTGATAATGATGTTAAAGGCTGGCTGGACTGCAGCAGTGGGACTGCGTGGCAGCGTGGATGCTTTCTGGGGCGCACTGATGAAAGGTTCCCCCTTTGGGCTTGGTGGACTCATAAGCTTGGCGGGCTGAAGCGGAATTTCATACTCTTGTTTCGCTGGAATTTGAATTTTTTGGGCTGATTGCTTGGCTCTGGGGTAAGTCTGCCTTCCTTGAGCCTTGAGCTTTGGCAGAGGCAACAGTTTGGCGGGCAGCAGAGGTATTTCCGCCTTTGTGGGCTTGCTGTTCTGCTCGGGAATGTTTACATCCAGGCAGCTCAAATCTGGTAGCTGTGGTTCCAGGGTGGGTTTCACTTCTGTTAGCGTTTTAAGATCCGGCAAAGAGTTGAGATTCAATTTAGGCTCTTGGGTTGTCCCATCAGAGTTTGTTTCTGTGGCAGGTGTGAGGTTCTGCAGCAGCTGGCGGATAAATTCGTCGTCATCGCCCTCATTGGGGTCATCAAATGGCATTGGACTCTCCTCCCAAGGGACACTAGTTGCTGGATCAGCATTAAGATCTTCCAGCAAAGAAGGCAGAGATTGTAGTGAAGCAGGTGGCATAGATTGTAGTGGAGCTGGCGGCATAAATTGTGGTGAAGCAACTGGCACAGATAATGGTGAAGCTGGTATATCTGATGTCTCAAAATCCACCTCTTCGTCCGAGGAAATCTCATCGTTGTGTGGCCACAAACAGGTCCTTGCCTCGCACTTGAGCAGCTGATCCTCCTCGAGATTTAGGTAGAAGAGGCGCAGCTTGTGATCCCTGCCCTGTGCCAGACACTCCTGGCACGGATCACCTACCTTCAGGTGCTCCATTCTGAGCAGATGAATGTGTGTGGGTAAAAGCGTAGTGGCTGCCCCCCCGAGACTCGCCGCCACGTGCGGCCTAGAGCGGGTTCCCGTTTTTCTGGTTTAATGTGCGAGTGGCTCACCTGACCGAAGGTTAAACGGAAAGCGTACAGTCCGAGATTGGTAGTTTTCATGGTCCGTTCCAGTTGCGGTTAATCGGGATCTGCGGACAACGACACAAAAGTTCCGGTTATTCGAGCGCAGGCTAAGCTTACATAACACGAATTGATTTTTCACTGAATTTTCTCAGCGCTGCTCGTTGTTTGTCGAGTGACAAGCGACGACAGTAAAATGAGGCACTCTTATGCTTATCACTTACGTTTCGGGCGGCGCTCTCCAATCGCCACAGCACTGCAGCCGTCGGATTCTCTATTGTTAAAAATAGAGGAGCAAATTAAAACCAAGAAACTGAAGAGAATAAGAATTAATTCTTAGAGTGTGAGAGCAAGAGGTGGCCCTTTGGCCATTTTGTGGTAGAGGTGCCCATAGAAAAATCGATGTTTTTTCCGACTATCGATTTACATTTTAAGTAATGACGTAAGATATTTATTTTTATTTATTTTGTTTGCCCTTGCAGGGTATTATAATTTTGACAAGAAATAATAAACTTTAAAGGATTAAAAGGATATAAACCGACGATCCGATAAAGTTACGATCAATTTAAATTTCTGCCCTTACGTTCTCGATCATCTTCACGTTGTTTGATTACGTTCCTATCAGATCCAAGTTCCCCACCTTTTTAAATCAATATCGGTATATCGATATTATCATCGATGTCTCGAACATCTCTATTGCTACAATCGTCTAAAACAAGCCAGTCATTCGGAGCGGCTTTTTCTTAAAATACAAAGTTGAATTTTACCAATAAAAACCAGAGAATGGATCCAAGCTTCGACTTTACCGACACTCCCGTCAGCACCGGCGTAAGTATGCCCCCACCGCGCCCATCATCCTTGCATTGAGGCTGTATTTCTACGTTTCCAGACCACCATCATGGCGGTGGAGTTCGACGGAGGAGTCGTTATTGGAGCAGATTCCCGGACCAGCTCCGGGGCCTATGTGGCCAACCGAGTCACCGACAAGCTGACCCGCATCACGGACAAGATATACTGCTGCCGCAGTGGCTCCGCCGCCGACACCCAGGCCATTGCCGATATCGTGGCCTATTCGCTGAACTACCATGAGAACCAGACCAACAAGGAGGCACTGGTCTTCGAGGCAGCCTCCGAGTTCCGCAACTTCTGCTACAACTATCGCGATTCCCTGCTCGCCGGCATCATTGTGGCTGGATGGGATGCACAGGCCGGTGGCCAGGTGTACAGCATTCCCTTGGGTGGCATGCTGACGCGCGAGGCCTGCACGATTGGTGGCTCTGGATCTAGCTTCATCTACGGATTCGTGCGCGAGCACTATCGTCCCAATATGCCGAAAGAGGAGTGTGTGACGTTTGTCAAGAAGGGTGAGTGTGCACTTTCTGGAAACTCCACTATGAGCAGGGTTAACCCGTATCTCTCACAGCTGTCCAGCACGCCATCTACCATGATGGCAGCTCCGGCGGAGTGGTGCGCATTGGCATCATTACCAAGGATGGCATCGAGCGCCGCCTGTTCTACAACACTGAATCCGGCGCCTCCGAGGTCTCGAGCACACCCAGCTTTATCACGGCATAGATAATGGATTTTCCACCAATTAAGGCTTAAGATCGAACCGAGACTGAGTTGCAAACTCGCCTTATGGTAATAAACTTGGTTTTTGTAATATGGATACTTGATTATTTTGTATTTTGGCTCTTGAGGCAGTACAAAAGTTAAGTCTCTACGGGCTAAATGGTAATAAATAGTCGAAAACCTAATCCTAAAGGCATAGTCATACAAATCGTCCTGCTCCCGGACACTGGTTCTGGCTCACAACCCTGATAACTACTGCGGCGACTCAAAGGCAGAGCCCCTCTATCACATGACAATCAATACCGAATTCCTCCTTCACTTAAACCCTAATCCCGACCAGTTTACGAGTTGAGCTTGGTCACTTCCTCGGCGGCGTCTACGGTGGTGTCCATCGACTTGGAGGTGGTGCGTCGTTGCCTACGGTGGCGGAAGAAGATTTCCGGTGTCCAAACAATCACCACCAGTAGAAGAACAGCTCCCTGGGCGTACAGACACTTGACGGAGGAGTCCGCATAGTCACGCACCCATCCCAGCAGCTGGCCAACTGTTATCACGATCACACCCTTGGACATCATGTTCAGACCCAATCCGCCGGCCAGCTTGTCGGGACGACAGTGCGCCGATACTGTCAGATTGTTGTTCAGCACGGTGGCCGACTTCATCACGCCCATTAGTATGGACATGGAGATGATGGTGGCCAGGTTCTGGTTTTCGGCCAGCACACAGCGGGCCACAAAGAGACCAGCGGTGCCCAGGAGGAACACCACGCGGTACGGTATCCTCAGGTGGTCTGTGATGACGGGCAACAGCAGGCGGCAGATAATATCGGCTCCCGCCATTGCGGACAAACAGAAGGCAACCAACTGGCTATTAAGTCCCGCCGTATGCTCCAGAAAGTCGGGGAAGATCATCGTGAAGTTAACGGTGGCCGTGTAGACCAGGGCCATGCCCACAATGATGCTCCAGAATGCCAGATCCTTGAGTAGCTCCAGGTCCATTGCCTGCACCAGGCGCTGGCCCATCCGGCCGCACAGTGTATCCGTATTCTTTGGTGGCAGCTCCTCGCCCTTGCCTTGGCTAGATGGCACAATCACTACTTGCAGGGGACTGGATTGAGCTTTCTCAGCATCCGGCTCGGCCATGAGACGCATGTGGCGACGGTTATTGTGCTTGGCCGGCGGATTCAGAGGCTTCAAGAATGCGGCACCAAAGAGCTGAGTAGGAAAATTAACATTAGATGACTTCTTAGGTGGGTAATCCTTTAAAACTCACCCCGGTTAGAGACAAACCAGACATGGCCAGGACGGCGTAGCGAAAACCATGATTCTCCAGAAGGTATCGCACCAGGTGAGGTATAAGTACCTGGCCAAGTCCTGCCCCAGCCAGGGACACCCCCACCGCTCTTCCTCGCTTGCTGCTAAAGTACGAGTTGATGGCCATAAATGTGGAGGGCGAGATCAGGCCCAAGCCGAAGCCCACGAAGAAGCTGTAGCCGACAATAAAGTGCCAGCTTTCGGTGGCGAAGGCGCAAAGAGCCAAGCCCAGGGAGACCAGCACGCAGCCGGTGGCGGCCACATTGCGCGGCTTGAAGCTCTTGATGGCCGGACCGATGAACAGACCCGAAAAGTTCAGAGCTAGGCTGTTCAGATTGGTGATCAGGGCCGTCGTAAAGGTATCCTCGTGCATCAGGCGCAGCTTGCTCACAAAGAGCTGTCCAAATACGAACAAAATGGACTGGTTTGTCATCTGCAAGCGGGAGTTTAAGCAAATCCTTTAGTACTTGGAGTTTTAATAGAAAAACTTCGGTTAAAACTTACATTAATCAAGGCCACGGCGGCCACCACGACCCAGCCGTAGCCGCCATCAGGAACCACACGATTCGTTTGCACCTCCATGTCAGTGCTCTCCGAAGCGGTCAACAAGATTAGACTGGCTGTAAATAGGCAAGAAGAGTGGGAAAGATAAGTTAGGGATTGTTAAAACGACATCTTTTGTTTATGGCGTCTAGCGTCTAGGTGTGGAAACGTGCGTCCCCCCGATAAGCCAGACAACAACGCACTTACTCGTCTGTGGAGAGGCGAATGGCTGGTTTCGGAGGTTTCCCCAATTTGCGTGGCCATTTCGTAAACACAAGTATTAACAAATTAAGCCGAATTAAAGACTAAATTAAAATAAATTAATCCCAAAGGTCTGCTAGTGATGACATCAATCAGCTGCTCGGCGGATCCGCGGTCCATCGATAACTGCTAGTGACGACACCGGTCAGCTGTGCCACGGATCGCATTTAGTTGGAAAATAAAACGCATTTCTGGCGCACTTTTACGCATTTACCATTAAAAATGCCGTGTTTTTTGTGCACTAAACATGTGGATGACAACGTGGGCAACATTGAGTTTCCTTCCGAGGAGGCTGACTCTATGGGCCTGCAGCCCATCATCGAAAAACATTTCTGGCTGCGGGTAAACATTACAAGAATTCTTTTTGCGCCTGGTTCGAAATTCCAATTAACTTGGATTCCCCCGACTTGTAGATCCATGACTCAGGCAGCGGCTACGTGTGCGGCGACTGCTGGGAGCAATTGCTGATCTTTCACAGCTTCTACCTCAGCGTGGAGCAGGCCCACATGGCGCTGGAGCAGACGACGCATGTGACGTTGCCTTCTCTGCCCACAGAAGTGGTGTCGGCGATCCTCGGTGGAGGGGAGGATGTGGTGAAGAACGAGGAAGGAGACAGCGTGGCGGCTGGCGTTAAGCGCCGACGAGGACGTCCCCGTAAAACGGAGCCAAAGGATGTCAGCGAGGAGCTCAAGACCGTGTTGGAGCAGATCAACCTGAATGAGATCAAAATTGAGTATCCTGAGGCGGATCTGACTATAGCCGATGTCCTGGAAGACCAGGAGGAGCACGACTACATGCCCAGCGACTGCGGCAGTGAGGACGAGGCTGGCGAAGACATGGAGGAGGAGGATGAGGAGGAGGAAGAAAAGCCAAAGCCGAAGCCGCCTAAGGTCCAGCACAAGGCTCGCGGTCGTCCCAGAGGACGTGGCCGCGGCCGCGGCCGCGGACGGGGACGGGGAAAAGTAAGCCTGCCTGAACGGCCAAAGCGAACCGGGGTGCCGAATATGGCAAAGTCGAAGGAGTTCAACGCGTACATTCGGGAGCACTATAAGGTCCACTGCCCAGTCTGCAGTTTGCCCATGGAGGGCTTTTCGGAGATGTTAGTGCATGTGCGACGCGAGCACAAGCAGCGTGGCTACTCCACATGCTGCAACCGCAAGTTCTGGAAGCGGGGCGTCCTGGTCGATCATCTGCGCCGCCACCAGGATCCGGAACTCTTCAAGTGCGACATCTGTCATCGCGTAATGGGCCAGCGTCGGAGTCTGGAGCTGCACATGCGGATGCACGAGATCAAGGCAAACGGGCGCCGCTACCAGTGCGAGCATTGCTCCAAAAGCTTTTACAGTGCGGTGGTGTGCGAGCGCCACAAGCTGACGCACATTCCCCGGGATCAGTGGCTCGTCAAGTGCACACACTGCGAGAAGACGTGAGTCCCACACACTGAAGTTACCCTTCGCTTATGCTTAATCCTTGTCTTTGCCTAGTTTTCCCACTCAGTATACGATGAAGCAGCACGTGAAGTTGGTCCACTTGAATTTATATGCCAAGATCTGCGATGTCTGCGGTAAATCCATCCGCGGCAGGGAGGCTTTGGTCCGCCATATGGAGGAGCACACGGGCGCACCACAGGCAGCCATCAGCTGTCATCTGTGTGACTCAAAGCTGACCACCAAATATGGCCTGGCCCGGCATATAAAGATGATGCACACCGCCGAGAATCTCCAGCCGATGCAATGCGAGCATTGCCTCAAGATCTCGCCCAGCCTGCAGGCGCATCAGCACCACTTGAAGTACACCCACAACACGGCTCGCACTCACCAGTGCCCGATGTGCGAGAAGGCCTTCAAGCGACCCAACGAGCTGAAGGTGAAATATTTGTTTTCTCTCTAAAAAGATTTTCCTAATGATGACATTTCCAGGAGCACATGACCACCCATACCGGGGAAGTGCTGTACACCTGTCCCCACTGTCCGCAGACCTTCAACTCCAATGCCAATATGCATGCCCACCGAAAGAAGGTTCATCGCAAGGAATGGGAGGAGAATCGTCATAAGCGGGTTTACCAGCCGCGGAAAGCGGACACGATCATTGCTGTAAGCGTGCGCAAGACGACGGAGGCACGACTCGTTGGGGAGGCAAAGGCTGCTACAGAGATAGCAGCACCACCTCCGCCACCAGCAGCCGTAAGCTCTGGAGCCGAGTGCTAGCCCTTGGTGACCCTTTGACCTAATAAAAACCAAAATAAGACACTGTGGATGTTGTTGTAACAACTTATTAATTGAAAAACCCTGCTTCGATTGGATCGACCGGCCATAACCGGTTTGCCCGACTGCAGGCCGATCGTCGCGAACTGGTATAACGGACATCGGAGCCGGCGTTATCAGCGATTAAGGTCGAATCTGGTAATTTATAAACGCATATAGCACATGGTTCAGCTTTGGTAATCTTATTTTGACGACGATCAAGCCGCGTTTCCAGGCTCCGGGGCAGACGAGAAAACCGGTTCGAGGCGGCTTGGGAAGTGGATTGGATCCTTATCAGCGGATTGGCATTATCATGCTCGGTTCAAAGGTACCATTCAGCGGCGAATGTTTGTACAATTTTCTAGTCTTCTGCGGAATGCTAAATCTATGCCATAGAAATGACGAGACAAAATCTCCAGATGCCTTGTTGTTCTTTAGAAAACCATCTTATTTACCAATGGAATATTTTTGCGAACCACACATGTTGTCGTCGTGATCTTTGGCCTTTTTGGGGACCTCCCCTAAGTACTCCTTATACGTTCAAGTGGTTCCCAGGCCTACTTATTATATTATTTGATTGCCTTATAGGGGGTTTTAAATTGTAATCTGACTTCATTTTAATAGCTTTTAACATTAAAGTGAATCCCGGTACCTGTTTTACAATGCCAATAAGAACATCCGTTCTTATCGGGTTTTCTTTTATGATTAAAAAAGTCTTGAATAATATGGAGAAAGGCATTTCCGATACTAAAGAAACCTATAGTACGGGTTACTGTGCGATTTTCTTGCTCAGCTTAAAAACTATTGATTTATGTAAATCTTTACCAATCTTCTTTGAATACATTTACCCAATTTTAAATTATATGTGTATAAAAACTTCATTTTTGATATCATAATAATTTTAAATTATTTAGGAGGAATATAAATTTGAACATTTCGAATGGTTAATGGTTGCGGGATACTTGCATAATTTATTTCTTTCTCAAGACAACTAATCAAAAATTTAACACATCAAATTTCAGATTTGTATGTCCTAGTTACATATATGCATTTTAGGATTTCATTTATCCTGCATTTTAAATCCTCAGATCTTTCAATCACAAATCTTAATTTATCCCACCCTCTGCGGTAATTTCAACATTTCTTATTTCGCAACATAATGATCTAAATTTAAAGAGATAACAATAACCCGATCCAAATTGACACTTACTTGTTTGTAATTAGGCAACTTAAATATTCACCGAGTCACTGAGCGCCAAATCTGTTTACTTTTCAACGTCTTGTTTGTTTAATTTCACACTATCACTGGAGCTCTCCTAGATTTGATGCTTATCGCGCGACGAGCAAATATTGTTTGAGCAGAATGCCAGACCTCTCCGCCTTATATTCTTTATTGGAACCTGAAAACAGTGAGATATTTCCTGATTATATGAAGCGAAAAAAACTCATAATTTCGCAACTAGATTTTGCCGCCAGAGAATCGATGACTATCGATTGCAGGTTTAATTTAGTTGCGTTAAAAGTGTTTTTTATATATTTCTGTTTAATTTGCAGAAGTTAATTGATAAATTCTTAAGCTTTTGCAGATAATATAATAAAAACCGTTATTTCAAAAACGAAAACGGCGAGTGGCAACTCTAGACTTGTTATTTCAATCAAGCCTGATGGCAGCTCTGCATATGCAGGGGCGTGGAGAGCAAAAAAAAGGGATTACGCTGATAAGACATTTTTTTTTTGTACTATTTTTTTTATATCCGTTTCTAAGACCAATATCACATCTAATTTAATTACTTTGCCAAATGAAGCTTTTCGCATCCAACCCCCTAGCAATTCTCCTGCCTACGCCCCTGTCTACACCCGCCTCAGCTCAGCTGTTGCATTTGTCTCTTTTTCGCCCACCACCAAACGTGTGAACGTGTCAACATTTTGTTTTCCTCTGGGTTTTCCTTGTTTTTGACCAGCATCAGGACACAATGGTGGACGACAGCACCCGGAAAACGCTGAGCAGCATTCCACTGCTTCAAATTCGCGCTGGACCACGCGAGAAGGACGTGTGGGTACAGCGACTGAAGGAGGAGTATCAGGCGCTGATCAAGGTGACTAGACCAAATTAGTAATCTCGATTGGAGTCCCACTAAGACTTGCCATCCTTCAGTATGTGGAGAACAACAAGCAGTCTGGCAGCGACTGGTTCCGCCTGGAGTCCAACAAGGAGGGCACCAAGTGGTTCGGCAAGTGTTGGTACATGCACAACCTGCTCAAGTACGAGTTCGATGTGGAGTTCGACATTCCAGTGACATACCCAACGACAGCGCCAGAAATTGCTCTGCCAGAGCTCGATGGCAAGACGGCGAAGATGTATCGCGGCGGAAAGATCTGCCTCACGGATCACTTCAAGCCCCTGTGGGCGCGCAATGTGCCAAAGTTCGGCATTGCCCATGCCATGGCTTTAGGTGTAAGTGGTTTTTTGAGAGGCTTTACCCATAGTTTTCTCTTTATTAAAGCATCTCCTCTGTCTTTGCAGCTCGCTCCCTGGCTGGCTGTGGAGGTGCCGGACCTCATCGAGAAGGGCATCATCACGTACAAGGAAAAGTAGTTAGTTAATGTAGATGGAATCACCGCTGGCAACAAAATAATGAACAAAGTTTGATAAGAAAGTCATTATCTTTGCATTTATTAGTCAAAAGTCAAATTGGAAAAGATCTTGCTGCGTTCCTGCCTCGTCGCGTATCCTAGTATCCTAGGTGAATCTAAGTGGTAAGAATTTCATTTGGTTTGATCAGTGAGCTTGCTCCTCGTCCTCCCTGTTAGTTCATGTGGTTGTTGCTGTTGTTGCGCTGCGAGGACTGGCGCCAGGTGTCCGACCAAATTGAGCTGGGCGAAGTAAAGGGATCGTACTGTGTGGGCAGGCTGCTCTCGCCCGGAACTGATGCCTCAGTTCTGTTGCTACCCGCTACCCCCGGTTCTTGTGCAAGATTGTGCGCTGTTCCCAGCATCTGACGTGGAGCCAAATTCTGCTCCAGACCTGGCGGCGGACGCATGACCCCTAGGGTATTGGTGGCAACATCCGGCCAGGAGGAGAAGCCCAGGGGCGACCAGTGGTTGGCCCAGTTATTCGTCTCCAAATTCGCCAGCAGTTGCTGCTGTTGCTGTTGCCTTTGCTGCAACTCCAGCTGCTGGGCCTGCTGGAGGAGCAGTTGCTGCTGCATAATCAACTCGCTGCGCTGCCACTGTTGTCGTTCCCGTTCCTGCTGCTCGTAAATAGCTGGAAGAAGTAAACCAGGATTAGGATATAGACATGTCATATATTTTTGATGGTGCCTTACCATCTCCTGTGGGAAGATCTACGTCCCCATTGGCAAACAGCGAGTTGCTAGCCGTGGCTGAGAGGGGTTCCCATAATGACGTTACCGCCGGCGGCGTGGAGTTCTTTCGGCTGTCTCCTATTGGCCCGAGATCACTCGAAGACAAAGCCTGACTCCAGTCTAAGCCATTGCTGGTGGCTGCATATTCTTTCTTTTGCAAAACCTCGCTAAAGGAGACCTTACTGCTTGTCTCCCAAGGCGAGGATATGCACTTGATGGCATCTGGCGAAGCTGGGGGCGAGGTGCTGTTCGTCATCGACTGGCCAAAGTTAAGCTTCTGGCGTTGTTTCCGCTCTGGTTTCCTGGCTCCCACTCCAGTCCCAGCGGAGCCGTTCACCGCCTTCTGTTCCTTGCGGCGCTCCCTCTCCCGCTCCCTGCCAGGGGTTTTGCCCATTTTTTTGGTCGACCCGTTCTGCTCCTTGAGCACCACTCGCTGTTCTGGAACCTTGTTGTTGTTGGGCCTTGGGGAGATGTTCTCCTGCTGCGGAGGACTAGATTTCACCAGGGGCTTCTCGTACATCTCTACAATTGGTGGCGTCGAGGGTTCCGGCTTTGGTTTCGATGGCACAGGTGACACTATAGACGTAGGCTTCATCTTCTTCTGTGGTCGCACTGAAATTGGAGCGGCAGCTGTTTGGGGCGATGGTGTCGAGGACTTCTTTATAGGTTTTACCTCCGTTTGGTTAGAGGAAGAAGTAGAAGTCGGAGGTGTCACAGGGTTACCCGCCGCTGGCTTTGGCTTGGATTTCTGCAGATGCTTGCTTAGGACATTCATGTCCATGCTCCAGGGTGTCCACGATGACTTGGCTTTTCGCGGAGGAGCTGTCGTGGCCAGAACACTCCGCTTGCGCAGTTCTTTAAGCTGACCATTCTTGGCCTTCTGCTGCTGCTGCACTGCCTCTGCCTTGGCCGCTGCCTCCTCCGCCTGCATCTTCACAATATTCCGCAGATTAAAGGTAGGCTGCAGGGGTCCCTTATTCCTGGCGGCATCGTAGGCATTCTGCTGCGCCATTATGGCTTTCGCATCAAAGACAGCGGCCACCAGGACTAGACCAAAGCTGGCTAAGAGTACCACGAGGGCAGCATTCTTCAGTGATGACTCCCATCCCGGTCTAACCAGGACAGAGGCGCACAGCTCCACACTTTCCGACGGCATTTGGGCCAGCAGCTGGTAGCTGATGTCGTAGCTGAGGTTCGTGAGGAGCGTCAGGGAGCGTTTGACACGCGAGGAAGTAAAGTCCGTGCTAAAGGAGATCTCCACCTTGCGCGTCTCATTCTCACCTAACTCGAAGCCTTCGCAGTCCATCACCCTGAAGCCAAAGTCCTCGCAGGGCAGGGAGCCAATGAGAAAGCCCTCGATCCTCATCGGGATAACACCAGAGTTGCGGGCCGTAAAACTCCGACTGGCCACCACAGCTCCATTACCAGACTGACAGCCTTGGAACTGATCGGTGGAAAGCTCAAAGAGCAGAGGAGACGCAGATCCTGGACGACGATTGCCGAAACGGAACTGTGACTGCACGGCTCGAGCCTGCAGCCAGACGGCCTCGTAGAGAGTGAGATTGCTCCGCACGTGCAACAGGGTGCAGTACTTCTCCGGCTGCTGGGCACTGAAGGTGATGGGTATATTAAGGCTGGCTCCGCCGGGCAGCAGAATGGGATTCCCAGCGTCTGGCAGCGAAAAGACCTTCTTGTCCGTAAGATAGCAACTCGTGGAGCTAACGTCAATGACTTCGTGCGGTAGGGATAACTGCGTCCGACGGGCAAACATAGGATCCGACAGATAATAGTCCAGTAGCAGCGGATGCTGCGAGGGATTTGTCAGCGTAATCCACTGGCGCTGCACCTGGCCCACCTCGATGGCCGGCGTGGGCGGTATCGGCTGGAACTGCACTAGCTTCGGCCACTCGATATTTATGGCAAAGTCCAGCTCCAAGGGAGGTAACTCCTCGCTGTGCAGGGTTAGCGACATGGCTGCCAGTTGGCGTCGCAGTTGCCGGAAGAGCTCCGTGCGCTGGCGCAGCTCCACTCCATCATAGATGAGATTATTGTTGACAAGGCAATTGCTGGCATCGGATAAAAATATTTCGTCTTCCTTCGTGGACTCCTTGATGTAGCATTGATTCCTACACATGGCCGCCGGCTCGAAGTATATGCGTCCCACCTTGGTCAGCGTCTGCGGAGCAATCGTAGTGCCCTTGGCATTGAAATCCTTGAAGCGCAGACCCAGAGGTCGGGCAAAGGATATGCTTTTCACATGCACCGCCTGCGTGAAGCTGGAACGGATGCTGAGCACTGCAGAGCACATCTTGCCGGGAAAACAGTTCTTGAAATCAAGCTGCTCCTGCTCGATCTCCAGCTGTCCCACTGAGGCCTCAAACTTAACGCGCACGCGGATCAGCTCGTAGGGCGTCCACACCTTAAGGGTGCCATAGGTAACCTCAGCCTCGTACGTCTGAATGGCCACCTTGAAGACAGCGCTATCGCCAGGACGCAACTCGGTGCAGAGGTGCCAAGGGCTGCTCTCGTTTTGAACGCGTTCCCGATCTTCCCGCCTCCGACAGCCCAGGAAGGTGCTCTGCGAGTAGACGGTCTTTGGATGCTTGAAAAACCAGTTGGTGATCTTTACGGGAACAGGATTGTCATTGTGCAGGAGAACGAAACCATCGCGAGACATCTCGGCGAATGGCACTGTGCCCAGATCCAGGTCCAGGCTGTAAGCATCCTCCTTGTGCACGTCCTGGTCAAGCTTGAGCTTGAATGGCTGCGTCGATACATGCAGGCGTCCACTGCATGAGACCAGGGGCAGCTCAAAGATCGTGACATTCGTTTCGATTCGCAGGAAGGACTCGAACGGCACATCTTCGTTGAGCAAATTCAGTCGCAGCAGTTCCACGGCCTCGCCGGGCTGCAGCACTATCCTGGGATCGCCCAGTAGGGTTACCTCCAAGAGGGATTCGTCCACTGGTGCACTGAGACTGACGTTGAACAGGATGAGCGGCTGGGCAAAGTTGTTGCTTACTATCAGCGAACGTTTCCTCTCCAGCGGTGGTGCAGTCTCACCGTCTTCCAGTGAGCTTGACACAAACTTGGTGATATTCCCATCGTAGGAGAGTCCGCCGTGGAAGATCTCCGCACGTACCAGCACCGTGAAGGCCGGATCCGTGTCCGTATCTGAACTGGATTGGTTACTGCTATTGATCACCAGTAGATCGTTTATGGACTCGCTGCCCTCGAACAGCCGGGGATCCAGCACGATGCTCGTGTTGTTGGCATCAAACGAGAGGCCCGGAATCTTGCGCAGATAGCTACCAAAGAGTCGGTGACTCTGATCCTTGCGAACATCCAGCTTAAACTGCAGCGCTTCAGGAGAATTCAAGGTGGCCAGACGACCAAAGTCTGCCAGCGGATTCCGGGCATACGCCGAATGTCGCGGCAGAATCTCAAACTCTACAGGTATGACCAGGACGTTCTCCTGGCCCATGTCCAGCTCCTGCTCAGCGATCTTGATGCGTATGTAGGCGCTGTGGTTGCCGGCGGTGCGGCCGTGAAATGAGATCCGTATAACCGGTTTAAGTGTGTGCGGGGGAATCTCCCACAGATTCTGCGGACCCTCTGATCCCCCGCTGGGCAGCTCCAACTGGAACTCGCCCCCGCTGCTGTATATCTGGAAAGTGAAAAGCCGATTAGAAGTCATCCCACATGACCTTACGTCCACCTACCTCCAATATCTGCAGCGGCCGCTCGTGAGGATTGTACATATGAATCTCCGGCGTGAGCGTCGCATTCATGGGCGCCTTAATCCCCACCAGCGGCTTGAGGCGGTAAGGGCATTCACTGCCCTCGCCCTGCACCGCCAGCTCGGCCTGGCCGAACGAGGTGTGGATGAGCAGATCCGCGGCAATGGCGCCCAGTTGCCGCGGCAAGAATACCACATTGAAGGTGGTATTGCCCTGGGGCGGCACCTCCCTGGTGCCCAGGAAGCTGCTGTAGAACGCTGGGCTTGGCCCCGCCACGGCGTTCATCTGGAGCGTTCGGTTAGCGTGCTGATTGAACAGCGTTACCGTCTGGGAACGCGCCTGGCCCACGGACCACGTTCCAAAGTCTAGGCGAGACGGCACGAGCCGAAGGTCGCGCAGCAGTTCACCCAAGTCGTGGGCCGACGGCTCCTGCATTCCCATGAAGCTCTCTTGCAGCACCTTTTCGCCACTGGCCTCCAAGGTGAGCAAGAGGACCAGGATAAGCAGGAATGGCTCGGCGAATAGCCGCGGGAGCGGCTTCAGCAGAGCCTGTGTGGCCATGGTGTCTGTGTGTGTGTGTGAGTGTATTTGAGGCGGTGGCGCTGGTGTGGCGGGCCCGCTTCCTGTCCAGCTCAAATTCTCTTGGGGTTTCCTTTGACGCAGTGCTTTATTTATATTATCCAATATCGTTCGCTGACCAAAACTGATTATCGCTTAGTTCCCCTCGCGTATTTCCCTCTCGTTCTACCGCGGGCTGTCAACTTGCTAAAAAGTAGAGTAAACTAGAGATGGGAGTGGTAGTCGATAGTCTGGCAGAGCTGTTCCTTTATTTGTTTTACAGGGATTTTCAAGGATTTTCTAAAGGATTTTTGGCATGCTCCTATGGCTGTACACAAAACTCAAGCTGCTTAATATTCCGCAAGCAAAGAACGGATAAAAAACACGATTTTTCCTAATCTGGCAACTCCAAACTGTAACCAAGTTGCGTTTCCCGCCAGACTCAGTGTGACCAAAAGCGCATTCCGCCACACTTTGCCTTTTGAAGATTGAAAGAGGCGGTCACTCAGATATAGAAAACGAAAAAACCAAAAGAAAGTTGCAGTTAGTTTACGTGTTTTAATTAATCAGTGGACGTGAAGCTGTTATAATTAAAGTGAGTCCTCCGGCTAACTTGATAATCCCTCCCTACTCTGTCCGAGAAGCGTGCAACTCCACAGGTGTCAAGGGCAGGGGAAAACATGACCAGTAGAGACTTGGCACAGATCGGTCGGCTTGCTATGCACAAACACTCACGCATACCAACACACACAAGGCACAATCTTGCAGAAATATTTATGAATAATTTTTTTTTTATTGCAAATCTCCCAGCGATTTGCCTCGCCCCCTTCTGCGATAAATCACGCCCCATGGTTGTTTAGATTGCCAAATATTTGACCTGCGAAAGGTGATGCAACTACCGTATTGATTTTGCCCACTTTCTCCGCTTACAACACATTCGCCCAGTGCCAGTTTCCAGTTTTCGGTTTAGTTTTAGTTTCACCGATTTCCATACCTCTGCTTCCTTCACCTTCCGCTTTCAGCGGCAGCGTGAACTTCGTGTCCAGATGTAAATGAGCCCCGTACTGGGGCTGGGCGTGTGTGTGTGGTGTACTTGCAAAGTCATCAGCCCCCTTCCATGTGTGCCTTTCAAATTAGATTCCAAGCCAAACGCTAGGCTCTGGTGACGATTTCCGAGCACTCTTTTTTGCTGCGTATTTGGGAGAAAGTTCAATGCATAACAGGCCCTCAGGTGGAGATCGAACGCAACAGCTATTTAGCTTGACCCGTTGCACTTCTGCTGGTGATGGTGATGACAACCGGTTCCACTCAATGGTCCAGTGCCACAGCTAACGGTGCCTGTTGTTGTCTCCAGGCACACACACTCAAGGCAGAGAGCGAGAGCGGCGGGCCAGCTGCCGAAATTCTAAAGAGCCGAAGCCGAAGCAGAAGCAGTGACGAAATCGGACTCGGAACGCCGCCACCGCCGCCGCACGCCTGTTGCTTGTTGCTTGGCTCCCTTTCATGGCTGGTGCTGGCGCTCATTCGATTTCAGTTTAGCCCCAGACTCGACGCCGTGCAGGTTGACTAACTGCCAGGCTCCCCAAAACACCTCGAAACACCCAAAGCAACACACAATCGCTCGCTCGCTCGCCCGACGCACACATATAGCCCGACGCCAGCGAACTCGAAACCTATTGCACCTGCACACAATAGCGCGCGCTCCCTAATCAATTCTAAGTAAATAAATCAAAGTTTGAAAGTACAGACAAAGTCAAGCCACGGTACGCGCGCAAATAGCCTCTAAACGCCTTTGAATAGATCGCTTTACTTGACTATATAAATACCTATAAAACCTCTGGTTAATCTCTTGCAGCTCCAGAATGTCGGCGAAAGCAATTACGGAGGCCTCCGGCAAGGACATCCTGAACCGTCACCTCAACACCCACGGCGCCGGCGCAGCCACCTGCCGTTTTGCCACAGTGAACGCAACAACAGATTGGTCCAAGCTCAGCGTTGACCAGCCCTGGCTGCTGACCACGGTGAGTGCCAGTTAAAAATAGCCCGGAACAGGGAGCTTGCTGATTGCGAATCAGCCGATCAGGAACAACAATTAGGCCAGCAGCGACAACAAAACTCTCCCCGAGGTTGTCATTGAACTTGACCTCGCCGACTGCGGCTCTGCGCAGAGCTTCTACCAGCACGCTGGTAATGGGTGACTAAGCGTTGACTCTGCCTGATAAGCACGATTTGGGCGCCACTCGAACGAGTGATTTGCTAGAAGCTGCGTAGACAGACGGGCGGGAAGCGGAGAAAGGGAACCCAGCAAGTACCAACTCACCCGATGGCGCGCTCTCTCTGGTTTATCGGCCTGTTATGATAGCCTGATTTGGTGCCCATTCCCAGCTGTAGGTCGCGTGGCATGGCGTGGTCTAGGTTTGATTGGTTATCCGCCAGCGGATCAGCCTCACCTCATTTGCGGGCGAGCACGATAAGCGTGCGTGGAGACTGGGATTCTCGATCACGCACCTATCTCCGATTGACCTTCCCATCGATCGTGGAAACTTTGGCAGTGGCTGGGAACTTATCTGGAGGTGGGGTTTTGTTTATTGGGGTCGAGCACCTATACGAGGAAGCTCAACAACTCAACACAACTATTTAAAGTCTTATCTGGCAGGTAGAATCGCAATCGTGGAAATGCTAGTAATGCTTATCTTCAAGTTGTTTGTTGACTTTAGAGGCAGCGTCCTCATTTGTTGCAATTAGTTATCTATATTTTGGTAGAGCAAAAATCTTATCATAGTTTTTCTATAGAATAAACAGATGGAAATTTATTGGTGAGAACTGCTGTTGTGGAAATCCTAGTTCCCTCAAATCTAATCTTGGGGTTTTGGGGGTGAATCCCTCTTGAGTTATCTGAAAATAAAAGTAATATTTCTGGTTAAAAAAGCCCAGGAATTAGTAATCCTTCTGGACAAAATCTAATCTTTAGTATGGGGCTTAATTATTTTAGGAGAATCCCAAGTATTTGTCTTAAATGTGTAACTCCATTTGCGGGAGGAACCCCTAAAGGTGATAAAGGTGTTTACTTGAGTAGGTAAACACACACTTTTCCTCAAGATTAGAATGGGTGTTCTCAATGGAAGCGAAATAATACACCAACAAAACAATAAACAAGACAGAGGTCGTTCTTCGGGACTTTTGGAAGCAAATAATTATTATAAATAAATACTAAATCCTTTTGATATAAAGCAATCTATAATTAACAGTTTATTAGAACTAAAAACCCCACATCCTATACCAAATATATACACCTACAAAGTTGTGGATCACCTGACGACTCGGCTGACATTTGGTACTCAGTTTCGAGCTTGCTTAATTTACACTCGTACGATCTTCTAATAAGCATCTCGGATGTGTGCTTTTGTGCGCCGGGCACAAGTACACAAGTTCGGGTACAAGTACGAGCATTATTGTCATTGCCAATGACGCGGGACTTGGGCCGAGCTGGAACGACCCCTGGTGTTATCGACTGATCTGACCGCTAGAACCGGCTTTTCGCTGAGCTCAGTGCCTCTCAGGAGGCACAAGTTCAACGATTTGTCGCTTATTTCATTATATGTAAGCTCATAAAAACACATTTAATTAGCATCTCGCCCTCTTGCCTTTATTGCAGCCGCTGGTGGTCAAGCCGGATCAACTGATTAAGCGCCGTGGAAAGCTAGGATTGATTGGCGTCAAAAAGAACTTTGAGCAGGTGAAGCAGTGGATTGGTGAGCGTTTAAACAAGGACCAGAAGATTGGAAATGCCGTGGGCAAGCTACGCAACTTTATCATTGAGCCCTTTGTGCCGCACACGGATGTGAGTTCGAGAGCTTTTCATCTAGAATTTCCTTTTTAAAATTGATTTTTTTTAAGGCCGAGGAGATGTATGTGTGCATCTACTCGAATCGCGCCGCGGACACCATACTGTTTTATCACCAGGGCGGCGTGGATATTGGCGATGTGGATGCCAAGGCCGTAAAACTTGATGTGCCTGTGAACTCCACACTGTCGCTGGCCGACGTGAAAAGCAAGCTTTTGAAAGAGGTCAAGGATGCTGGCACCAAGGAACGCATTGCAAAGTTCATTAGCGCTCTGTACACTACATTTGTGGACCTGTACTTTACGTATCTGGAGATCAATCCCCTGGTCGTGACGGCCGACAACCTGTACATTCTGGATTTGGCGGCCAAGCTGGACTCGACCGCCGATTTCATTTGCCGTCCCAAGTGGGGTGAGATCGACTATCCACCTCCATTCGGCCGTGATGCCTATCCCGAGGAGGCCTACATTGCCGATCTGGATGCCAAGAGCGGTGCTTCCTTAAAGCTAACGATTCTCAATCGTAATGGACGCATCTGGACGATGGTTGCAGGAGGCGGAGCTAGTGTCATCTACTCCGATACCATCTGTGACTTGGGTGGCGCCTCGGAGCTGGCCAACTATGGAGAGTATAGTGGTGCCCCATCGGAGCAGCAGACGTACGAGTATGCCAAGACGATCCTCAACCTGATGACCTCATCGCCGAAGCATCCCGATGGCAAGGTGCTGATCACCGGTGGAGGCATTGCCAATTTTACTAATGTGGCGGCGACCTTCCAAGGTGAGTGTTTGGTCTTATCTTATCTCATCCATCGATCTAAATGTCATTCGCTTTGCAGGCATCATCACCGCCCTGCGCGAGTTCCAGCCAAAACTGGCGGAGCACAACGTATCGATCTTTGTGCGCCGTGCCGGACCCAACTACCAGGAGGGTCTCCGGCGGATGCGTGACTTTGGCAGCACCCTGGGCATTCCGCTGCATGTCTTTGGACCCGAAACGCACATGACCGCCATTTGTGGTATGGCTTTGGGCAAGCGGCCCATTCCCCAGGCAGCCAGCGTGGAGTTCTCCACGGCCAACTTCTTGCTGCCCGGCGGACAGCAGGCGCAGGCGGATCTCAAGGCGGCCAGTGAGGCTGGCGAGGTTCTGGGCTCTGGTAAGTGTGGATATTGGACTGGCATGGATTGTGACGTAGTTTGGGTAGTTTGTGTACGCCTAACGACCCCCCCTGGGATATCACTAATCCATTTTGGCGGGTGGCATATGTAGACCGACCGATCGTCTGCACTTATATCTGATCTCTCTCTGTATTTTCTCTTTCTCTCTGTATTTTGTATGTTTGCATTGATCGCCCTCGACAACAACCAACGACAACAAAAATTGTCGCCACTCACCAAAAAAAAATCCACATAAACCAAATTGATAAAAAAAAAAAAACAACAAAATATATTTGAAATATCGCCGATCTGCAACCGATCCCTCATAACCCCCGTGTTCGTTCGCTTGCTCGTTCGTTCGTTCGTGTAATGTGTGTGTTTTTGTGTATCGTACTTGGCTTGTCAATCTTCTACACGTCCTGATCTCGCTCTTTGCTCCTCCTCCATCATCATCTAATCGATGCCCCCCGACATCGATCTCGTCTCTTGATCTCGACTCGTTCGTTCCATTCGTTCGTTGGGATAGCCCTGAGCCCGACAGCAGCTAAACCGATTAAACTACCACCTATCTCAGCAGATGAGGGCGACAATAGCGCCAGCGTTGGCGGTGCCCATCGCAATGGATCGAGTCTGAACCGAAAGTTCTTCTCAAACACCACCAAGGCGATTGTGTGGGGCATGCAGCAGCGGGCGGTGCAATCGATGCTTGACTTTGACTTTATTTGCAGGTGAGTGGGAAGTGATAACAGAAAATATCGATTTATCAAGGATCAACTATATTTCGATCATTTATCGTTGCGATAAACTTACCTTTAGATCGATTTTCAGTGAATTGAATCCATTTATCGAGAGTCAATATATACAATTCAATAATTTATCGTTGCTTTCTTCCTTTCTTTTTTTTCCCCACCACCAGACGCGATGAGCCCTCTGTGGTGGCCATGGTCTATCCCTTCACCGGCGACCACAAGCAAAAGTACTACTGGGGTCACAAGGAGATTCTGATTCCAGTTTACAAGAAAATGTCCGATGCCATTCACAAGCACAAGGAGGTCGATGTCATGGTCAATTTCGCATCCATGCGCAGCGCCTACGAGTCCACCCTGGAGGTGCTCGAGTTCCCCCAAATCCGCACCGTGGCCATCATTGCCGAGGGCATTCCCGAGAATATGACCCGGAAGCTGATTATCGAGGCGGACAAGAAGGGTGTGGCCATTATTGGACCCGCCACGGTGGGTGGCGTTAAGCCTGGTTGCTTCAAGATTGGCAACACCGGCGGCATGCTGGACAACATTCTACACTCGAAACTGTACCGTCCTGGCAGTGTGGCCTATGTCTCTCGCTCCGGCGGCATGTCCAACGAGCTCAACAACATCATCTCGAAGGCCACCGATGGCGTGATCGAGGGCATCGCCATTGGCGGTGATCGCTACCCGGGCTCCACCTTCATGGATCACATTCTGCGCTACCAGGCCGATCCGGAGACCAAACTGATCGTCCTCCTGGGCGAAGTGGGTGGCACCGAGGAGTATGATGTGTGCGCAGCCCTGAAGGATGGACGCATAACGAAGCCATTGGTGGCCTGGTGCATTGGCACCTGCGCCAGCATGTTTACCTCAGAGGTGCAGTTCGGTCACGCCGGATCCTGCGCCAACTCCGATCGCGAGACGGCGACGGCAAAGAACAAGGGTCTCCGGGAGGCTGGTGCTTACGTGCCCGACTCCTTCGACACGCTGGGTGAGCTCATTCACCACGTGTATGGCGAGCTGGTGAAAACGGGTCGCGTGGTGCCCAAGGAGGAAGTGCCGCCTCCAACAGTGCCCATGGATTACTCGTGGGCTCGTGAGCTGGGCCTGATCCGTAAGCCCGCCTCCTTCATGACCTCCATTTGCGACGAGCGTGGCCAGGAGCTGATCTACGCAGGAATGCCCATCAGCGAGGTGCTGAGCAAGGACGTGGGCATCGGCGGTGTCATCTCGCTGCTGTGGTTCCAGCGTTGCCTTCCCTCCTACGTGTGCAAGTTCTTCGAGATGTGCCTGATGGTCACCGCAGATCACGGCCCAGCTGTCTCGGGAGCTCACAACACCATTGTGTGTGCTCGTGCCGGCAAGGATCTGGTGTCTTCCGTCGTTAGCGGTCTTTTGACAATTGTAAGTGAAGAATCTTTGGTATAACAATGAAGATTTTATGCTAATTCGGGACTCCATTTGCAGGGTGATCGTTTTGGAGGTGCTTTGGACGGATCTGCGCGACAGTTCTCGGAGGCATACGACACCAATCTGCATCCCATGGAGTTTGTGAACAAAATGCGCAAGGAGGGCAAGCTTATTCTGGGCATTGGCCACCGCGTGAAGTCCATCAATAATCCCGATGTGCGTGTGAAGATCATCAAGGAGTTTGTGCTGGAGAATTTCCCGGCCTGTCCGCTCCTCAAATACGCCCTCGAGGTGGAGAAGATTACCACCAACAAGAAGCCGAATCTGATTCTCAATGTGGACGGCGTGATAGCCACCGCATTTGTGGATATGCTGCGCAACAGCGGCTCCTTCACCAGGTGAGCTAATGAACATGGGTTCTGATGATGGCCTGATAATCCAAAATTCTCTTGACTTTCAGTGAGGAGGCACAGGAGTATATCAATGTCGGCGCCATCAATTCTCTGTTTGTGCTGGGCCGCAGCATAGGATTCATTGGCCATTACATGGACCAGAAGCGTCTTAAGCAGGGTCTGTACCGCCACCCGTGGGACGACATCTCCTACGTCATTCCCGAGCAGTACAACTAAGCAGCGGCGGCGGCGACGGCGACAAGCATATAAATATTATTCGGAAGTTGTTGTAGTTAAGCACAGATGTACGATGTTAGGCATGGAGGCACCCAGTCCCGGTCCACCTCCCATCCCCTTCCCCCATCACTTAACCTGCATTTAAAGTTGTTAAGTTACCATCATAACTCGGAGCCCGTTAGGGGTTTTGGGATCCAAATCTAGTGAAGTGCTCCGAGGAGAGGGCACAAAACATAACCCAGCATGACTCTTTATTTGATACTTTTTATACTTTAGTTGGATGCTCTCTCTCTCACACACAATTGTCTGGACAACAAGTGAATAAATTGTTGCAAAAGCTTAGTTTTTATGTTGATCACCCTTCTTGTTTTTCCATTATTTATTCCCACGCTCCCTTTTGGCCGGCCTATCGAAGCGGATCTTGGACACAGCACTAGTTCCTGCTGCACTGAAGCACAAATTGATTTAGAAAACAATTACAAGCACACGCACAGAGTCTCTAAATGAGTTTTTTATTTAAAAATATGCCGGTTTTTGAGATGGATCTAAACAAGAGAAAGTCGAAGTTTTCAGAAGAACACCCAAAATCACCGGAATTAAACCGGACAAACGTTTTAAGAACACCGGGAAATGCTTTTTTGTCTCCGACGAGTTTAATTTGCCGAACGAATATTAACAATTTGGAAACGCACACACAACTAAGCGTAGAATCTCATTGGAACCAGGAACCAACCTTTACCCCTAACCACTAAAGCGAGCAACCCCTTGGCTGGTGGTGTTGGACGACTCCTATCTCATACGCCGCATCTTGCGCTCCATTTTCTTCTGCTTCTTTTCGTCCACTTCGGGACTCTCGTCCTGGGCGTTTCGCTGGGACAGCCAAGGTTGGATGACGGTACCCCAGAGCATCCATCCAGCCCGTACAGGCGCCAGGAGAAGCACCAGCCAGAAGTAGTTGGAGATCAAGGCAAGCAGAAGCGTGCCGGAAGTCAGGATTATCAGATCCTTGACATTTCTGTGGAGAACCAAAGGAAAATTAGCTAAATGGACAAAAGTCTGGGCCTTAGTTTACTTACTCCGCAATGCCGCCTTCCATGTTTAGATCATTACCCGAGTCCACAAGAGCCCCGCTCTCGGAGTATTTCGGCCGGGACATGAAGGCCATGAACTGGTAGGCGCCGACAAGGATTAGCAATGCCAGGATGTGCATGAACTGTGGGGGTTTTAGGTCATGAGTAAACGCACCAGATTAGAGTCCCTGCCCACAGACATACCACCGAGGTTTTGGTGATCTCGAAGACTAGCGAACTGAGCAGAAGAGCAGGTGCAGCGCAGCCAATGGCCATGTTTCTGTAGAAAGTCAGTGTCGTCTTGTTTTCCTCCACGATTTGCTTGGCGCCCTTCGTGCCCTGCTTGCCCTTCTGTGGTGGCTGCGAGTAGAGAAAAGATTCCATGTAATCCTGGCTAGCATCGTCCTAGCTCCGGGTTTACCTACAGCCATGGTGAAATTGCTAGTTGTGTGTCAGGTATTTCAAAACTAATATCGGACCACTTTACGTGGCGAGAAATTTGCGTAAAAAAGGCGAGTGTTGTGAAACGACTGCCTGATAGTGGGACAGTGTTGTAAAATGGCACAACTTAATCTTTTGACACTCACTGCGAAACGTCGCCACAGCTGATGGGCCCCCCCTGCTAAACATTCGACCTTTGGATTTTGGATTGGGATTAAGTTTGAATTTGCGGTCACAACATGAATATGGATCGACTGGTGCAGTTGAACAACCAAGCGGGCGGACGGGACAAGATCGCCAGGCTCATCCAGTATGCCTCCCGTGCGATGTGGGACTCGCTGGAGACCGCCAACTCGAGTCCGGCGCTGGTGGATAACTTCAAGACGATCGAGTACATCCTGAGCACCTTCCGGAAGCGTAGGTATCCTCTAATGGTTATCAAATTCTTAACTAATTCTTGTTCGATGCAGTGCTCCGGTTTGGCAAGTGCGTGGACGTGTTCTATGGCACTCTGAAGACCATCCACTATCCGGATCTCACCATCCGTGTGACGCTCACCCTGAGCAAGCTGTCGCAGTCACTGTTCCTTTTCGCTGACCACTTCCTGTGGCTGGCCAGGACGGGACTGACGGCAGTAGACGCCAAGCGCTGGTCCAGCCTCGCCAACAAGTACTGGCTCTTCTCGATCATCATGAATCTGTGCCGGGACTTTTACGAGATCCTGAGGGTCCTGGACCTGCATCGATCCGGCTGCAAGGGAGGCATATCACGTTGCCGCCTCCCCACGAGCATCAACTCGCCCGAGGACTTCAAGCGTCTTGCCCTGCAATCCTTTGTGCTGATGCAGGGACACAAGGACATAGTGGTGGACACGGTGAAGAATGTGTGTGATTTCTTCATTCCGCTCACGGCGCTTGGTTACACAAAGCTCACCCCGAGGACAATAGGACTCCTGGGAGCGGTGTCATCGCTGGCTGGACTGTGGGCTTTGCTGGAGCCCAAGGCCAAGCTAACGCCTGCATAACACCCAGCGACCTGATAAATGGGCAACCTTGTAGATAGGCTGTCCGTGTAGCTATTTTAATTGTTGTATTGTATTTGTATTTGTGCTCGGATTAAGTGAAAAGATAAACGAACGATTTTATGTATTAAAAAACCACCTATTAATTCCGCCCCCTTGCCGGCGCCACTTGGTGAATGCCAAACAGCTGATGAAATGCAGCCCCCCCGCCGTGAATGACACTTTTCTAGTATTGTGTTTTTTCGTTTGTTTCGGTTGCCTTTTATCACTCGCCTTTGGCTAATGGTCCGCAGTCCGGCCGCGTTATCAGGCACTTGGTGAGACCTGTGCGTCACCTGTGCGTGTGCTGCATCCGAGAATCATGAACTACTCCTATTCGTCGCTCTCCACCGGTGGCGGTGGATCAGGACCCGGTGCCGTCGACCACAATCGGTGTTGTGGGAACCGGGCCTGGTGTGTCAAGGACATCTGCGGCATTGTGTGCGTGGTAATGACCTGGCTGCTTATCCTCTTTGCCGAGTTTGTGGTCATGCGCCTCATTCTGCTGCCCAGCAACTATACGGTCTTCAGCACACTGAACATGATCGTATTCCAGGCGCTCGCATTTCTAGCGTTCGCCTCCCACATACGCACAATGCTCTCAGATCCGGTGAGTGTTGGTGGGATGTACTCGGGGTACACTAATTAGTCTTATCTACGTGATGGAAAACTGCCCAATAAGGATGAGTTTTCAATATTGCCACATAAGCATATACATATCTTTATTTATTCCTCATTTCTTCATGAACAGGGCGCTGTACCCCGTGGCAATGCCACCAAGGAGATGATCGAACAAATGGGCTACCGCGAGGGCCAGATGTTCTACAAGTGCCCCAAGTGTTGCAGCATCAAGCCAGATCGGGCGCATCACTGCTCCGTTTGCCAGCGCTGCATCCGAAAGATGGACCACCACTGTCCCTGGGTCAACAACTGCGTGGGCGAGAACAACCAGAAGTACTTTGTGCTCTTTACAGTAAGTGCGGAGCTCTCTGTTTCTAATGGGTTCCTCGTATGCCAATTCTCTCCTTTCTCTCTTCTTAGTTCTACATAGCTTCGATCTCCGTGCACACGCTCTTCCTGGTTCTCACCCAATTCGCGGAGTGTGTGAAGAACGACTGGCGCACCTGCTCGCCGTACTCGCCGCCGGCTACCATATTTTTGCTGCTCTTTCTCACCTTTGAAGGCCTTATGTTCGGCATATTCACCATCATCATGCTGGCCACTCAGCTGACGGCTATCCTCAACGATCAGACGGTGGGTAGCCGCTCTCTCTCTCGGAAGATTTAACAATTAATGTTCTCCACTCTCTTACTTTTTTTTTTTACAGGGAATCGAGCAGCTTAAGAAGGAGGAGGCTCGCTGGGCCAAGAAGTCGCGCCTCAAGAGCATACAATCGGTTTTTGGACGCTTTTCGCTAGCCTGGTTCTCACCTTTCACGGAACCTTCCTCCTGCCGAACCAAGTTCCATTCGCACTTCTACTCGGTCTGAAGAAGGCTTCGACTTGGAATAGGAATTAGCTTAAACGAACAATACTTGAACCAACGTACAAGGGCAACAAGTAGCCGCCACTTGTTGCTCCGCTGCAAAGTGTGCAATTTTTTGTATTTTTCAATCAAGTTTTCTTAACTTTAACTTATTTGTATATGTGTGTGTGTATTTAGGAATTAAAGATTCACAGCCTTAGCCAGGTGAAGAGTTGTACTTACCTGAAAGCCGTACTAAATCAATTACTGGTCTTTGTTTTTCTTGGTTTTCTTCATGTTTTCTGTCTTGCTGAGAGCTTTGATATAGAAGACATGCGCAGCATCTCTGCTCATCTTTAGGAGAGGAGCTTGCCGATCTCATTGCTCTTTCTCGTGGTGGCCAAAATTATCCCACATACGACATGGACAGGCGAGGCGATGCTGCTGATCTGTCTGCTCAGTTCAGTTTAGTCTGAGAAAAACGATCGGAGATCCAGGAGGTGTCTGCTGGACGTGGTGCGCGCCCTCGACGTCGACGCTGTGTTGTACATATTGTTTATATATAGAAAAGAAAAGAACATCTCTGTGTGTTCCCCCAAATGTGTCAATCTTTGTGAGTGTGAGTGCGCCTGGTGGATTTCGACTTGGAATTGGAATTGAAATCGAGGAATATGGCTATGTAATCCGCTGCATCGCAGTCGAAAATGTGAATATATCCTAATTGCACATTTTCCGAGCCATTGTGCCCAACGAATACGCGTAATTACCAGCGGAAAATTTCATTTCAGTGATTCGGAAACGAAAAAATTCACGAAATTTTTTAACGTTGATTGTGTGCGGCGGCATCGGCGCGTTCTAAATATAAATAATAAAAAAAAAAAAGAAATCGCTTTCGGAAAAGTATACTGCGCCCTAATCCTACACACAGCACAAGTCCTGAAAAGCGCAAAGCCCCATATTCCCGGCCCATGCCAAAGTTGCCCTGTTTTGCGGCTAATTATATAGTGAGACCTGAGCATGGAAAGATCGCCAGCAGGCAATGCCGCGGACGAGAATGCCGTTGCAGTGGGTAAGCGAGTGGTGCCGGGAAAGCGAGAGTTTCTCCTTTTTGTTTCCCTCGGTCTGTTCCCGATCCCGAACAATGTACTTTATGGCTATTTGTGTGCGTTATTTTTATGGCCTGCCACGGGCTCCGTCTTCGTTGGCTCCCCTTGTTCTTCTTTGCCGTGATACGGCGGCCCCCAGTGCGGTTACGTAATTTTTGTGTGAGAAATTTTCATAATTGTACGTTGGAATAAACGCTGGTCGAGTGTCATCCGCACCCCGGCGAGGACCGAGCGGTGGCCAACTGCCGGTATACTATGTGCAAATCACATTTGATTACACGGCTACCCCATGCAGAAAGATTCGACATGCTGGCAGCAAATAGTGCCCGTTGTGTGGTGGCGTATGAATAATATTTGGAACTATTTTTAGTGCATATTTCGAATACTCGATGGTGTTTTGGGCAGGTTATGGCAATGTGCACGGGACAAACAAACACCAAACACTAAACATTATAGGAGAAGTTCCTTGAAGGGCAAAACCGAAATAAAATCAGAATTCATTTTGATGCTGTTATTCCGCGTGGTAGATATTTTTCATACCTTTGTTGGGTTTTATAATTTCATTTAGAAGCTAGGAACACAGTGAAGGAATCATTTCCGACCCTCTAAATCATATATATTCTTGATCAGCATTAAAAGCTGAGTCGATTGAGTCATGTTTGTAAGGAAAAAAAAATTTTTAATTTTTTAAATATTTTATAAGGGGTTACATCGTCAAAATTGTCAAAAATTTATAAAAATTTTGTTTTCTTAAATTTTTAAACTTTGTATGCAATTTTATTAACCTTATAAAATCTAACTCAGACCAGTTTTCGGAATTTAAATTAATGCATTTTTGGCTTAGTTATTAAATTATGAACCTGATGTTTTCATAAAAATACGCATACAAAATAATAGATAAATATTTAAATTTTCATACCCCTATGAGGTTATTATTTTAGTCAGAAACTAGTAATGCAGGGAAGAAGTCACTTCCGACCTTATATATCATATATACTCCTGATCAACATCAACAACCGAGTCTATCTGGGCAGAAAGTATTTATTACAAATTGTTGTAAAATTTTATATGGGCTTACATAATTAAAATTCGCCAAAAAAACAATAATATATAAAACAATAAATTATAAATAGGACTGGAAAGCAATCAAAGTTTCCCGTGATTAGAGAGTATCTCCTAGTCGAATCTCTTTGCCCCCTTTCATCGTCTTTGCTGCCGGCATAACTATGTGTCTGTTTATGTGGCAACTTTTGACATTTCGCAAATATTTATGATAATTTGTTCGGCGGGCGTTCCTTAGTCGTCGCCGCCGCCGCCGCCGTTGCCGGCGAAACTTATAAAGCGATTAGTCACGCTTATAATTAACGTACTATCAACGCCGCCTGACCACTTTGCAGAACCTCCTGGCCAGGATAGAGAGTCGTCCGAACGCCGACCACCCCGCATCACATTCAGCGAGAACTCCAGCTCCCTGATCCGCTGCATCCCCAACGAGCGCGCCACCTTCTTCGTAAAGATCGACTGCGATGAGAAGGATGAGCAGGAACTGCTGCCCTTCAAATTCGAATGGTAAGTCATAAATCTTTCGCAGCCAATCTATTTTTCTCGCCTTACCTGTGCATTCGGTGCGCGTGAATCACTGCCGTCCTTGTTCCGTCCGGCCGGCCGTGTGTGTGTGTGTGTGCATTATGCCAAAATTTTGCGCATTAACATATGATTTCTCCTTCATGGTTGCCTCCGACGGATCCGCTCAATCAGATACTACGGAGAGCAGGTCCATCGGCGTCTGCGCCCCTTGAAAGAGCGAGAGAGTCGTCCCCCATTCATCTCTGGGTGCCCAGGTTGCTAGAGCGACCAGTTCCACTTTGACGATCGGCGCATTAACATATCCGTTGCCCAGCGGGCGGACATCGAGAAAGGCAGCCTCAGCAGCGCTATACGAGAGTTCTATATATATACACCACTGCGTATACGTACTGGTGCGTGGAATCCGGGGTGTCCACGCGGCGCATACTTAATAAATCACATGCATATCGAAATCAATCAGTTTCGGTGGAATTCCTCCGGGACGTCGCACCAGCCAGCACCTGGCATATGCGGGCCTCGGGATCGGTGCCCGAAATATGTAACAATCGGCTATATATAGACGTATTAACAAATCGCATCGCGTCGCGTCCGCGGAACTACGTCTACGTTTACCTCTTTGGCGCAGCCTTTGGGGGGGCGGTGGCCTGTTGTTGGGGCAGCGAAAGGAATTTCGGCTTTTCCAATTAATGCCCTAAAATTGTTGAAAATAGTTTTTCAAACGAAATTCGGAAAATTACATAATGCGCCTTCGCCTGGCGCGTAGAAACAACGAGAGATATGTGTGTTAGGTGAACAGAGGAGAGTCAGATGTTTGGCAATATCCGCGAGAGGCAACAACAGATAAATAAATAAAACAATTCTGGGCACAGAACACACAAAGGAAACACGAAACAATTTGAAAATTCTCGATTTCGGTTGAAGACGACAGCGAAACAACAAGTTATTAGCGCTCAACATCAAAAAAAAAACACGCAGCCCAAAAATAAATTGGCAAAAGCACTGACTAGCCTGGCTAGCGTTTAAATTATTGCAGTCCGCGGTTTCTGCTCTGTCTTCCTTCCGAGCTGGCCGAATGCGAAATACAATTAATAGCGTAGCAAGTTCGAGCATTTATTTATAAACATTCTCGCTTCGATTCAGAAATACTCTGGCCATTATTCTCTTTCAGAACATTTTTGTATTATTATTATTGTTTTTGTGTGGTGGTTCTGGTGTTGGTTTGAGAATCTGTTTATTGGCCAATAATAAGTGCCACATAAATAAACGGCTCTTACGCATCAAACGTTTCGCGTAAATGTTTGCACGTGCTAGTGGTATAAATAATATAGAGAAATTAATAAATAATAAATAATAATATTAAAAAATAAATCAAAATTTCTAACAGAAGACTCTGAACTGATTTGAGATAATTTATAATGAGTTACTCATAATGGTTTTATGAAACCCTTAAATTATATTCTCTCCATCAAAAGGAAAATTAAATAATGATAATTAGTACAACATTCCGAGAGGCTATAGCAAAATTAAAGTGAAAATTAAACCGAATATTAGTTGTAAAAAGCGTAATATAACCATATAAACGCCATGGGCAACGGATGTTCCAAATGCTGCCAGTGCAATGAGCACAAACAAATCCATGGCACACTCTCCTCGGCCTCCTCGGTCTACAGGAAAAGGTGATCCCTTGCTGTCCATTCTGTTATTTCCCTATGGATTGCACTATATCTGAAACTCACGCACACTCTCTTCCGTTATTATCTTGTATTATCAGGAGCCGTGGTGAAGTTCCCATCGAGAATTCCGATCGCTTCCGCATCACGGCCACCAGCAATGCCGTACAGCTGGCCGTGGAGCATGTTCAGCGGGAGGACGCCGGCCACTACACGCTGTTCGCCAAGACGAAGAGCCAGGATGTGGTGCGTCGGCACGTGGAACTCATTGTGGAGGACAGATCCACCGGCGACGATCCACCAGTGTTCTTGCGACGCCTCGTCGATCTCTCTGTAAAAGTGGGCACCCGTACACGTCTCCTCACTGAGATCAAGAGCTCGACAGATTTGAAGGTAATATATAATATATATATAATATAATATATCATAACTAAGCGAAAAATGCATTAATTTCGACTCGGAAAGCAGTTTTGTGTTAGTTTCTATTAATTTAAAAAAACTGCATACCAAATTTAAAATTTTAAGAAATCAAAATTTGTGGCCATTTTTGCTAATTTTAATGATGTAACCCCTTATGAAATTTCGCAAAAATGGCAAAAAAATCGATTTCTTCCGGACATGTCTAGAAAGATTCCCCTGTTGATGCTGATCAAGAATATATATGGTTTTTGGGGTCGGAAATGATTCCTTGACTTAGAAAAATATTATTTTGTATTATAAAATCGGATTTTTTATATTAAAAAACTTATTGATTTTTTTTAAAATTAAAAATATCATAACTCGGCCAAAAGAGCATTAATTTTAAATCGGAAAACTGTTCTGTGCAAGATTTTCTACAGTTAATAAATCTGCATACTTCATTTAAAAATTTTGAAAATTCTTTTTTTTATCAAAATCAAACATTTTAATGATGTAACCCCCTTATAAAATTTTTCAAAAATGGCCAAAAAATCGATTTCTTCCTGACATATCTAGAAAGATTCCCCTGCTGATCAAGAATATATATGGTTTATGGGGTCGGAAACGTCTCCTTTACTGCGTTGCAAACTTCTGACTGAAATTATCCTTTCATAAACAACCATTTTCCTTTCCTTTTTTACCAGCTCACCTGGTATCGAAATGATCGGCGGGTGTGTGCCAGTGATCGTATAACAGAGATCAACGAGGGAACTTTCCACTACCTCGAGGTGAGTCCAGTGACCATGGAAGATGGCGGCCAGTGGATGCTGATGGCGGAGAACTATGGCGGACGCAACTCCTGCCTGGGTACGCTAAACGTGCTGGTTCCTAAGGCGTACAAGACGCCGGAGTTTGTGGAGGAGCTGCGGGCTGTGCTCACGGAGCAGGGCACCGTTTCGCTGGAATGCAAGGTAGTGGGTGTGCCCACGCCACATCTGCGGTGGTTCAAGGACTCCAAAGAGATCAAGGCCGGCGACATCTTTGCCCTGACAGCCAATGCCGATGATCCAACAAGCCTGGGCACGTATACGTGCGAGGCGCGCAACTGCATGGGCGTCACTTACTCCAGCTCCAAGGTGCATGTGGTAGGACGTGGTAGCCGCGAGGGATCTCTCAAGCCGGCGGATAGGTGAGTCTCTTTTGGGGGTGAGTCTCTAGTCGGAGCTCTCTTACTGACTAATCTTTCCGCAGCGTTGCTGCCAATGCGCCGCCTCCGATATTCACGAACGAACTGCGCGACATGAGCCTCCACATCGGCGAGACTATCATTCTGGGCTGTCAAGGTGAGCACTCGGAGCATTAGCTGCCGATCTCCTGCTGGCACTGGGCCAACGTGTCTTTGTTTATCTTCTCTCGGGCACTCGGACACTCGGAATACTTGGTCACTCAGAGCTGTGTGCGTAATGGCGAATTTGGTCCAATTCCCGCCTTCGCCGGCGCTTGTTGTTTTTAGACCGCGCGCCAGAAACTTGAACTCGATCGCACGGTTGGTATGTTGAGGTGGGTCATCAACATCCCGTCGAGTGGCGAGCAAAACAAAACCGATAATTGCCCGCCGCCAAAGAGAGAAGAGAAAGCATAGACGACGTAGCGGAGAGATCACTCTGCTCACGCTCTCTCCGGTACACAGATTGTTTACAAGTTCTCCCCCATCTCTCCCGTAGTGGTGGTTCCGCCCTGGCCCAAAAGCGTTTGCTGGTACAATACGGAAGGCCGTGTGGAGACCGCTGAGCGGTACAAGCTAATCGAGGATGGCCTGGGCGTTTACATGATCGAGGTGAAGCCTTCCGAGTCCTGCGATGCCGGCGAATGGAAGTGTGTGGTGACCAGCTTCGATGGCAGTGTGGGCATTTCATCGTGTAACGTGGCAATGGACAGTGAGTGGAAATTGTTGGCCTTAAAGTGTGGCTTTTTTTATTAAGACCCAAATTATTACAGTTCCCAGGAACTATCGCAAGCCCCGCTTCATGGAGAGTCTTCGCGCCGTGCTCACCGAGGAGGGTCTCGTGTCCTTCGAGTGTAAAGTGGTAGGTTTTCCCACACCCTTGCTTAAATGGTTTAAGGATGGCCACGAATTGAAGCCAGGCGACGTGTATCAGCTGACGGGTACCAACTCATTGGGCACCTATTGCTGCATAGCACGTAATTGCATGGGAGAGACCAGTAGCACCGCTGTCCTCACCGTGGAGGATATCCAAAACCAGCTGACCGACGAAGAGCGACTGGTGTTCACTAACCAAAACCAAAATCAAGCCCCAAAGTTCCTTACCGGACTTAAGAGCACGGATGCGAAGATAAACGAACCTTTCCAGTTCAAGGTTGTGGTGAAGGCCACCCCAGATCCCATACTGTCCTGGTTTCGGGACGAGTTGCCCATTGATCCGAACGAACGATACAATCATTATCGCGGCGAAAACGAGGACTGGCTGTTGGACATCAAGGCCGTTGAGTTTGTCGACCAGGCTGAGTGGAAGTGTGTGGCTGTCAACGATTTTGGGACCAGCATCACTTCCTGCTTCCTGAAGCTGCAGATACCGCGTCACTATAAGAAGCCCCGTTTTCTTGAATGCCTCCGGGCGGTGCTTACCGAGGAGGGAGCCGTGAATTTGGAGTGCAAGGTTATCGGCGTCCCTCAACCGGCCTTGAAGTGGTACAAGGATGGTGTGGAACTGAAGCCGGGTGATATACATCGCATCATTTCGGGCCAGGATGGCACCTGCTGTCTGGGCACCTACACCTGCGAGGCAAGGAATTGTATGGGTATCGTCGCCAGCTCTGCCTCACTCCTGGGCTTTGAAGATGCCCAAAGGAGTCAGCAGCAGAAGAACGAGGAACCGCGCGAGAACGAACTGCAGAGAAACTACTCGCTGTCCACCATTCAGGAGGAGCGCACATCCCAAATGTATGAAACACCCGTTGGCGACATTACCATCGATGACAAGGGCGATGTATCCTTCTCCTTTGACGGCAAAGAGGTCTCCGTTTCACTTTACGAAACGCCCGATCTCACTGAGGAAGAGGCCCTCAAGATTGTGGAAATGTATGCTGATCAGATCTCGGAACATGTGACTGAGCACAACATTGTGGAGCTGCCGCCGCTCCGATTTGTCAAAGAAACCTCGCAGTCGGGCAAGCTGCTGATGGAGGCCGTGGTCATTGACATCTCACCCGAGTATTTTACCGTAGAGGAGGATATGCGCACTGAGGCTGATATGGATGACATATCCATCACGGAGATCACAGTGCACGGCTCATCCGGCAGAGAGGGCAAATTTGACAAGGAAACCGAGCAATATGTGCAGGAGTCCTTTGAGAAAATGGAGGAGGAATTGTCGCTATCAGCACCAATTCGAAAGCGGAAAAAGTCCAAGCCCACGGAGACAGATGAATTCTTTAGCCTGTCTAAGGCCTCAGGATCGGGCAGCCAAGGTGAGGAGGAAACATCGGACTTGCAGACCTTTGCCAGCGCCCAGATGTCGGCATCTCAAAAGGCACCTGTCGAAGCTCAAACCAGTTCGGAGAAGGACAAAGAGTCAGTGGCCCCGCCAAAGAGAAAGAAGTCGAAAAAACCGACAGACAGTGATTCTTCGAAGACAACAGAAGACGATGCCCGACTGCAAGACATTTCTGGAGCCGTGGGAGATGGACTTTTAGTGACACCATCGTCGCACCCAAAAGCAGTTACCGATGAAGCTGAAATCAATAAGAATCTCATGGCCCTGGTCCCCCTGGCAAAGCTGCTCAAGGTCATTCAGAATCATCTAACAGCTGTCGAGAATGAGGTCCTGGAGCAATCCACCATGATGATGACTCCGGCTGCAGCAGATCAAAGCATTGCCATCATTCGCAATATCATAGAACCGATCAAGCAAATCGAATCGAAACTTAGGGTCTACTCCGGGGAGTCACAGATCGATGCCCTTATCCAATCGATGGACGAGGATATCCGCCGGCTGCACATGGGCCTGCAGGTCATTGAAAAGTGCGTGGAGATTGACGAAACGGGAGCCACGCTCATCCAGCGCACCAGTGTGTGCATTATCGACAGCGTGGCCGATCAGATGAAGCGAGCCCTGGAAGAGCTTAAGGTAGTCAGCAGGAAATTTGAGTCTGAGTGCCTCCGTGCCCAAATTGAGCTCACCGCTGATGACATTCAGCAGGGATTGGAGATCACGCAGGGCACAATTAAGTCTCAGGCGCTTCTACAGGAAGCCCAAGAACTGGAGGCAGCCAAACACTTTTCCGAAGCTGTTGAGAAAATGCAAGAAGTTCCGGACTCCGTATCCTTTGCCACAATTTCGGAGGCGAACTTGCCAAGTGAAGCGAGCGCTTTGAAAGAAATTTGCCAGCCAGTGGCAAAGATTCAGGAAGCACTGGAACGTGTGGAGATGGAGTTGTCTTTGGAGGATTCCGAGGAGCAGATCTACAAGAAGGTGCACCAAAAAGTACTCGAGAGCATTGTGGAGCCAATTAAGCAGTTGCAGAGCACCCTGCAGTCCATTGAAGACAAGACCGAATCCCTGGCGGGTACCGAGTCAATGGAACAGAAAATAAACATGGCCATTCTTGATATTGTAACGCCTCCCCTTTTCGAGCTTAACAAGGGCTTGGAGGTCATCCTCAACGAGAAATCGGACAGCGTGGAGGGTGGCATGCTCACAGTCAGCACCGTGGAATCGATGGTGCCACCTCTGCAGGAGATTCAAAATGGTCTGGCGCAGCTGGGCCAGGATTTAGAGAGCGGACAGGCCTCAATACCGATGGAGGATCACAGATCCGAGCCTGGCTTGGATGTTGCAGATACCCAAAAACTTTTGCAGTCATTTGCCCAGGCTGTATTGCACTTTGAAACGAATATTGAAAGGATTTCGCCCAGACTTTCATCCAACGTTAAAATCCGTTTACTTAATCTGAAGGATGAACTATCAGCTTTAATTAGCAGTATTCTGGAAAAAGACATTTCTATTCATCATGTGGATCTTCTTGAAAGACTAAAGCGTCCCGTAGATGAGCTCAACTACTGTATCCGGCAGACGGAGGTCAAGTCCATGACCGGTTCTCTAGCCGATCTTATTGAGCCCTTGAGCATGCTGCAGGAGAACACCCAGAAAGGCCACGGGGTGATGCTAACAGCTCGGGATCCCGACCAGCAAGCTCTGCACACCCTGGAGAATATACGCAGCATTATTCGAAACGCAGTCATTGATATCGAGGAGCACGAGTTCAAGATTTTGCAGCAGGAAATACAGCAGGATGAGGAGAAGGCTTCACAGCAGCATGATAAATCTTTCAGTGCCCTTCGCAAGGTTCTTGAAACCAAGGTGTCTCTGGAGGAGGCCGTTGGCAACATTGAAACGCTTCAGGAAACTCTGAATAAAATTAGCGAAAACGCAAAAGCATCCGAAAAGGTAAAGATATCCGCCAATGAAGCTCAAGTTTTCCTCTTGAGGATCCTGCAAATCGCCAAGGGACTGGCTACTTTTAGCGAGGCAGAGACAACTCTCGATGTAAATGAGGCGAATACAACCAGAATACTTTTCGAGTGTGGCAAAAGCTTTGCTGACTTGGCTAAAGCCCTGGACAGTCCAGCAACAACTCTGTCCGATAATCAATTTTTGAATGCTCTGAATCAGTTTACTGACATTGTGGAGCAGCAAAAGCCATTAATGGAGGAGAAGCTTTCCATAGCAAGTCCCCTCTCAAGTCTGATTCATGTCCTTGAAAACCTGAAGCCCTCTAGAGCCTCAGTCGAAGACTTGTCGACTTTGGATGACGTTTCAGTGCTTAAGTCAGCCGCAGAGTCTTTGCCCACAGAACCAGAAGTGGAACCCACCAGCGGCGAGCAACAATTGTCCGTAGCTGTCCTGCTGTCCGACTTAAATCAGGGGATAACTTCGGTTCTCTCGCACTGCGATGATGCTGATGTTGCCTCGTTAGCCGGCGTGGCCGCCCAGAAAGTACAAGAAGCCATTGTCAAAATGCAGGAACTGCAAAGTACCATAGCTTTGGTTCAAGAAACTGCCCTTGTGGAAGCAGCACAACCTTTGTCAGAGGCTAGTCAACAAGGCACCTTCGCCGAGGCCGTATGCAGCTTGGAGCAATGTGTCCTTAACGTGGAGGAGTGTATGGCCCACAGTGGCGTCGAGAGCCTTCCTGAACTTGAACTTTCGAAGCTCAAGACGCTGGCTACTCCACTCCGCGAAGTTAGGCAGTACTGCGAACAGATTGATATGCAGGTGCTGGAAAATGTAACTGATTTATCTACCCAGGAGGATATTTCTGACCTAAAGAGTGTTGGACACAAGCAAACTGTTTCGGACCATATTCAGGAGATGGCTGTTGTAGAAGAGGATGCGACGGTGGAGGTATTCGACATACAACAAGGTGTGGCAAGCGGCATTAAACAGCTTGAGGCTTGTCTCGAGGTCACACAGACTGATTCCAGCAAGGAACTCCAGAAAGTGGCCGAAATCATGGGGCAGCTAAAGTCAGATTTACAGAATATTCAAACTGCTCTTGTCTCGGAAGGTGTTCAGCAGGAAACGGTCCTGGCCCAAGCGCAAATAGCCCGCACTATGTTTAAATTAAAGGAATCTCTGGTTCATACTTATGAGTCGGGATTGGTGGACTCATTGGAAAACGTTGAGAGTGCCTTTGAAGATATATTGCTTTCTTTGCCAGTTCTAGAGACCCAGCTGGCACAGGAAATGTTTGGAAAAATTGCCAAGGCATTTAATAATTTCATTTTGTATTGCGACCGCCCAGAAGCAGTTGATCATAAAAAGCTTTCAACTCTGAGGAAGCCTATTGAAAATCTACTTCAGTCTATCGCAGCTGTAGCCGCTCACCCCACCGTTGACATTGATAAGTCTTCGGCGGTAATTGTACAATTACAGACCACCCTGATGGCAGCTTTTCGCAGCCTAAATGAAGTCAGCGAAAAGGTCAGCAATGAAATTTTGGGGGGACTCTTAAAGACGCAAAGTAGTTTAGTAACTGTATTTGATTTTATTGAAAATAATGATAGTACCATTCGCGTTATTGAACTGCTGCAAGAAATGGATTCCATTACTGCGGAATTAAAGGCTTTGTCTCAGATTTCAGTTGAACCTACGGTGCCAATAGATATAAGCGAAATCATTGAAAGCGTTTCGTCTGGCAAAGCCTTCCTCACCGAAATCGAAGAGGGTCTTCAAGCTAATAATCCCCAGTGTCTCCTCTTGCTCGATGAAAACACGGACGATATTACTCAGCTGGAGGCCATACTTGTGCAAATCGAGAAGGAAATCCTTTCTCAACCCCAACTTACACAAATAACAGCTAAACAAGTTACTCTCATAGATACTCTGCACCTGCAAATAAATATTTTACAAGACAAGCTTAGTAAACTAAATGTTTTCATTGACGAGCTGCAAAAGCAACCGGATATTTCTTCTTCTGAGTCGGTTTTAGGTTCAGACTTTAAGACTGAAGAAAGTGCTGAAAGCCAAGAAGATATTGAACCAGAACCTAAGAGGGCTAAAGTTGTGGAAGCAGAAATAGTTCCTACCACAAAAGTTTCAGAATGTACAGAAAATAAACAGCAAGCAGAGCAATCTGAAGAAACGAAAGATGCATTTAAAATAGAATCCGAGGAGATATCGAAATCAGAAATCAAGGAAATAAATGAACAGAAGGTCAAGCAGGAATTATCAACAAAGGACTTAATTAAAGAGTCAGATTTGGATAATAAGAAAATTAGTGAGGTTGATAAGGATTCTGCGCAAGAAAAGGACAAAGAAGAATCATCTAAGATTATTGCTCCAAAGAGTTCTCCAGAAGCAATTTTAGAGACGTTAACCGAAAGATTATCAGACTTATCCCAAGCACTTGGTAGCGACACAGAGAACGAAACAATGAAGATTGTTATTGCAGAAAGTCAAGATATTATCGAAAATATGAACGACTGCAACAAAGTGTCCAAATCAATATTTAAATTAAGAGAGCACATAGTTCACACTTATGATGGAAAGGCTCCAGAGGAGCAGTCGGACAAAGAACTTGTCGAAGCATTTATTGAGTCTCTCTTCGATGCCTTCCCTGAAGCATCTCAACAAATAAGTCAAAATTATGTAAAAGAAATTAAAACCAACGTGATTTTAACTAAAGCAGCAATTCAGCTAATTGACGACCAACACATGTCTATAAAACCATCTTCCCTAGTGCCAAAATTGGTTAATCTGGAAAGTATTTCCGAAAAAATTCAATTCGATCAACATGTCGATAAGTCATCTGAAAAAATGATCAGCTTGCAACAAAACCTTATGGATATTTTCATTATTCTTGATGACCTTGTAGACGAAAACATGGGGAATATTAAGCAAAAAATAGAGGAAACCAAAACCTTATTGCTTAGTGAATATGACTACATTGAGAAAGTTCAGGGGGCACTAAATACTGCAGTCATACAAGGAAAAGTTCAAGTTATTACGCAGAAGATTCTTAATATTTCTGAAGAATTAAAAGATATTCTTGGAAATCAAAGTCAACACAAAGACACTGTTGATCAGGGAATATCATTAGAGAAGCAATCTTTGGAGGAACAACAACTTGAAGCTCACACTCAAAAAGCAGATGAAAGGAATATCGACCAGGAAACTGAGAAGAGGGAAGTTTCTGTGACTACCGCGGAAGAGATATCTCAAGAGCAAATTGATGAAACAAAGAAGCCTGAGGTAACGGAAACTGAATCCAAACCTGAGCAAGCTAAAGCTTTGGAGAAGCAATCTCTTGAGGAGCAACAACTGGAAGCTAAAACGCAGGAGCCAGACGAGAAGGATGTCGCCAAGAAGTCCGAGCAGGGAGAAGTTTCTCAGGTCACTGCCGAACAGATTTCTGCAGAGAAGATTGAGGAAGCCATTAAGGCAGAGACAAAAGAAACGGCTGCTAAGGCTGAACAAGCTAAGGCTTTGGAGAAGCAATCCCTTGAGGAGCAACCACTGGAAGCTAAAACGCAGAAGCCAGACGAGAAGGATGTCGCCAAGAAGTCCGAGCAGGGAGAAGTTTCTAAGGTCACTGCGGAGAAGATTTCTGAAGAGAAGATTGAGGAGGCCACAAAGGCAGAGACAAACGAGCCGGCTGCTAAGGCTGAACAAGCTAAGGCTTTGGAGAAGCAATCCCTTGAGGAGCAACAACTGGAAGCTAAAACGCTGAAGCCAGACGAGAAGGATGTCGCCAAGAAGTCCGAGCAGGGAGAAGTTTCTGAGGTCATTGCCGAACAGATTTCTGAAGAGAAGATTGAGGAGGCCACAAAGGCAGAGACAAAGGAAACGGCTGCTAAGGCTAAACAAGCTAAGGCTTTGGAGAAGCAATCCCTTGAGGAGCAAAAACTGGAAGCTAAAACGCAGAAGCCAGACGAGAAGGATGTCGCCAAGAAGTCCGAGCAGGGAGAAGTTTCTGAGGTCACTGCGGAGAAGATTTCTGAAGAGAAGATTGAGGAGGCCACAAAGGCAGAGACAAAGGAAACGGCTGCTAAGGCTGAACAAGCTAAGGCTTTGGAGAAGCAAGCCCTTGAGGAGCAAAAACTGGAAGCTAAAACGCAGAAGGCAGACGAGAAGGATGTCGCCAAGAAGTCCGAGCAGGGAGAAGTTTCTGAGGTCACTGCCGAACAGATTTCTGCAGAGAAGATTGAGGAAGCCATTAAGGCAGAGACAAAAGAAACGGCTGCTAAGGCTGAACAAGCTAAGGCTTTCGAGAAGCAATCCCTTGAGGAGCAACAACTGGAAGCTAAGACGCAGAAGCCAGACGAGAAGGATGTCGCCAAGAAGTCCGAGCAGGGAGAAGTTTCTGAGGTCACTGCGGAGAAGATTTCTGAAGAGAAGATTGAGGAGGCCACAAAGGCAGAGACAAAGGAAACGGCTGCTAAGGCTGAACAAGCTAAGGCTTTGGAGAAGCAATCCCTTGAGGAGCAAAAACTGGAAGCTAAAACGCAGAAGGCAGACGAGAAGGATGTCGCCAAGAAGTCCGAGCAGGGAGAAGTTTCTGAGGTCACTGCCGAACAGATTTCTGAAGAGAAGATTGAGGAGGCCACAAAGGCAGAGACAAAGGAAACGGCTGCTAAGGCTGAACAAGCAAAGGCTTTGGAGAAGCAAGCCCTTGAGGAGCAACAACTGGAAGCTAAAACGCTGAAGCCAGACGAGAAGGATGTCGCCAAGAAGTCCGAGCAGGGAGAAGTTTCTGAGGTCACTGCGGAGAAGATTTCTGAAGAGAAGATTGAGGAGGCCACAAAGGCAGAGACAAAGGAAACGGCTGCTAAGGCTGAACAAGCTAAGGCTTTGGAAAAGCAAACCCTTGAGGAGCAACAACTGGAAGCTAAAACGCAGAAGCCAGACGAGAAGGATGTCGCCAAGAAGTCCGAGCAGGGAGAAGTTTCTGAGGTCACTGCGGAAAAGATTTCTGAAGAGAAGATTGAGGAGGCCACAAAGGCAGAGACAAAAGAAACGGATGCTAAGGCTGAACAAGCTAAGGCTTTGGAAAAGCAAACCCTTGAGGAGCAACAACTGGAAGCTAAAACGCAGAAGCCAGATGAGAAGGATGTCGCCAAGAAGTCCGAGCAGGGAGAAGTTTCTGAGGTCACTGCGGAGAAGATTTCTGAAGAGAAGATTGAGGAGGCCATAAAGGCAGAGACAAAAGAAACGGATGCTAAGGCTGAACAAGCTAAGGCTTTGGAAAAGCAAACCCTTGAGGAGCAAAAACTGGAAGCTAAAACGCAGAAGCCAGACGAGAAGGATGTCGCCAAGAAGTCCGAGCAGGGAGAAGTTTCTGAGGTCACTGCGGAAAAGATTTCTGAAGAGAAGATTGAGGAGGCCATAAAGGCAGAGACAAAAGAAACGGATGCTAAGGCCGAACAAGCTAAGGCTTTGGAAAAGCAAACCCTTGAGGAGCAACAACTGGAAGCTAAAACGCAGAAGCCAGATGAGAAGGATGTCGCCAAGAAGTCCGAGCAGGGAGAAGTTTCTGAGGTCACTGCGGAGAAGATTTCTGAAGAGAAGATTGAGGAGGCCACAAAGGCAGAGACAAAAGAAACGGATGCTAAGGCTGAACAAGCTAAGGCTTTGGAAAAGCAAACCCTTGAGGAGCAAAAACTGGAAGCTAAAACGCAGAAGCCAGACGAGAAGGATGTCGCCAAGAAGTCCGAGCAGGGAGAAGTTTCTGAGGTCACTGCGGAAAAGATTTCTGAAGAGAAGATTGAGGAGGCCACAAAGGCAGAGACAAAAGAAACGGATGCTAAGGCTGAACAAGCTAAGGCTTTGGAAAAGCAAACCCTTGAGGAGCAAAAACTGGAAGCTAAAACGCAGAAGCCAGACGAGAAGGATGTCGCCAAGAAGTCCGAGCAGGGAGAAGTTTCTGAGGTCACTGCGGAAAAGATTTCTGAAGAGAAGATTGAGGAGGCCATAAAGGCAGAGGCGAAAGAAACGGCTGCTAAGGCTGAACAAGCTAAGGCTTTGGAGAAGCAATCCCTTGAGGAGCAACAACTGGAAGCTAAAACGCAGAAGCCAGACGAGAAGGATGTCGCCAAGAAGTCCGAGCAGGGAGAAGTTTCTGAGGTCACTGCCGATCAGGTTTCTGAAGAGAAGATTGAGGAGGATCAAGAACCATCCCAAGAAGATTTGGTTAAGATTTTGAAACACGTTTTCGCTGAGTTGGCCGCTGCGATAAACAGCGGCAGTAAAAAGAACGACCTAAACTTGATTGTAGCTGATTGTCGAGATATTATTAATAATCTTAAAGATATAGATGAGGTCTCCAATTTTATATTTAAATTGAAAGGTCATATAGTGCACACGTATGATGAAAAGTCAAGCGAAGATAAAAAGTACAAAGAGCTTTTCGAGTCTTTCATGGAATCCCTTTTAGAGGCATGCCCAGCCGCGGCTGAAAGAGTAATGCAAAACTATGTTAAAGAAATTAAAACGAATGTGATTTTAACCAAAGCCGCAATTCAACTTATTGATGACAGCAACATGTTTACCAAGCCATCTTTACTGGTCCCTAAACTGGGTAACCTGGAGAAAATTTCAGTTAAAATTCAGGCCGAGCGACACGTTGACAAATCATCGGAGAGAATGATAAGTTTGCAACAGAATTTAATGGATATTTTCGTCATTCTTGACGATCTCTTAGACGAAAAGACTGCAATATTGAAACCACAAATTGAAGCAATCAAGACAATAGTGCTAAATGAATACGACTATATTGAGAAGAGCCAGAGCCAACTGCATACTGTGGTGATCAATGGCAAAATTAAAACTGTAACGCACAAGATTCTTGATATTTGCGAAGACTTAAATAACCTAATTGGAAGCTCGAATCAAAACAAGGTGAAAGCTGATTTAGAGGCGGTTGATCTTGATACGTCTTTGGAAAAACAAACTATCGAAGAACAAAAATTGGAAGCTGAGAAACAAAAACATGCTGAGCAAGATGTTAAGAAGAAATCCGAAAAGGCAGAAGTTTCTGAGGTTCCTGCAGAAAAGATTTCTGAAGAAAAGCTTGAAGAAGCCAAAAAGGCTGAGGTAAAGGATGCTGAATCTAAGGCAAAGAAAGCAAAGGCTTTGGAGAAACAAACTCTCGAAGAACAGAAATTGGAAGCTGAGAAACAAAAACAAGCTGAGCAAGATATTAAGAAGAAGTCCGAAAAGGCAGAAGTTTCTGAGATTCCTGCAGACAAGATATCCGAAGAAAAGGTTGAAGAAGCCAAGAAGCCTGAGGTAAAGGATGCTGAATCTAAGGCAAAGAAAGCAAAGGCTTTGGAGAAACAAACTCTCGAAGAACAGAAATTGGAAGCTGAGAAACAAAAACAAGCTGAGCAAGATATTAAGAAGAAGTCCGAAAAGGCAGAAGTTTCTGAGATTCCTGCAGACAAGATATCCGAAGAAAAGGTTGAAGAAGCCAAGAAGCCTGAGGTAAAGGATGCTGAATCTAAGGCAAAGAAAGCAAAGGCTTTGGAAAAACAAACTCTCGAAGAACAGAAATTGGAAGCTGAGAAACAAAAACAAGCTGAGCAGGATATCAAGAAGAAGTTAGAAAAGGCAGAAGTTTCTGAGGTTCCTGCGGAAAATATATCCGAAGAAAAGGTTGAAGAAGCCAAGAAGCCTGAGGTAAAGGATGCTGAATCTAAGGCAAAAAAAGCAAAGGCTTTGGAGAAACAAACTCTTGAAGAACAAAAATTGGAAGCTGAGAAACAAAAACATGCTGAGCAAGATGTCAAGAAGAAATCCGAAAAGGCAGAAGTTTCTGAGGTTCCAGCAGAAAAGATATCCGAAGAACAGGTTGAAGAAGCCAAGAAGCCTGAGGTGAAGGATGCTGAATCTAAGGCAAAGAAAGCAAAGGCTTTGGAAAAACAAACTCTCGAAGAACAGAAATTGGAAGCTGAGAAACAAAAACAAGCTGAGCAGGATATCAAGAAGAAATCCGAAAAGGCAGAAGTTTCTGAGGTTCCTGCAGAAACAAAATCCGAAGAAAAGGTTGAAGAAGCCAAGAAGCCTGAGGTAAAGGATGCTGAATCTAAGGCAAAAAAAGCAAAGGCTTTGGAGAAACAAACTCTTGAAGAACAAAAATTGGAAGCTGAGAAACAAAAACATGCTGAACAAGATGTCAAGAAGAAATCAGAGAAGGGAGAAGTTTCTGAGGTTCCTGCAGAAAAGATTTCCGAAGAAAAGGTTGAAGAAGCCAAGAAGCCTGAGGTAAAGGATGCTGAATCTAAGGCAAAGAAAGCAAAGGCTTTGGAAAAACAAACTCTCGAAGAACAAAAATTGGAAGCTGAGAAACAAAAACAAGCTGAGCAGGATGTCAAGAAGAAGCCAGAGAAGGGAGAAGTTGCTGAGGTTACTGCAGAAAAGATATCCGAAGAAAAGGTTGAAGAAGCCAAGAAGCCTGAGGTGAAGGATGCTGAATCTAAGGCAAAGAAAGCAAAGGCTTTGGAGAAACAAACTCTCGAAGAACAGAAATTGGAAGCTGAGAAACAAAAACAAGCTGAGCAAGATATTAAGAAGAAGTCCGAAAAGGCAGAAGTTTCTGAGATTCCTGCAGAAAAGATATCCGAAGAACAGGTTGAAGAAGCCAAGAAGCCTGAGGTAAAGGATGCTGAATCTAAGGCAAAGAAAGCAAAGGCTTTGGAGAAACAAACTCTCGAAGAACAGAAATTGGAAGCTGAGAAACAAAAACAAGCTGAGCAAGATATTAAGAAGAAATCCGAAAAGGGAGAAGTTTCTGAGGTTCCTGCAGAAAAGATATCCGAAGAAAAGGTTGAAGAAGCCAAGAAGCCTGAGGTGAAGGATGCTGAATCTAAGGCAAAGAAAGCAAAGGCTTTGGAGAAACAAACTCTTGAAGAACAGAAATTGGAAGCTGAGAAACAAAAACAAGCTGAGCAAGATGTCAAGAAGAAATCCGAAAAGGCAGAAGTTTCTGAGGTTCCAGCAGAAAAGATATCCGAAGAACAGGTTGAAGAAGCCAAGAAGCCTGAGGTGAAGGATGCTGAATCTAAGGCAAAGAAAGCAAAGGCTTTGGAAAAACAAACTCTCGAAGAACAGAAATTGGAAGCTGAGAAACAAAAACAAGCTGAGCAGGATATCAAGAAGAAATCCGAAAAGGCAGAAGTTTCTGAGGTTCCTGCAGAAACAAAATCCGAAGAAAAGGTTGAAGAAGCCAAGAAGCCTGAGGTAAAGGATGCTGAATCTAAGGCAAAGAAAGCAAAGGCTTTGGAGAAACAAACTCTCGAAGAACAGAAATTGGAAGCTGAGAAACAAAAACAAGCTGAGCAGGATATCAAGAAGAAGTTAGAAAAGGCAGAAGTTTCTGAGGTTCCTGCGGAAAATATATCCGAAGAAAAGGTTGAAGAAGCCAAGAAGCCTGAGGTAAAGGATGCTGAATCTAAGGCAAAGAAAGCAAAGGCTTTGGAGAAACAAACTCTTGAAGAACAGAAATTGGAAGCTGAGAAACAAAAACATGCTGAGCAAGATGTCAAGAAGAAATCCGAAAAGGCAGAAGTTTCTGAGGTTCCAGCAGAAAAGATATCCGAAGAACAGGTTGAAGAAGCCAAGAAGCCTGAGGTGAAGGATGCTGAATCTAAGGCAAAGAAAGCAAAGGCTTTGGAAAAACAAACTCTCGAAGAACAGAAATTGGAAGCTGAGAAACAAAAACAAGCTGAGCAGGATATCAAGAAGAAATCCGAAAAGGCAGAAGTTTCTGAGGTTCCTGCAGAAACAAAATCCGAAGAAAAGGTTGAAGAAGCCAAGAAGCCTGAGGTAAAGGATGCTGAATCTAAGGCAAAGAAAGCAAAGGCTTTGGAGAAACAAACTCTTGAAGAACAGAAATTGGAAGCTGAGAAACAAAAACATGCTGAGCAAGATGTCAAGAAGAAATCCGAAAAGGCAGAAGTTTCTGAGGTTCCAGCAGAAAAGATATCCGAAGAACAGGTTGAAGAAGCCAAGAAGCCTGAGGTGAAGGATGCTGAATCTAAGGCAAAGAAAGCAAAGGCTTTGGAAAAACAAACTCTCGAAGAACAGAAATTGGAAGCTGAGAAACAAAAACAAGCTGAGCAAGATATTAAGAAGAAGTCCGAAAAGGCAGAAGTTTCTGAGATTCCTGCAGAAAAGATATCCGAAGAAAAGGTTGAAGAAGCCAAGAAGCCTGAGGTACAGGATGCTGAATCTAAGGCAAAGAAAGCAAAGGCTTTGGAGAAACAAACTCTCGAAGAACAGAAATTGGAAGCTGAGAAACAAAAACATGCTGAGCAAGATGTCAAGAAGAAATCCGAAAAGGCAGAAGTTTCTGAGGTTCCAGCAGAAAAGATATCCGAAGAACAGGTTGAAGAAGCCAAGAAGCCTGAGGTGAAGGATGCTGAATCTAAGGCAAAGAAAGCAAAGGCTTTGGAGAAACAAACTCTCGAAGAACAGAAATTGGAAGCTGAGAAACAAAAACAAGCTGAGCAAGATATTAAGAAGAAGTCCGAAAAGGCAGAAGTTTCTGAGATTCCTGCAGAAAAGATATCCGAAGAACAGGTTGAAGAAGCCAAGAAGCCTGAGGTAAAGGATGCTGAATCTAAGGCAAAGAAAGCAAAGGCTTTGGAAAAACAAACTCTCGAAGAACAGAAATTGGAAGCTGAGAAACAAAAACAAGCTGAGCAGGATATCAAGAAGAAGTCCGAAAAGGGAGATGTTTCTGAGGTTGCTGCAGAAAAGATATCCGAAGAAAGGATTGAAGAAGCCGAGAAACTTGTAAGTGAAGAAAGAGAACAGAAAGCAGGGTCTGTGAAACAGGCAGAAAAGGACGTAAAGAGAAAGTCAAAGAAGGGGACTGAAGATAAATCGGAACAAGAGAAGCCTGTGGATAAACCATCACCGGAAAAACAGCCATTGAAAGCCAAGTCCAAAAACCGTGCTGATAAGGATGAATTGGCAAAGGCGGAGGATTTGGTTTCTTCTCGTATCCGTAAGTTTTAAGAAAATACATATGCAAATGTATTCTAAATAATATCCTTTTATTAATTATTAATATCGTTTTATTATTTTAAAAACGTTTTGCAGATGAAGAACCATCAACTACGGCTGTCACTGTAACTGACAAGAAAGCAAAGGCCTTGAAAGATGAAAGCGAACAACCAGAATTCGTTAATGAAAAGAAGCCTGCAGAGACAAAACCAATCGACGGAGAGCCGACCGTTAAGAAACCCCAATTGCCAACCAAAGAAACCGAAGATGAATTCGTTATGAAGCAACCCGAACAGAGAATTCAGAGATCTGAACACTTGGCTGATTCGGTTATCCTGCAGACATACAAATCCATGGATTCGGAGTACAAGAACCGAAAGGAGTCGCGCAGTGCCAAGCGCAAGCCCACAGTGGACATTCAATTAACCAACCGGAACACGGCCTCGGGTAGCGACCTCAAGCTGACATGCGGTCTATCGGGTCACGATATGAACGTGCAATGGTTCAAGCAGAACAGCCACAGTCCCATCGAGAACGATGCCAAGTACAGGAGAACATTGAACGACGGACTATCATGCCTTGAAATTAAATCGGCCGAAGTGAGTGACTCTGGCATTTATCGCTGCATAGCGTCCAATCAAAATGGAGAAGTCGAAACTAGCTGTCTTGTGACTATATACGAAGCACCTTCAAGCAAATTTGGCACTCCTCCAATATTTACACGCAACATTCGAGGTAAGTGCTGTCTACCTAGTCTACCTACTGATCCAATGCCCGAATTTCAAACTTAATTAGTGGTAATTTGCAATTGAGGATATTTCTTTTACTTTAACAATGTGCACCTTGCCTTTGGCGTATATTTAGTATATAGGAAGCTATCTTGTAAGGCCAGAATAAGTCTCGATTAGTCGGGTGTGGTATACCTGTCTTGACTAACCCATCGCTTCGCACTTTCGGTTCGTAAATATGGCATGTGCCGAGTGCGAGAGTTGAGGAGGCACTTTATCATCGCATTTAAATAGACGCCTCTTTAATTAGCCAATTCGATTTGAACTTATATAATTCCGTTTACTTAAATTGAATGCCTCTGCATTGATTAAAAGTGGCCGGTATTTAAATAGAAATGCATTTTGGCAATCAATTTTACTGCATGTGTGTGTCCGTTTGTACAACGAACAAAACAGAATTCGTAAAATTGTTTTTAGCATTAACAATTAAATCGATTCGGCGATTTGGACTACTCAGATCGAACCGAGACACGGGGAATGTGCTTTCGAAATTTTCACCACGTTCGGTGACAGTCGTGAATCTTCTTTAGCATCGAACGGACGTCTCACGTCCGAAAAACTCGATCGAACCGTTGCGGGCTCTAAATATATATATATATTGATCTAGAAACTCGGGACGGATATATAATTTTTATCGGTTTTCATTTACGAATTTCATTCCGTTCACGTTATCCTTCCGAAACCCGCAAGCGGAACGAATACAATCCGAAATCGAAATGGGAGAAACGGACGGAGATATCGAGCCACGGGCTTCCGCCGAACCGGAGGCGGGCGCTGCCCAGGATACCCTGCAGGTGCCGACGCAAAAGAAGCGCAAGCTTAAGTCACCAACTCCGGGCAGCTTACGCGGACGCAGTGCCACGCCAATTCATGGCAGGAGTCAGACCCCGTTCACACTGTACATGACTCGGCGCAGTGCCACGCCGTCAACTTGGCGCAGCATCACTCCCTTCCTGAAGCGGGAGGAAAAGGAGAAGACTCCTTTCGAGCTTGGCCGGGACATTAAGAGCCAGACGACCTGCAACATCGCCGTCTTCGATCGCGCCCTTATCATGGACATTTCCGAGCCCGTGGACGTGCAGAAGCCCGTGCGTTACATAACCTCCGATCTGTCGGTGATCGATCGCGCTGCCGTAATGGATGTGTCCAACGTTGAGGTTATCTACGTTGTCGAGGAGTACGAGGAGGTCGAAGAGGAGGAGATCATCGAAGAGGTCAAGCCGAAAAAGAAGGAGAAAAAGGCCAGGAAGCCGCGCGTTCAGCGCAAGTCTATCGACAAGGACATGAGTCCTTCCGGCGCCGAAGATGGCGATGACTTGGGAGACTACGGGGGCGAGGATCGAGAGGATAGTATCGATCTCGATGAAGGCGATGAGCCCGTCAAGAAGGGCAAGAAGAAGGCTCCGCCCAAGAAGAAGGAGAAGAAGGAGAAATCCCCCAGTCCGAAATTGACCTTGAAACTAGAGATCGGTGGAGGCCAGAAGGCTAGCAAGAAAATGTTTGAGCAGCAGCAGCCCGCACCCAAGCCACCGCCGAAGAAGAGCAAGATGGTGCTCCAGATGGAGGAGCAGGCCAAGGCCGCTGCCAAGGCCGCTGAGGAGGAGGCAGCCCGGACCAAGCCCAAGGGCGAGACCTATGAGGAGCGACAGAAGCGCCTGCAGGCCGAGAAAGAAGAGCAGGAGCGACTGGAGGCCGAGCAGCGGGCCCTCGAAGAGGCCGAGGCTGAGGAGGATGAAGAGGATCCATCGGCCATGGGTGAGGAAGGCGAGGAGGGCACCGAAGCCGGCTATGGCGATGAGGACCAGGACCAGGAGTATGCCGGAGAAGACGGTGAGGGCGACGAGGATCGTGATATCGAAGAGGAGGAGGACGCTGTGACCGATCTGAAGAAGAAAGACGAGAAACGTCGCGGCAGTGACTCCTCGGACGAATTCGTTCGCCCCGATCCCCACGAGGAGGAGCGCTGGCAGCGCATCGCCGCCATCGAGGGCGAGGAATTCATGCAGCAGATGCGCAAATACAGCCAGGCCAAGCGCATTAGCGAGAAGGAGCGCGACGCCGACTGGCAGCGCCGCCGTGAGCAGGCCCGCAATCCCAAGTTTATTAACTTCCTGTCTGATCGAGCCGCCGAAGCCGGCCAGAGTGTGCGTCTAGCCTGCGCCGTAGACGGACCAGAGCTTTCGGCTAAGTGGTACCATAACCGCAAGCAACTGGAGCGCGATGGATGCCATCGCATTATCAACAACAACAACATCCTGGTGCTGGAGGTGCTCAATACCACCATTTTGGACTCCGGCGAGTATTCGTGTGTAATCTCGAACCAGAACGATGAGGTGACATCGTCCTGCATTGTCACCATCTACGAAGTGTTCAAGGACGAACCCAAACCCCCCTCCATTCAGTATATCAAAGGTATTTGTTCCTGGCCCCCGATTTCAGTGCATTCCTAAGAGCTCCTTCTCTCTATGTGTGCCTGTTTCAGAGTACTACCATTTGCGCGATGACGAGCTGACCATCGAGTGCCACGTTCACGGCGTTCCCCGTCCCGTGATCACCTGGTGGCGCGGCGCCTTCCAGGTGAAGGCCAGCTACAAGTTCACGATCCTGGAGGAGGCTCACGGTGTGTGCAAGCTGCTGATCTACAAGCCAGGCAACAAGGATGGCGGTATATACACGCTCAAGGCCTTTAATTCCAGTGGAGAGGCTCAGATCAATCACACCGTGGAGGTGGCCAAGAATCTGCACTACCATGTGCCCGGCATCTTCCATGCCCGCGACAAGATCCAGCTAGACAGCTTGAAGCAGGCCAAGAAGGCTATGGAGGCGGCCCTTAAATCGAAGGCCGAGTCCGACCAGAAGCGAGCAGATGCCGAGGCCGAGCAGCAGCGGCTGCGTCCAGTCCGGGCTTCTCCAGAGCCCTTAGTGCCGGCCAAGCAGAAGCTCTCGTTTGCCACCCAGCTGCGTGATCGCATGGCGCTCGAGGGATCCACCATTAAGTTTGTGGCAACGGTAATTGGACCCCAGCCCAACACACGCTGGATGAAGGACGACAAGTGGGTGGTGGTGGGCGGCAACATCAAGAATTTGTCGGAGGAGGGCAAGGCCATACTTGAGATCGCCGACGTCACCCCTGCCGACTCGGGCGTCTACAAGTGTGTGGCTAAGAACGATCTTAGCGAGATCGAGACCTCCTGCTACTTTAAGGTTTACACGGCGCAGGCGGATGGCGACGAATCGGAGCCCATATTCGCCCTGCCACTGCGAGGTATCCCCCGTCTCCCCTCTTATTGTGTCTCTCGATGTGTGTGCTCTGTCGCTTTGGTTACACGATCCCCATCTCCCGACTGTGTGTGTTTGTGTCGTCTATTGTCCGACCATCGATGTTCGATCAATTGAGGTCGTTGGCGTACAAAAATAGCTGGGAATTGATTGATTGACTTTGTTCTCTAGATGTGTACCATGCCTCGCAAAATGATCTGATTCTCGACACGAAGGTGCGCGGCAATCCCCGGCCGGTGATCTCGTGGACCAAGGACCAGATACCCATCGTGCTCGACGATCGTGTGGTGCAGATCGAGCACTTGGATGGCATCTGCGAGCTGATCATCAACAAGCCGACGATCAATGACAACGGAATCTATGTTTGCACCGCCAAGAGCAAGCTGGGCACTCAGTCGACCACCCACACGGTTGTGGTCGACACCACCCATACCTCGAGGCGATCGAGCATTCTGTCTGCTATTGCCATGCAGGAAGGAGGTGAGCCAGCTGAGGGCGGCGGCGGCAGTGGCGGCAAGGCCAAGGCCAGGAGGAAGAAGAAGGACGACGACGCTGAGGGCGGCGGTGGTGACGGTGAGGGTGGCTATGAGCGCCGCAGCCGTATGCCGGATCCCTCGCCCAAGCAAATGCTGTACTTCACGGTCAATCTGTCCAATCGGTATGTGGCCGAGGGCTCCAAGGTCAAGTTACAGGCCGTGATCGGTGGCCCGGAGCCCATTATCAAGTGGCAAAAGGATGACCAGAATGTCACCTATGGACCACGCATCCGTAACATGAATCGTGACAGCTTGGCGGTGCTGGAGTTCGTTAATGCCCAGGCGGAGGACTCGGGCACTTACTCCATTATTGCCCAGAACGAGTTCTGCAAGATCACCACCTCGGCCCTGCTGCATGTGTACCAGCCAAAGGTCAACACGGATGTGCAGCCCGTCTTTATACGCTCTCTGAAAGGTAAGATCTCGCTGGCAGCGTCGATCGATCGACCGATTGATCTATATTTAGAGATCCATCCCACATTGTGTGTGATTGTGCAATGCCATCATCCATCGATCGTTTCCATTATGCAATGAGTGTGTGCTTACGTAACCGGACTCGGTGCTCTTCTCCTCTAGAAACCTATCATCTTAACACCAACGAGTTGATCCTGGAGACAGCCGTGCGTGGCCAGCCAACGCCCGAGGTTCAGTGGTTCAAGGACAGCGTGGAGATCCAGAGCGGTGGTCGTTACCAGCTCATCGAGCATCAAGATGGAACCTGTGAGCTCATCATCGATCGGCCGGACAACAAGGACTCTGGCAAATATGTGCTCAAGGCCGAGAGCCGCGCCGGCAAGATGGAGATCTCCCACTATGTGCTCTTCGAGGGCAAGGCCCATCACATTGCGGACAACATCCATGGCGTCTTCCATGCGGACAAGAGCCTGCTGCGCCCCAAGGAGGTGGAGAAGCCCGTTGAGAAGAAGCCAGCGGCTGCCGCAGCTCCTGAGGCCGAATCGGAAGCTGAGGAGGGAGGAAAGGGCAAGCGACGTCCTAAGAAGGACGACGAAGCGGATTCATCCTCCGCCTACGCCACCGACTATGCCTCTGATACGGCCAGTTTGTCCAGCAAGCGTCGCGAGAAGAACATCGCCATCCACTTCAGCACCTCGATGAGGGATCGTGTCGTGGCCGAGGGATCCAAGGTGAAGATTTCGTGCTTCCTGGACGCCAAGGAGCCGCAGGTCAAATGGTTCAAGGACGGCGAGCAGATCCAAAACAGTCCCAAGATCAGGGGCCGCTACAGCGAGGGTCTGTGCCTGCTGGAGATCATGAGCGCTACGGCCGAGGACAATGGCGAGTACAAGTGCTGGGGTCGCGACGAGACAGGCGAGGCCTCCACCTCGTGTCGCCTGGAAGTATACGAGGATCCGGGCACCGGTGATGTGCCACCCACCTTTACGCGCAACATCAAGGATACGCTGCACGGCAAGATCAACGAGTTGCAGCTGGATGTCCATGTGCGTGGTCTGCCCACACCCTCGGTTACGTGGGTGAAGGACGGCGTGAAGGTGGAGAATAGCGACAAGTACCAGCAGGTGGACCACGATGACGGCACCTGCGAGCTGTTCATCAGCAACCCGAAGCCCTCGGACAGCGGCAAGTACGTGTGCCAGGCCGAGAATCGTGAGGGCAAGACGGAAATCGTCCACGTTATAACTGTGGAGCCGCGAGTTCGGGTACCGCGCCACTCTCCGCCCAGGGAGGGCAGGCCACCGCGTCCGGCTGGAGGCGATGAGGAGGCACCGGCAGCCGGTGAAGAAGGCGCCGCCGCGGAGGGCGAAGGCGGCGAGGGCGGAGAGGGTGCTGCTGCCGGTGGCGAGAAGCGTCGCCGGAAGCCTAAGCCCGACGAGGAGGAGCAGGGCAGTTCCAGGCGTGAGGTGCCACCACCACCGGATCTAAGGAAGCGCCTATACTTCAGGAACTTCCTTTCAAACCGCACGGTCAAGTCGGGCAGCAATGTCAAGTGGATGGTCAACATTGATGGACCGGAGCCAACGGCCAAGTGGTTCCATGGCGACCAGCCGATAGCCTTTGGTCCCAAGAGCAAGATGTCCATGCAGGATGGCATCGCCTGGCTGAATCTTGTGGGGGTAACGGAGGAGGAGGCCGGCGAGTATACGTTGCGGGTGAGGGGTTCGGAGAACGAAATCGTGAGCACTTGCAACCTGTTTGTGTACAGCACGGGCAAGCCGGAGGTTATTTCGCCCACCTTTGTAGTGGGCATTAAAGGTAGGAGCAGGCTCTGTGTGTTCTCGTCCGAGTGTCTTGGTTTTTTTGAGCAATATGTAGCCCTATCTGTAGTCCTAGGAGTAAGTTATAAGAAAGCTAACAGTCCTGAAATCCATTCCCTTACCTTCTCGTACTCTGTCTTATGTGTCTTGTGTGTCTTGTCTTTATTCTTTCCATGTTCCATGTCCAGATGCATACCATTCCCAGGGCAACCAGCTCACTCTGGAGTGCAAGGTCTCGGGCAGTCCCAAGCCTCATATTTACTGGCAGCGGGACAACACCCTGCTGCCTGTGGAGAGTCCAAAGTACCAGTATGCGGAGCAAAGCGACGGGGTTAAGCTCTTGACCATTTCCAGCTTTGGCAGCGAGGATTCCGGCCTGTACACTTGCTATGCGGAGAGCGAAAATGGCCAGATGAAGATCAGCAAGTTTGTGCAGGCCTCGGACTATGTGAGGGAGAGAACTTCGGACAAGAAACCCATTGACGTGGTTATCCAGGAGATCAAACGGGATGAGGCCTCCGCCGCTCCGTCAAGCGATACAGCTGCTGTCAAGGCCCGGGCACGCGAGGCCAAGCTAAGACTGAATCTGGAGACCAGCCTAAAGACCATGACTATTGGTAGTGGCAACAAAGCTCAGCTTATCTGCTATGTAACTGGCATCATTGAGGATGTCCACTGGCTAAGGAACGACGAGCGCGTGACCAAGGATGCCCGTCACAAGATCTACAACATAAACGGAGCCATCAGCTTGGAGATTTACGATGCCCGCGTGGAGGACAGTGGCCAGTACAGATGCGTGGTGAAGAACAGCAGGCAGACGGTGGAGAGTGCCGGCCAGCTGAGTGTGTTGGATCAATGCATGGGCAAGTTGCCGGAAAGTTTCTCCTCAGCCATAACAGGTAAGGGTCCCAGCATCTCTTTTAATCATTTTTATTTTATAGCTGATCTCATTTTCTTAGAGTCCTATGATGCCCAACGCAATGAGATTGTGCTGAGCTGCCAGGTGCATGGACGTCCCAATGTCAGTTGGATGCGGGATGACCACACCATTTCCAACAATCGCTACAGGACGGTTGAAGAGCCTGGCGGTGTTAGGAAGCTCATCATACGCAACCCCATACCCTCTGACTGCGGAATTTTTGCCTGTTATGCGGAGCATGAGGACCGCATTGACTCCATCAGCACCACCATCAAGGCCTTTGATCTCAAGCGCCTAATCAATGTCAGCCAGGAGGACAGCTCCTCGCTTAGCGAGCAGGATTGGTCGAGGAGTCAGTCTTATTTAAGTTCTAGCAGCCAACAGCAGCTGCCACAGGTGGTCAATGGCAATGGAGACCTTCATCGCGCTGGAGATCGCCTCCTGCGCAGCGTGGGCAAGGCAAAGCCTCTCTTCCATACCCTACTCCATGATCGCACTGTTTCGGAGGGCGGCAATCTCCGCCTGCTGTGCACCGTCTCTGCGGATGAAAACACCCACATTGAGTGGCTGAAGAATCACAAACCCTTGCCGGCGGATAATCGCTATCAGACGCTCTACCAGAACGGTGAGGCCTCGCTGGAGATCTATGCCGCCGTGGCCGAGGACAGTGGCAACTACACCTGCTGTGCCACCAACGATTTCGGGGAGAGCCTCACACACGCCCAGCTGCGTGTCTACAAGCACTTCAAGGAGGCCTCGCAACCAAGTACTTTTACGCAGCCAATCCGAGGTATTATCCAGCCAAGCTGCGGACTCCATCTTCGCTTTTGTTCATCCTGGCTGCTGTTCTAACCGCTTGTGTTTCTCATTTCCTCCAATAAGGATTTACTAATAAGGTTTATCTTCCCCCTTTGCAGACACATATTCTCTCAACGAGAATGAGTTGGTTCTGGATTGCCGCGTACGTGGCCAGCCCCGTCCCGAGATCGAGTGGATGAAGGGCAACGAGATCATCTCCAACGATGAGAAGTACAAACTAACCGACCAGGCCGATGGCTATGCCAAGCTGGTGATCAACAATCCCACGGAGAAGGACTCGGGCATCTACTCGTGCGTGGCCCGCAACGAGGGAGCCGAGAACAAGATCTCCCATCAGGTGGACTTCAAGGGCCGCCAGCACTACTCGCTGGAGAAGACGCACGGCTTCTTCCATCGCGATCCGAATAAGCCGCACTTCCTGCTGCCCCTGGGCAACCAGACGGTCTGCAAGGGAGGCACCGTGGCCATTTCGGCGGAATTCATGCAGACCAGCACGCCCATTGAGGTGAAATGGTACCGCGATCGCCAGGCGGTGGATGGACCCAATGTCAAGACCCTGGCTGATCGTGGCGTCTACACACTGACTATAATGAATGCCTTGCCTGAGATCGAGGGCACCTACACGTGCCGGGCCTCGAACGCTTTTGGTCGCATCGAGTCGCATGCCAACATAGATGTCTCCATGGCCGAGACCAAGGACGAGCGTCCGCCGCTGTTCCTTTCGCGACCGGACACTGAGATGAAGATCGCCGTGGGTGATCCGTTCTCTTTATCTTTCCGCATTGGCGGGGATCCGAAACCGAAGCGTAAGTCGCTGAATCTGTCAGTCGCTGTAATCTCTGTAACCTCTGTTCTTTTTAGTCACATTCATGAAGGGCACCAAGGACATCACTCAGTCGGACCGGGTCAGCAAAGAGGTGTCGGATGACTACACCAGATTCACAGTGCAGCAAGCCCAGATCTCCGACTCTGGCACCTACTTTGTGGTGGCCCGCAACAACTTTGGCACTGACAGGATATTCGTCACTGTAACGGTAGGATTTTCGTAACAGTATCTGTGTCCTTCGTTGCTCTCTCTATCTCTGTTGCTTGTGGCTGTCCCCTCTGGATAAACGCTTTCGCTTAACTAACCGCTGCACTTCTCTCTCTCTCTCTCTCTCTGCTTCTCTTCTTCTCTTATTACAGATTAAGATACCCAAAAAGAAAGAATAAAGCTTTATTAATACAAAAAATCTAATTTGCCAATTTCGAACGCCGCCTCCGCCTCCCTCAGCCAGCACCAAACAATATACATATCCTGAATCTCTATATGTGTTCATTCAAAGCAATATAATATATCGTTCTGACTACAAAACTTATAGGTAAACCCGCGCGCTCGCTCCGCCACGCCATCGCAACCACGCTGGGGCCTTCCCCTGGATAGTTACAGCGACACTTCGTACTTCAGAGGTGAGTGTTTCTGGGTACCTATGTATATTTTGTGTAGTCAATCCTCTCCCAGCTGTCCGTCCGTCCTCCTGTCTGTGTCTGTCGTCCTTTCTGTGTTCCAGTTCCACTTCCAAGCTGAAAAAAATATCTTGCAGATCGACGGTTCAGCCCACAAACGACAAAAGAAATTTCCTGTGAGATCGTAGAAACCCAGCAGCACACAGACACTATAAATTCGTGTATTTATCTTTTGTTAGTATTTCTGAACGATTGACTTAATTACTTTTATTATCGTACCTACATATATAAATAATGTATTATATAAAGCACAGCAATCCAGCTTATACATTTACGTAGTGGAAACAAGAAAATAAAAAATATATTTCTCCGGGGCGTAAAGCGTTTTAATTGAGGCCATCCATTTACCTCTAACTTCCATACCTCTCGAAGCCTCATTTCATTTACACATCTTCTCTCTTGCCAGATCCCCCGGGTTGCATTTCCACGGAGCCCCTGGTCGTTGACTCCGGACCCACGCACATCTCGCTGTCGTGGGGCAAGCCGGTTAGTGCCAACTCTGCCCCGGTGATTGCCTACAAGGTGGAGGCCTGGGTGGTGGGCCATGAGGGCGGTGCCTACTGGCGAGAGCTGGGCCTTACGCCCATCAACTCGTTCGATGCCTTCAACCTGAAGCCCAACCTGGAGTATCACTTCCGGGTGACGCCCAAAAACCGCTATGGCTGGGGACCCACGGTCCAGACCAGCTCTGCTTTGCAAGTGGGCGGCGTCGAGTGTCTGCCCGAGTTCGTCAAAATCCTGCCGGGTCAGGCGAAGGCTCTGCTGGGCTCATCCTTCACCCTGCAGTGCAATATGCGCGGAGCGCCTCGGCCGCAGGTCACCTGGTTCAAGGATGGCATTCAGCTGAGCAGCAGCTCGGAGCGGGTTAAGATCCGTCAGATCGGTTCCACCTGTGCTCTGACTATTGCCACCGTCAGCGAGCTGGATTCGGGTCGCTACACCTGCGAGGCAACCAACTCCAAGGGCAGGGTCTCCACGTTTGCCCGCCTCCAAGTCGTGGCCGATTCGAGGATCTACGAGGCTGATTCGCGTCTAAAGGAGATCGCTCATGGACGTAACGTGGCCGATGTGGGCGACTCTCTACCCATTTTCACCATGCGCCTGCGCGATCGTCGTGTCCAGTTCACCTATCCGGTGCGTCTTACCTGCCAGATCGTTGGTTATCCCGTGCCCGAGATCCTGTGGTACAAGGACGATCAGCTCATCCATGCCGATAGGAAGCATCTCATCAGCTCCGAGGGACAGTTCTTCACGCTGGAGATAGCGGCCACAACGCTGGACGACAGCGGCACCTACACCTGCCTGGCCAAGAATGAACTGGGCTCGGTGTCCTGTCACTGCACCCTGGTGGTGGACAAGGGCATTCGGGCTTATATCTCGCCGGACTTTTATGTACCCTTGGATCCCTTCTACATATTCCGCGAGGGCTCTGAGATACGTCTCTCCACGAAAGTGGAGGCCTATCCTGCCGTGGGCGTCACCTGGCATCGGAATGGCATGCGCCTGAGGCCGAGCCGTCGCCTGACAGCCACTTTGGACTCGAATGGCTATGTGGAACTAATCATTGCCGAGGCCACCTTACGAGATGCGGGAATCTATGTGTGTGTTGCCTCCAACGTGGTCGGCAAGGTGGAAACTATCTGCCGGGTGGCCATCGAGGAGGAGCTGAACAAGATAGCAACGCCGCAACGATCCCTGGATATTCCCATCATCAAGACTGACGACCTGCCGTGAGTATTTGGGTTTTGGTATTAGAATATAGACAAGAAAGAAAGCTAACTTTGGCCAGCCAAAGTTTGTATACCCTTGCAGGTAACAATTAAAATACATCATAACTAAGCCAAAAATGCATTAATTTCGATTCGGAAAGCAGTTTTGTGTTAGTTTTTATTAATTTAAAAAAATTGCATACCAAATTTAAAATTTTAAGAAATCAACATTTTTGGCCATTTTTGCTAATTTTAATGATGTAACCCCTTAATAGACATATACGCCGCCGCGCCACGCCGCCGCCGCCGCCGATTTTTGCCTTATTTGACGCGCCGCCGCCAAATTATGAAAATAACGGCGCGCCGCGGCGCGCCGCTGGTGCGGCATCGGCGCAGCTTCAGCGCGGCCTTCAGTGTCATTGTTCTTTATAAAACTTAAAAAAAAAAAAAATAACTCATTAAAATGGCCTTTTTGCCTTATTTGACGCGCCGCCGCCGCCGGTTCTTTCTGACTACTACGCCGCCGCCGCCGAGTCATTTTGACCTCTACGCCGCCGCCGATGCCTTTAACCATCGGCGTAAACCTCTACCCCTTATCATATTTCGCAAAAATGGCCAAAAAATCGATTTCTTCCGGACATGTCTAGAAAGATTCGCATGTTAATGCTGATCAAGAATATATATGGTTTATGGGGTCGGAAATGATTCCTTGACTCAGAAAAATATTATTTTGTATTATAAAATTTGATTTTTTATATTAAAAAACTTCTTGATTTTTTTAATACATTTTTAAAATTAAAAATATCATAACTCGGCCAAAAGAGCATTAATTTTAAATCGGAAAACTGTTCTGTGCTAGATTTTCTACAGTTAATAAATCTGCATACTTCATTTAAAAATTTTGAAAATTCAATTTTTTATCAAAATCAAAAATTTTATATTAAAAAACTTCTTGATTTTTTTAATACATTTTTAAAATTAAAAATATCATAACTCGGCCAAAAGAGCATTAATTTTAAATCGGAAAACTGTTCTGTGCTAGATTTTCTACAGTTAATAAATCTGCATACTTCATTTAAAAATTTTGAAAATTCAATTTTTTATCAAAATCAAAAATTTTAATGATGTAAAATTTTTCAAAAATGGTCAAAAAATCGATTTCTTCCAGACATGTCTAGAAAGATTCGCATTTTAATGCTGATCAAGAAAATATATGGTTTATGGGGTCGGATATGATTCCTTGACTTAGAAAAATATTATTTTGTATTATAAAATCTGATTTTTTGTATTAAAAAAAACTTCTTGATTTTTTTAATACATTTTTAAAATTAAAAATATCATAACTCGGCAAAAAAAGCATTAATTTTAAATCGGAAAACTGTTCTGTGCTAGATTTTCTACAGGTAATAAATCTGCATACTTCATTTAAATCAAAATCAAAAATTTTAATGATGTAACCCCTTATAAAATCTTGCAAAAATGGCCAAAAAATCGATTTCTTCCTGACATATCTAGAAAGATTCCCCTGTTGATGCTGATCAAGAATATATATACTTTATAGGGTCGGAAACGTCTCCTTCACTGCGTTGCAAACTTCTGACTGAAATTATAATACCCTGCAAGGGTATAACAAGAAGGAAAGCCAACTTCTTACTAATTTTTAGGAATAATTTTTATTTTATATAAATTATAATACAAGGGTTTAATAAAATTCCCCTTTAATTATTCCCCTATTCAATCCCTAGGTACTCCAAGGAGCCCCTGTTTGTGGTCAAGCCCCGTTCCAGCGAAGCCTACGAGGGTGACAACGTCATCATATTCTGCGAGGTGGTTGGCGATCCCAAGCCCGAAGTCGTTTGGCTGCGCGATTTTCTGAATGTGAGTAATGGTTGAGCATGTGACGTCAAACGGGGAGGCAGCAGCACCGCTCAGGCGCGCAGGCGCAGCTCTCAGTGGCGGCCAGTTGCAATCGCGGCGCCAACAAATGTGGGTCGAATTATCGCGCTACCGCTGCCTGCTCTCGCTTCCAGTCTCCCAGTCAAAGTTGGCTTTATCAGGGGCACAAGTGGGCCCTATACTCGGACATCAGGAAGTCTGAATCGTTAGTTTCCGCTTTTAATTTTCTATAAAAAGTGAACTCCCAGTGGGCCAGACACTATAGTGATCTTTTTTTTCGAGTTGCCACAGTTGCTCGCGCGGATAAAGTTTTTTTGAAATGTTTAATTGATCCGCGAGTGAGAACAAAGTGTCCAGAGATCCCTAACAGAAACCGATACGGCAACAAAGTTGCTACAAAGGCAAGTGAAGAATAGCTCGGATTACGAGCAAGTGCGTCATACTGCAGCATTATACAAGACCACTGGGAACGGCTAGGCGACAGATCTTACAAATCCGATTCGCTGTCAAACGCTAATTCAAGTTCAAGCCATATCAAATAACAGGCTTGTTGTGTTCGCAAAAAAACAATTACGCGAGCCAAAAAGGAAAAAAATATTAGCCACTGTCGTTGTCGCTGGTCGTGCAACGTACCAAGGAAGCGAGAGCAGGAGGAGGAGGTCAGGGTGGGCAACAACGTAGTTACCAGTTTTCCTATTCGACAGTCTTGAAACTGAATTTTGTGCTTATATGGTTATAAGCTCAACACAATAATAACAGCGGAGCAGCATCAGGCACACAGTCGCAATTCGTGATTCATGCTCGCCGTCAGCCGGACAGATCAGATCCTTATAGAAGCCATTCGACGTGACCTTGAGAGTCTTTAGCTTAATTACAGCATCCATCATCTTGTCTCGTCTCATCCGCAGCCGGAGTATTACAAGGACGCCCCCCACTTCCGGCGCATCGGAGACGGACCCGAGTACAGGCTGGAGATACCCAGCGCCAAGTTGGACTTCACCGGCACCTACTCAGTAATAGCCAGCAACTGTCATGGCGAAGCCAAGGCTGTAATATCCCTACAAATATTCGCCAAAGGTAAGTCGAGTTTTGCGATTTATTGACTAGTATAGTCTACCCCACCTGGGGGTAGATATTCGAGAGGCGCGGGAAGACAGCTTCCCGCCAGAAATCCTCGGCCATGGTGAGCAGGCTAGACACGAACTCGGGATCCGCCTGCACCCAAACGTAGTGCAGGGCTCCATTGGTCTCAAACGTTGGGCTCAGCACACAATATAGAGCCTTCTTCACATTGGCCATGAACATCTGGATCTGGATCTGGGCCATGTATTTCGGGGCTATTGATTCGCGAGCCTCCAGGTACTTCTCAAAGTCCTCATCAGTCTTGGGCGATTTAATTTCAACGATGTGATCATCCGTGATGCCATCCGGGGCGGCACACAGGAAGGGATAGCTCTCGTCGAGGAGCAGGCCGCACTCGAGGTACTGCTTGTTCTCCAGCTTCTCCGTCTGCTTGAGGATAAAGCGCTTGTGCTGCTTTTGTTGCACGCGATCGTCGATGTTCCGGTCGCGGCCCTTGCAGAACATCATGTTGAAGATCTCCTCGTCTTCCTCGGTCGACTTGCGGTTGACAATCATGTGCATCATGGAGCAGCGGATGCGCATGTACTGCGCCTCGATCCACAGCTTGGACTTGTACTGGTTGCGGGTCACCTCGTTGAGGGTTTCGAAGATTCCCGTCTGCGCCTGGAGCTCCATGTAGTGCACAAAGCTGGGAACGTCCAAGATGTTGAGCTCGGCTGCTCGGAGCAGCACATGGTGTATGAACAAGGGCTCGAATTCGTCTCTAATGTCCACGCATTGGCGGTACAGAGCCGAGTCTCGTCCGCAGGCGGATAGTTCGTCCAAAACTGCGTCCAGAAAGGCCTGTCCCTCGCTGGCGTTCATCTCCTGCAGGCTCTGTTCGCTCTCCAATCGCACCTCGTCCTTGGGCAATATATCGCAAATACGAGTGGCTACCGCGGGCTCTGGCTGCACCAGTGTCTCCAGTTCGTGGCCCCAGAACTCGACCACAGCCGAGGGATTGCGTTCGGTGCTCTTGCTGAGCAACCAAAACGTAAAGGCCACAATGTGGGCACAGGCTCCTAACAAAGAGTTGGTTTTTAGTAAGAAAATGCAGAGTTGACCCAGAGTAATTCTCACCGGCGGCGGGACACAGGCTGCACTGGCCATCTGTGATAATCCGTGAGCTCTCCACGACCTTCAGGCCCACATTGGCGTGGGTGTCCGTGTTGGCAAAGTCAGCAGCGGGGAAGACAAGTCCCTTGAGTTCGTAGACCTCGCCACGCCGCTGCATCTGTACATAGTCCGTAAGCAGGTCACCTTTATTCGTGGCTCTGTATGTAGGAAGAACAATTCTATTAATTATAGTTAATTTTAAGGAGGCACTAACTTACATTTGTTTAGACTTGTCGGCGGCTGAGCAAAAGTTAAACACCATTGCGCTGTTGACCACCGGTAAAGTGTGCATGTCAGCCCTCCGGAACCCGGGCTCCAGGTCCATGGGCACTATAATCATACCTTTCATTGTTAAATGGCAGTTTTTGAATCAAAAATTCGTTAAAAGAAATTACAGAACATTCTTAAATCTAGCGATGCAAAAAATAACTCTAGCAATCGATATCGATAGTGATATCGATGTGTTCTTAACCCTACACAATTAATATTATCTGGTCACACAAAAACTGGGGCTAACAGGTTGCACTGCTTGCGAAATATGTTAAAGCAGTTCACAACTGGCGCCAATTTCAAATCTAGAAATTTATTTATTTAAAAAAATCGTATTTATCATATTTGTCTGTCCTCTCCCTTAGACATACTTAAAGATAGCCGCATGGACAAAGTGCACACACGACATGGGTGAGTTCAGATTATCAGGAATTCCGTCCCGGAGCAATAATTAAACAAATATTTATCCACACAGCAACATCGAGACTCTTCCCCGCTTCGTCCGCAACTTGCGAAACCTGCGCTGTTGCGATGGGGATGCGATATCGCTGGAATGCCATGTGGAGGCCGATCCAGAACCGTTTATCATTTGGGAAAAGGACGGACGAGTGGTTCCCGCTGACCGCGACTACGTGATGTCCTTTGATGGCACCAAGGCCACGCTGAGCATTCCACGCGTGTACCCCGAGGACGAGGGCGAGTATACTTGTGTGGCCAAGAACTCGGTTGGTCGCAGTCTCTCCTCTGCCTGCATAATTGTCGATGTGCCCGAGGAGAAGGAGAACATGCTCAGTCGCCAGTTGACACGGCCCAGTGGCCTGCTCTCCGCCCACTCCACGCCACGCTCCACGCCGCGTTCGACGCCAGCAAGGAGCTTCTCACCCATGCGTCTCTCCTCCTATCGCACCACAAGCAGCATCGATCTTTCCGCGGTGGCCGAGCGAAGGCGTAGCGATGCCCGCAATGCCATAACGGCACCCAAGTTCCTTGCCATTCCCTACAATCGAGTCGTCGAGGAGGGCGACAGTGTGCGCTTCCAGTGCGCCATCGCGGGCCATCCCACACCCTGGGCCACCTGGGACAAGGATGGTCTGATTGTCACGCCCACGCCCAGAATCGCTGTAAAGGAAATCGATGATCTTCGGATCATAGAGATCGATGAGGTGTCCTTTGATGATGCGGGCCTGTACCGCGTGACTCTCGAGAATGATTTTGGAAGGATTGAGGCTACTGCCCGCCTGGATGTGATACGCAGCTCCCGCTACTCCAAGTCTCCATCTGTGCGCAGTGTACGCGCCTCCTCCTCCCGCCTTTACAGGCGTATCATGGGTCCATCCACAGGTGGGTTTTAAGCTCCTATTTAGGAGTAAAATTCTGATTTATCATTGCTTTCCCGCAGCAATTGGCGGACGCATGGCCTTGGCTAGCGGCTATCGAGGCTCTTCGGTGCCTTCGGTGAGGTTCTATCGCAACAACGTGGAGCTGGAGCCATCAGAGCGAGTGCACATCCTGCTGCAGGAGGAGGACTCAATGGCCCTGCTCATTGTGGATACTGTTACGCGCGAGGACGAGGGAGTATATACCTGCATCATAAGCGGCAGCAATCACGATCCCCTGATCAGCTCCACCACAGTCCGTTTCTATGATACGGAGAATGAGATTCCCACCAGACGCGGAGCCGTCATCACGGAACCACTGCCCGAGATAACCAAATCGCTGGAGGGAGAGGTGATTGATCTGTGCTGCGGCATCGATTGCCAAGAGCCCTATAGCTACGTTTGGCTGCGCAATGGGGAAGTACTACCGGACAGCGATGAATTCAAGTGAGTAGTAGATGGTGGGAGGTGGGAGTAGCTATAAAAAGCATAAAGATTCCATTAAGAGGCCATTAAGATCCCAAAACTATATATAAGCTTCTCTCCTTTGCTCTCCCAATGTCATTTATTTATCACAATTTAATTGTTTTTTAATTCCAGTTACATTGATCATGGCAATGGACGCCTGTGCCTGCGCATCAACGATGCCTTCGACATTGACTCCGGCATATACAGCTGTCAGGTGTTTACCAACGACTCAGACTCCAACTCCGAACCCGATTGCACTAGCAGCGGCGAGCTGTGCGTCTTGGAGCGAGATCTGACCCAGGCAGATGAGCAGCGCGTGCAGCTGCTAAAGACTCCCCTCCCAGTGGTATGTGGCTTGGGCGAGGAAGCCCTGTTCTATGCCCGTGTCTTTCCCTGCGAAGCGGAAGCCGAATGGTATCTAAATGGCCAACTAATAGCCGAGGAGGATGACTCACTTAACATGACGGTGCGTATGCGTGTAATAAACCCCAGGCAGAGTCATTCGCGCGCTTGCTTTTGGCCTCAATCCCAGAGGGGAAGCAAAACAGAGCTCTTCATTTTCGGCCTCTTGCCTTGTTCACACTTCTGCCGGGAGAAAACAATAATAATAATTGTGTGTATACATGCTCATTTGCATAAGATACATATAGGAGATATATAAGAGACCCAAAAGATTGAAATACGGCGGCATGCGCTTTGCATGCCAACGATGTTGCTGCTGCTGCTGTTGCTGCTGGGCGCTCAAGTTGCTCAGCTGGCGAGGAGAAACACTCGCTTGTCGGCGCTCAAGCGGCGCACATCTCGGTCTCAGTGGTAGTCTAAGTCCCGGTCTAAGTCCCAGTTTCCTTTCCCCCCCGGTTTTGTTCCCGCCAGAGAGCGGGCTTTGGGGAAAATCAAAGTCTACAGGGCGTGACCGTTTGAAGATGTCACAGGTAGGCAAAGCAAATGGATTGCATTCGAGTATCAATATCGCTAATGGCATTCAGCCAAAGCCAAAGGCAAGGCAAGGCCCTGTGACTATTCCCAGTCCCCCTAGCATTGGCTGGTGGTGGTGCTGGTGTGCTCCAGTGAAAATGAGAGCGAGCGTGAAAGTGTCATTGTCACGATCGTTGGCTGCGCTCAGCTCGTGGCATTCCATGTTCTCGCGTAGCGTTCCCGCTTAATTGGTGCGTGCCATTGAGAGGGCCGTTCAGTTGTACAACAACCTCAGTTTGCGCCGCTTCGCCCTGCTCCGGATCGATCGGTTACTGCCTCTCCCCTCTCCAGACACTTGTGCATACAGTATATAATTGTTTACCCATGTGGGAAGCGTTCTAAACCCGTGATTAAGTGGTAAAAATAGCAAAGAAAATATTATTCTATATATTTTGAAAATCAGCAGCGACCTGTTGATATTGAATCAATAATAGGGGAGAAGCTACCTATCTATATACAAGGAGTGCTTTCGGTTTTACCCTCCACACCTGGAATTCAATTAGCACAAACGTGAGCCATTAAATTCACTTTCAAGGAGATAAACAATCTAAGGCCTAGACATTTTACTAACAAAGGAAATTATGTGGAAAGCAGTGAAGAGGGAAATAGTCCCTAGGAATAAGATGCCTAACTCAGTGCTTTTTACGACTCAATAAAATTTTTAAATAAAAAATAATTGAGACCAATTTAATCTACAAAAATCTTCATTCAGTAATATAATTAGTGTTCTCTCCCTACAATCTTATATATTTCACCCTCTTCCTTTCAGTTGGAGTCTTATCCAGAGAACGGCATTCGGCTGCTGCGCATGCGAGACGTGACCACTTCGAGGAGCGGCGAGATCTGTCTGCAGGTGAAGCATCCCCTGGCAGACTCACGGCGTATACCCGCCACCCGTACTTATACGAGCCTTCTGGTTCTGCCCGCCGTCAGGGGCAACAGCAGTGCCTCCTCCTCGCTGGCGGGACGCAATAGCTGCATTTTAACACGCCCCGAGGATTGCACCGCCCTCATTGGCGGACATGTCCGGCTGAGCGTGCGCTACGAGCCATTCCCGGGCACCACGGTCATCTGGTACAAGGCGGTAAGTTGCTGAACTAATCCTCGCAAGTAGGCTTATGGTAATTGGTCCGGTTTGCGTGTCTCAGCGTCACAGCGAGGTGTTGTGCAATCTTGACCTAATTTGGGCAGAGCAGCCGTGCCAGTGGGATTATAAGGCCATATCGGATCCATATTCTTTATCTGCTATAAGCCCACTACTCCGGTGCCAGCCCTATCTCGCTGGGCGCCTGTCTCTTGCTTTGGGCATTTCTGTGGCTCGATGGTGACTCTCTGACTGTGTCACGATCAGTTTGCGGTGTTTACGAACGACGCACGTTGGGTTGATGGGCTGCCTATGGGTAGCCTGGTCTGGTCTGGCTACGTAATGGTTGCAAACCGCAAATACGAGACGAGCAGCGCCCGCGAAGGTTGTGTGGCCAGAGATCAGCTCCAACAACACTTGGAAAATACATTGCCACGAACTTTGGCAATTCATCAGGCTTTTATGCTGATTTTTTTTTCTTCAAAAAAGTGCCGAACTTCATTATTTTGTCACACATAAAACAATGTATATATTGTATATTAAAGATTATGTTGTCTTGTTTTTCAACTTGACCTTGCTTATAACATATCTCAAGAAACTCATAAAAACCAGCTCCGAAAAGCTTTCCCAATTAAAAATTAAGGCAAACTGCAGGGTATAGAATTGTTAGATTCCCCGAAATTATTTTTCTTTCCTTTTTAAGTTCCTCACTTAACAAACCTTCTTTTCCCCTCACCCACAGTGCCACCCCATCATAGAGAGCTCCAATGTGACAATACGGACAACCAGCCAGCAGTCGACCCTCTACATCACGGACATCTCAGCGGATGACAGCGGCAAATACACGGTGGAAGTGATGAACGACTATGGCGTGGAGGCTGCTGCCGCCTCGGTGGCAGTGGAGGGACCACCAGAACCGCCCAGTGGTCAGCCCAGTGTCTCCCTAGGCCCAGATCGCGTGGCAGTGGCCTGGTGTGGGCCACCCTACGATGGCGGCTGCATGATCACAGGCTTTATGTAAGTAACCAAAGGGTATAAATAGCTCATCCTGTAACTAAATCCATCTTAATCAACATAGCATTGAGATGCAGACCTGCGAGGGCGAGGACTGTGATACGGACAACTGGCAACAGGTGACCCGAGTGGTGGACACGCTGGCCTACACCATCAAGAACCTACAGCCACAGATGCATTATAGATTCCGCGTGAGAGCCGAGAATATCCATGGACGCAGTGAACCCGGCCAGGCCAGCGAACTGGTGCAGATCACTAGCAGATTGCAGAGGAGTCCCTCAGATCATTATGGCCAGACAGTGAGTGTCCAGGCTGGCGGAGACTTCAAAGCCCGCTTTGAAATCATCGAGGAGCTGGGCAAAGGACGCTTCGGCGTGGTCTACAAGGTGCAGGAACGCGAGCAGCCGGACCAACTGCTGGCCGCCAAGGTGATCAAGTGCATCAAGTCACAAGATCGACAGAAGGTGCTCGAAGAGATCTCCATAATGCGTTCCCTGCAGCATCCCAAGCTCCTGCAGCTGGCCGCCTCCTTCGAGAGTCCCAGGGAGATAGTCATGGTGATGGAGTAGTAAGTCTACCAGGTTTTTTCTTCAAGATTAGATTAGATTAATTCTTTTTTTCTTTTGTTATTTAGCATCACTGGCGGCGAACTGTTTGAGCGTGTGGTGGCCGATGACTTCACATTGACTGAGCTGGACTGCATCCTTTTCCTGCGACAGGTGTGCGATGGCGTGGCCTACATGCACAGCCAGAGCGTGGTGCATTTGGACCTGAAGCCGGAGAATATTATGTGCCATACGCGCACCAGCCACCAGATCAAGATCATTGACTTTGGCCTGGCCCAGCGGCTGGACACGAAGGCTCCTGTACGCGTTCTCTTTGGAACCCCCGAGTTTATACCGCCGGAGATCATCAGCTATGAGCCCATTGGCTTCAAGTCAGACATGTGGAGCGTGGGCGTCATCTGCTATGTGCTGTAAGTCTAGCTAACTTGGGACTTCCTTGGCGAATTATATATATATTATGTATTCCCATAGACTCTCCGGCCTCTCACCTTTCATGGGCGACAACGATGTGGAGACCTTCTCGAATATCACACGAGCGGATTACGACTACGATGACGAGGCCTTTGACTGCGTGTAAGTTAAATAAATAAATATAAATATTATTATTATTATTATTTTCAATTTATTAAATCCTTTATTTTCCTATCCGTAGTTCCCAGGAGGCCAAGGACTTTATCTCGCAGCTTTTGGTGCACCGCAAGGAGGAGCGCCTGACCGCCCAACAGTGCCTGGAATCCAAGTGGCTTAGCCAGCGACACGACGACAATCTCAGCAACAACAAGATCTGCACGGACAAGCTGAAGAAGTTCATTATCCGCAGAAAGTGGCAGGTTAGTCTAAGCTTTTAATCCTCCGCATTTTTTTTTTAAATCCTAACCCTATGCTACTCCTGCTTCCTTGCCTTTGCTTGCTCCTGCTGCCGCAGAAAACTGGCAATGCCATTCGAGCTCTGGGACGCATGGCCAACTTGTCAGTGTCGCGCCGGAACTCGGCCATAGCCATGGGAGCTTTAAGCAGTCCCAGGCCCTCTTTATCGGGTTTGAGTATGCTAAATGCCAGTGCCTTAAGCAGTGGCATGTCCTCCCAAATGACTTCCCTCCACGAAGAAGAAGACGACTTCAGCGTGGAGATGCCTTCGGTGGAGAAGCGCACAGTCCTGAAGCTGAGAGATAAGTCACAGTGCAGCGAACGAAGTGACTCGGGATACAGCGAATGCTCTAACTGCAGCGGCGCCCAGGAGAACCTCTTGCTCTCCCTAGCCAAGTCCAAGTTGGAAGCCATAGCCAAGGCTGGCAATGTCTCTCATACAGAGCAGTTGGACCCAGAACATCCTGTTGCTGTCACCCTGGAGCTGCCCACCAATAGCAAGGGTGAGGCCATCATGCGCTCGGACTTTACCAACACCATCAAGATGCGGAAGAAGTCTCTCGAGGATAGTGCTGCTCGGGAGAAACCAAAGTCCAAGACCCAGGTCAAGCCTCTGTGTGAGTCCAAGCTGAAGGTGTCGCAGCTGAAGGATAGGTTCCAGGTTCCCACTGCTCCTGCTCCCGCTGCATCCGCCGCTGCTGCTGCTGCTGCTGCTAACAAACCTCCGCTTGCCTTTGAGTCCTTCAAGATAGCCAAGGTGGCGAGCGTGGGACGCATCAGTAGAAGTAACTTTGAGCTAAAGCAACCAAAAACAGACCTCTAGAGTATGGTAGAAGTTAGAAAAAATTTATGAATTTAGATATTTTAAGCAAAAAAAAAATTTAATACAAGATTAATATAAGTACAAAATAGTTTTATTGTTGTGTTATTATATGATATTAAATTTAATAAGCTAACTTAAGCCGTTACGCCACAATACAGTTTTGAAAATTGGCTATTTTTGCACTAAATTAATACATTAAATGTGGCCTTTTTTAGGCTCCAAACCATTTCAGAATCAGGCCAAAACAATTTATTTTTAAATTGAAAAAACTTACACTTTTAAATTATTTAACTTTAGGGTCTGTTTTGGGATTTTTTTGTACAAATCCTAACCGTTTCCCACTAACTCTTCTCTTCTATTTCCTCCCTTAACAGCAGAGGACTCGGAAAAATCGAAACGTGGAACCCTTAGTAGTGGATCCTCCGCTAAAGCCAAGCCGGCTCAGGTGCGATCCATGCCCAGCTCACCGCTGCCACAGCGATCAGCCACGCCGACGCGGCTGATGAGCCAACGTGTCCGTGAGGCGGCCGAGCGTCTTGCCCAACAGCACACGGTGGCCAGTGCTCAGCGGCAGTTCAGCAATGGTAGCAACGGAAATGGGAACACGAAGACAACGGAGACGAATCGCGAGTCACGTGCGCGACGGCTCATCAACAGATTCAACAACAACAACAACGAAACGCAGCATATCACGTCCTAGTTTATAACTTTATTACAAATATATAGCAGATATAGCATTGTTTAAGCAAAGACCCCAGGAGAAACTCAACTCTACGACACTCGAATATGAAGCGAATGCGAGATGCGACTGCGAAGCGACTGCGGTTTGGAGCGCACCCAGAATCCAGCACCCGCACCCGCACCCACTCACAGTACGCCGCCCCCGCCCCCTCTCCCTCCCGTCGGAGGCCCTGTACTTAGGCTAGGAGGAAGCTAAGTGTTTAAATTATTATATCGATTTATATACTTATTTACCGTACTAATTAAAGTTAATGATAACGAAATCTGTGTGTGTGCGGGAGGAAACTCCTTTCTTGGGTTAGTGATCGGCTAGCGGGTGATCGCGGGGCTTGAGGTGCACCCACAGGCCGCCGGAAGCACGAAGAGTAATCCGGAAGGTGGCCTCAAAGGTAGTCTTGCCTGGCACGGGTAGCAGGTGGAAGCTACGCAACAGCCGCGACACTATGGTCTTCATCTCCATAATGGCAAAACGATTGCCAATGCAGTACCTCGGCCCAGCACTGAATGGTAGAAAGGCGTACGGATGGCGGTGCTCCGAGTTCTCAGGGGAGAATCGCTCTGGTATAAACTTTTCCGGTTCGGGGTAGATGTGCTCTAGCCGGTGGGTGGCATAGGGGCAGATCAAGACATTGCTGCCGGCGGGCAGTGTGTAATCCTTTAGGCGCACCTCCTCGCCCAGCTTGCGGGACATCAGTGGCACACTGGGGTAAAGACGCAGTGCCTCCTTGATGCACATCTCCATGTAGCGCATCTCCCGCAAATCCGTCATCGTAGGAGCCCTGTTGCTGCCCTCAAAGATAGTCTCCAGCTCCTGGCAACAACGCTCTTGACAGTCGGCATTCTGGGTCAGCAGGAAAAGAGTGAAGGCGACGGCGGCGCCCACGGAATCCTGGCCAGCCAACATAAAAGTGCAGGCCTCGTTTACGATGTCCTCTTCGGTGAAGTCGGGATTGCTGTCGGAGATCTCGATCATAAAGTCCAGCAGGCACCTGCGCTCGTCGTTCCCATTGTTATTATTCTGCATCTGGCGACGTCGCTTGATCATCTGGCGTGTGAAGTCATTAAGACGCTTCTTCTGGTTCAGCTCATCGTTGGCCATATTGGTCCAGTGATAGACTCCATCCAGTAGCAGCCAAGGACGTGTGAAGCGCTGGGGCATCATGAGCTTGCCCTGGCGGAAAGGTGAGTCCTCCATGTTGACCATATCCTGGTCCCTCTTCTTGATGGGCACGCCCAGAACGGCCTCTGTGGGTAAGTCATATAGAGGTTAGTTGATGACCAGGAGAAACTAATCCTCTCTAGAGACTCACCATTTAGTATGCCCACCACGCAGTTGTTCACATACTTGGCTATGTTGATGTCCTGGCCCTTGGCAGAGGCATCTAGGTTCTCGTACAGCGACTGTGAGGCATCCACAAAGGTGTCAATGAATTTTTCCAGCAGGCTGAGATGGAAGGCAGGCTGAATGAGCCGCCGGTGGTTGCTCCACTTGGAGCCACTGCTGGTGATGAGACCATCACCAAGGAAATTGTGCATCAGCCGGTAGACGAACGCCTTGTTGGTGTGTTTCTTGGAGGAGAGAATCACCTGAAGATCTTCGGGATCTAGAACGGCGAAGAAGGGGAAGAGGAGTACCCAAATGCGTACGACGGAGCCATATAGCTTATAGGCATTGCCGCACCATTTTTGCATCACTGGAAGAGGGGTTTTAGGGATAAATTGTGATTAATATATTGTAAAACATAGACTTCCTCTTAAATTGGACTTTAGGTAGCCTTTCCAAGATCTAGACTACACATACTTCACCTTAAGGTATGTAAACTCACCCCCTTTGTCCGTGATCAGGTGACAGTTTCCCAGAAATGGCACCAATGGCGGTCCCGTAAGCCTCAGCATCAAAAGCACCGATTTCAGGTACGTGTTTAAGGTCGCATAGAATGTGTAGATACTCAAAGTGATCACCATGAGCAGCAGGAGCGAGAACAACTCCAGCTTGGTGGCACGCTCAAACTGTGAGAGAGACAAAGAGATACATATATCAGGGTCGGGTCAGTCAGGTGGATAATTGCCTGCGTGCGCCAATATTGATTCAGTTATCGAGCGGCGACGCACTCCATCAGCCCTCGAGTTAACTAATTAACTAAGATCTCGGTGAGGAGCAGGGAGCGCACTTGGCATGCCCTTGCCGTGTGTCGTAAGTTTTTTTTCGGCATCGTAATCGTAATCGGCAACGAAAGTATAAGTTATGTATCTAACTGCGGTGTGAATTGCTTGGGCCAACACGGCGTATGGGCGATGGCAGCTCCTAGCATCGCAGAGCAGATACAAGATACAAGTACGTGTGCGGCTCGGAGATCGATTAAAGCATTTGGGTTCGCCCCCGCCCTTGTCGTACGTGGTCGGGTTTTTGGTGTCAATGGTGCAACAGGTTACGCCGAGCCACAAAAGATGACAAATGATGATCACCAGGGACAGAGGCATTGTTGCCCGGCCAGTTCCCACATGATGTGATGTGTCAGGGCAGATTTCGGTTCTGGATGGGACAGCAGCAATTAGCCACACATCCGTCAGGTTTCATGGTCAGGTGAAACCCGACTCTGACTCAGATTTCAATGGTTAATTTATTGTTTGCAAAGAAACACATGCAGTTGGTGGATTATAAATGTAGAAGTTTTGGTCGTCAGTCCAGGGACTCCACGATATCCCTGAGTTTTGGATAAAGTATACTCTAAAATGCAGTTGTCCAGTGGTCAAAAAACTCAAGAAGAAACCATGTTTTTGGCTTTGGAATATTATTCCGCCGGTGGAGTCTCATCCTCGTAGCCCTCGGACAGGGCATTCTTGTCGGCATTGTGGAACAGGCTGCGATCGCCATCGCCCCAAGGAAATCTCTTGGTCCTTCGCCGTAGATACTCGTACTTGGTGAAGGGCTCACGTTCCTGATGCCCGTGCCCAGAGAAGGCGTTGACAGCGCACAAAACAATGGCCGGAATGGCCACCAGGAAGGTAAGACGCTTCCACAGGCTGGCGGTATTACCAGAGCCAAAGCCCATCTGCCGGAAATCGAATCGGGATCGAGGCATGGCTTTGATTTAGATTCAAATAATTTTTTAAAGCTCAAGGAGAGTCAGGCTGATGACTGACTGTGAAGGAACCCAAAATCTGACCTAAGACGCCCACGCCTGCTGCTGCCTCTTCGAAATAAATATTGTTCATAGCAATTAGAAACTCTCAAGGAAATCGAACGCACAGAGGCCCGTGCCAAGGCTGAGGTCCAACAACCCCTGTTTGATCTGATCAATATTTGAGCAGAAACCGAAAAAACCTGTGAAGCGTCCAGAAGGCTTCCGCTCCGCACTTGCGACGACGTCTTCTATTTCTTTTTGGGCACGGCAGCGTATCCAGGCTGCGAGGTGTGCAGAACCCGAGCGTTTATTTGCTCGCCAATTGGCACCTGGCCACTAATCAATACACATCATGATTATTTCCCACTAATTTCATAAATTATCATAATGGTCTTCTACCAAACGAGGGACTCGTTGTTGCCAGTAATTCCGGCTAAAAAGCCAACAGAGGTGAGATAATTCAGTTAAGACTTTAAAATGAATTTAAATTTATGGTAATCGAGAGTTACAGGGGAACACAGTTTATGTTTAAACACTTTTACGATACATTTTTTTAGTTTGTTGAATATTTTCTAATAAAGGATTTAGTATTTCCATTGGTTCAACTTGATTTTTTTATAGTTTCATCCATTTTCTTGACCTTATTTTATAACCACTTTCAATCTCCTTTTATATCTTTTACCACTCACCACTTTTTCCACAAACATTTTGACTTAATTCACACAAATCTTAATCACTTGCAAGTCCTTGCCGCACTTAGACGGTGAAGTTATATTACGCTAGTATATAGCTTTATATATATTTCCGATTTTAGGGCTACTTATCCGCCGACAGTTGAGCTGCAAATGCGGGACCTCCGCCGGCTGAGCGTCTATTTATAACCAATTTGGGCCGATCAAGCTCGGCTTACACATGCCGAAAAAGACGCCGCCGCTGCTCGGCGCGTACGTGAGCTGGAGCCACCTCTATATCCCCCCTAGAGGTACTGCAGGTACCCGATATCGAGTATAGTAATTGCTAACTAGTCGGCGGCACTCGAAGTGCTAAGTAGCTAGAAGTGGATACGATGCTGGGGATGCTGCGCCTCCGCGCCAAGTGGCGTGGCAATCAATTATCCGTTCTCTGCGCCTATTTGTGCACAGTGTAACGAACTTTGCTCGGACCAGGTTCGATCCCAGGCGGGCCGGGCCTCCTCCTATCGTCGCTGGATTACATCAATCATTTATATTTACAGAGTGGTCGATGCTCGGGGGCTCAGGCCTTTTAACGTCATCATAAATGTTGACCAAAACTTTGGGAATCATTTCCGCGAAATTACTAGTATCTTGGGCAAACAAGGGATCATAGTTGGATGTGCTATGTGCACCTCCTCCACCTTCTACTTACTCATAGTATAGTAGTAGAATTTCAATTATAAAACAATTTGGATTCCTATCTAATGGTTTTCCTTTAAATAATCGTTATTGGTGGCACAATTATGGTTATCAGCCCCGATTAGACTATAGCCTCTTGTACTGACTGTGGCTTTGGGTGCCCAAGTACCGCCAGAGATTAACATAGAAAATAAATCTCTCCCCCCTTATCTGGAGACATGATGAATAGGCGGGCTTCCCGCCGACCAGATTACACCTCAACACCTAGACATCCTCGTCAGTCTTCACGAGTAAAGTTCGATGGTTAATGATATAAGGCCGGGCGGTGACTCAACCATTAACTTACTGATAATCCCCAAATGGTTCTAGCTTGGCCAGTTGGCTTTCCTCTGGCTTTGTGGCCATTTGGGTCTTTAGAAGACCACCGCCTTCGGTCAGGCCAGTTTATAATGGATATAAAACGTCCGTCCCATAAACTTTACGATATCGTTGCTGAATTTTATGGAAAAAAAATCCAAAATACCTATCGGGGATCGGGGATGATCGCCAATTTCGCCATTTCGTGATAAGTGATAAGCCGCTGACTATGGCCCTATATAAGGAGTCCAAATCGAACCACCCCTTAGAATTGTGAAAATGTCGCTACGCTTGGGACTGTTTCTTTTGGGGCTGCTTGCCCCTCTAATCCTTGTGAATTCCGCCTTCATAAACCCACTCATTGTGGGTGGCGATCAGGCGGACATTGCCAACTATCCGTACCAGGTCTCGGTTCGTCTGGAGACCTACATGCTGCTCCACATCTGCGGCGGCAGTATCTACGCCCCCAAGGTGGTGGTCACAGCCGCTCACTGCGTCAAGGGACGCTTTGCCTCCTACATCCGGATCGTGGCTGGCCAGAACTCGATCGCTGACCTGGAGGAGGAGGGCGTGAAGGTCAGCAAGCTGATCTACCACAGTGGCTACAACAAGAAGACCTATGTGAATGATATTGGATTGATCATTACCCGCGAGCCATTGGAGTATTCCGCCCTGGTTCAGCCTATTGCCTTGGCCCTGGAGGCTCCTCCATCGGGCGCCCATGCCGTGGTCAGTGGCTGGGGCAAGCGGACCGAAGAGGATGAGGCCCTGCCTGCTATGCTGCGTGCCGTCGAGCTGCAAATTGTGGAAAGGAGCACATGCGGATCCCAGTACCTGACCAAGGACTACACCATCACAGATGAGATGATTTGCGCTGGCTTCTTGGAAGGCGGCAAGGATACCTGCAATGGAGATTCCGGCGGTCCCCTGGTTGTGGATGGAGTTCAGGTGGGCATAGTGTCTTGGGGCGTGGGCTGTGGCAGGGAGGGATTCCCAGGAGTGTACACCAGCGTCAACTCCCACATTGCCTGGGTGGAGGAGCAGGCAGAGCCGTACCTCTAGTGGGAGATTCTCTGTCAAAGAAGAGGTACTTTACGGCCTGAAAGCGAACAAATTAAACGAACAAAATATGACATTACTGACTAAATCAAGATTTTAAAATGATTAATACCTTAATGGAAGTCACCATTAACCTTGTTTATGTTTATATAAAAAAAGCACTTTGTCTGAAGAATTTATCAATAAATTAACACATTTAAGCGGATAATTATGCTGGACTTTGGCTAGTTATCTGGAATCTTAAGTACTAAGTCTGGGTCATATATCACGACTAACAAGAAAGGAATGTAACTTCTGGAAGTCAAAGTCTGTTCACCCAAGCAGTTTGCAATTGGAATGTATCTTAACTTGGACAAAAAATGAATTCATTTAAATTCGGAAAGCCTTTTTGTGTTGGCTTTTATTAGATTAACAAATCAGCATATCAGATAAAATTATGAATGGGAAAATAAAACATTTTCCACCCAATTGAAAGAAAAATACTCGGCTTTTGATGCTGATCAAGAATATATATGATTTATGAGGTCGATTTTTTTATATTAATTAGATAAGACTTATATATAAGTAGCTTTAATTTTTAAAATTTTTTAAATTTAACAAGAAAGAAAACTAACTTTGGCCAGCCAGAGTTTGTATACCCTTGCAGGTTACAATTAAAATATATCATAACTAAGCCAAAACTGCATTAATTTCGATTCGGAAAGCAGTTTTGTGTTAGTTTTTATTAATTTAAAAAAACTGCATACCAAATTTAAAATTTTAAGATATCAAAATTTTTGGCCATTTTGCGAATTTTAATGATGTAACCCCTTATCAAATTTCGCAAAAATGGCCAAAAAATCAATTTCTTCCGGACATGTCTACAAAGATTCCCCTGTTGATGCTGATCAAGAATATATATGGTTTATGGGGTCGGAAATGATTCCTTGACTTAGAAAAATATTATTTTGTATTATAAAATCTGATTTTTTACATAAAAAACTTCTTGTTTTTTTTTAAATTAAAAATATCATAACTGGGCCAAAAGAGCATTAATTTTAAATCGGATAACTGTTCTGTGCAAGATTTTCTACAGTTAATAAATCTGCATACTTCATTTAAAAATTTTGAAAATTCAATTTTTTATCAAAATTAAAAATTTTAATGAGGTAACCCCTATAAAATTTTGCAAAAATGGCCAAAAAATCGATTTCTTCCAGACATATCTAGAAAGATTCCTCTGTTGATGCTGATCAAGAATATATATGGTTTATGGGGTCGGAAACGTCTTATTCATTGCGTTGCAAACTTCTGACTGAAATTATAATACCCTGCAAGGGTATAAAAATGTCATAACTCGGCCAAAAATTAATTAATTTCAGTTCGAAAAGCTGTTCTGCATTTGGTTTATTTAAGTTAATAAATCTGCTGACTTAATTTATAATTTTAAAAAATATAAATATTGGCAAATTTTTGACATTTTTAACGATGTCCTCCTTATCAATTTTTGAAAAAAATATTTTTCTCTTCGGACATGGCTAAAACGATTCGGCTGTTGATGCTGATCAAGAATATATATGATTTATGGGGTCGGAAAGGACTCCTTCACTGCCTGGCAAACTTCCGACTGATAATATATAGCCTCCAAGGATATAATAAAAATCCGCACACAAATGCTTCTGGGCTTGTTCTTTTCTCTTTATTGATACACTTATAGCATAGCATATAGTATAGATTTTGGTTATCAATAGACATACACCATATACAAAGGTTCTTTGAAATTATTCCAATTTAATTGCAATAATATCCAAGTTAATCGCCGTTCTCTGCTCACCAGATTCCAAAGAGTTGTGTTGAATATCGATTACAAATTCGTTTTTAACAAAAAATCAACAGGGAAACTAATAATACGTAGATTTTGGGGTATTAACCAGCTCACTTTTGTACAAGTCATTGTCGGGGGAGGGTCCCTAATGCTCCCCGCTCGCTGTGATGATATCCTTCTCCGAGCTGAAGCTAGTGTGTGCCTTCTCCTCTGATTTAGCTGCTTGTCTGCTTTGGAAGTCAGTGGTCTTCTTAGATCCTCGAGTATATAGCTCTCCATCTCTCTGTTTCGCTTCTCTGGCAATTTCAGATGCATTTTTAATTGTTATCAGTATCAGTATATATATGTGTGTGTACGCATATATATATGTATATGTATGCTCGTTCTAAAAACTATGTTTGTGTTAACAAAAACAAAAAAATCATAACAATACATTCATAGTTTCGCGTATGTATGAGAGTGGATGGAGTGGAGTGGAGTTCGTTGGGGAGTTCGAAACTGGATTTCGGGGATTAGTGTGGAAATGGAGTATGGAAAACAACGGAAGAGCGAACGGAGAGCGCAGAGCGGCCACATACGCTATTATAGCCTTGTGTATCGTATGTATCTCGATCGGCTCTATATATATATATATATTTGTATGTAACATTTAGAGATTAGTATGCGCGTTTCTTTTATAAAGTAGACAAATATATATATATACTATATATATATATTTATATATATATATGGTTGTGTGTGTATGTAGTCTAGTGGTGACTTCCAGTCTGCTCGCTCCCCTCGCTCCACCGATCGCCTCAGTAGACAAAACGATTGATGTTCATGCCCAGGCCATTGCCACCGCATCCGCCGGACGGCGGCAGTTCCTGGTCATCATCGTCGTCATCCCCTTCCCCGTCGTAGTTGTGACGGCTAACAAATCCATTGTTGTGTCCACCGGTGGCGCCTCGCTTATAGCGCTGCATCCGCAACTCCTCGTTGTACATGTGGTTGTCCTTTTTGACATAGTCGCGCAGTTGGCGGGGCAATTCCTCCAGCGTCAGTGGCGGCGATATCGGCACCGAGACCACCTGATGGCCTCCCCCCGCCACCGATCCTCCGTTTATGCTCGAGCTGCAGCTGGCGGAGGACGCACCATTTGATTCGTTGGAGCGAGCACACATCTTGTAGAAGAGTATGTAGGGCGTATTGGGCGAGGTGAGGTTGTGCATCTCCTCCGGCTGCGAATGGGTCACCAGGTTGTCGTTGAACTTGTACCAGTTCTTCGACTGATCCGCTGCAAACGTAAAGTAGTGGCCGGAGTCCATGCTGAAGCCGGAGTGCACCACGCCAGCATAGAGGTCATAGTGCACCGTGGACATCTCCTGCAGCGAGTCGGTGGCGCACATCTTGACGGTTACCTGTGGGCAAGAGAGAAATATATAATCAGAACGAAAGCCGAAAGGTAAACGCCTCCGGATACTCACACTCTCGTCGTGGAACACCTTGTGCATCAACTTGGTGCGATAGTGGTACTTCTGGTCGTACTTGAACTGCTTGAGCGTAAGGATTAGGTTCCTGGGCGCCTGGGTGACCCCGATGTGTCGTTCTCCATCGCAATGCTTCTTGCAGCACGGACAGTGGTACTGATTGTCGCCGTCCAGCTTCTCCGGCGAACAGAAGTACTCGATGAGGTCCTGCACCGAGTAGTTGGTAGCTCCGCAGTCGTCCTTGACGTCTGGGAAGGATAGCTGAAGCTCCCTGAAGCTATCCTCATTGCGGCTCTCCCAGCCACAACTCAGGCACCGATAGGTGGTCGACAGCTTCCCGGCGAAAGTCTTATCGATGGTGGAAGCTAGCTTCGGGGAAAGTCCCTGCTGAGAGCTGCCGTTTGTGCCTTTGGTGGGTGTTGCGGGCGGATTGGGAGCTGTCTTATTGGCGCTGCTGCAACCGCTGCTAAGTTCATGATCATTGCTGTTGTAGGGTATCACCCCGCTGGTCACGATCTCCTCGCTGAGCAATTCGTCGCCGGGCTTCGGAGCCGTCTCCGAGGAGGAGCTTTTGATCTCTTGCTCGTGCAGCAGGTCGAGCAGATGACCTAGGAACTCGGAGCTGTCCTGCTGCAGCCCCGGCATAAAGCCAGGTGGCCGGGTGGCGTCTAGCACTCGTGACGGCGTCAGCTCATAGCGCATCGAGTGATGCATCAAGGCTATCTGCTGCTGCACCTTCTTCAGCAGCAGCGAGTCGCACTCTATGAGCAGAATCTGCCGGCTAAAGCTGTAAAACAGCGAAAAGTATATTAAAGACATTACGAGGAAATCAAGAAAATTAAGACGAAAGGGTAATCCAAAACTATACCATAAACATAAGCAGTTCCTACCAGAATTTATATTTATGTTTACGCTATGGCTCCGTTTTCACTTACTCGCTTGTCATGGCCAGCGCCTGGAGTACGCTGTTCATGTAGCAGGTGTTGCCCAGGTTAACCAGCCCCACTCGCGCATTCCGCCGACCCCATGGCTGGGCACTCTCGTGCATGGCCCGCGCCAGGGCCACACAGTTCGCCGAGGGGTTATACATCTGCAGCGTCTTCTTGACCGGCGTATAGAGCTCGTCGTGCTCGTGAAAGTGCAGCATCAAAGCGCTGGTGAGGTCCACTAGCTGCTGCAGACAATCGCGAATCTCCAGCTCATTCTCGTCCGCTGTATTCAACTGTATCTTTATAAAGTGCAGGACACGGGGGATCTTTGGCAATATCTGCAACGAATTCGGAAATTCATTAAAGTCCCCTAGATAGGAGTAATTACCTCCTTACCTTGTGAAAAACCTCGGGCGTGTAATTAGTCGTCGACAGCATATGGAAAACTATCGGGGCGGCCTTGGGCCGCAGCACCGGAATGATGAGCAGCTTAAAGAGCTTATCAATATTTTCCAACGCAATCTCGTCGAGAAGAGCACGCTTGCCCTGTTCCTCCAGCCCGGTGAGCAGAGCCATCACCCACAGATTCAGATTGCTGCAGAAGCTGCAATACGTTATCCATTCGCAGAGCAGACCCACCGTTTTTTGAATGCTGGAATCATGCACATTCTGCTCCAGAAGCGAGTGCACCGCCTCCAGGATCTGGGTGCTATCGAACAGCTTGAATACAACAGCCACCGCACAAGAGGGCGCCCGATCGGAGGGGGACTTGGTGATTAGCTCGTAGACGACCCGCAGGTAGAACATCTGATGGAACTTCTCGTTGCGAGCGGCCAAATATGCGCCCACCTTGATCACGTCCTCCTTGAAGCGCTTCAGCTCCGAAGGCGCCAGGGGCATCTGCATGCGTGCCAGGTCCACAATCACCCGCTCGTACATTTGGACCGTCTCCTCCGCCGGCTCCAGACTCTGCAGGTTGCTTAGCAGCGTATTAAAGTCTCGCTTGCCCTGGCGACTGGGGCCGGAGCCCTCGCCGGCGGACGAACCCGTTTCCATGCTTTCGGCGGCGCCGTTTCCATCGGCAATGATTTTTATTCCGTTTGAGGTGCTGGGCTTGGCATTGGGGGGCAGACCGCTGCCGCTGCCTCCGGCATTTTCCGGGGCCTCGCCAGCCTCACTGTTGTTCTGCTTGACGGCCATCTTTCGCAGCAGTCGCTTGACGTGGGAGTGGGGCGCGTGGACACTGGTGGACCAGAGGGCGGAGCGGCGCAGCCAGCTGCCGAAGGACAGGGGCTTCGGCTTGCCTAGCGCCCGGGCACTGCTGCTCTTGCGGGTCCCCCTTCGCTGAGCGCTAAGTCTCAGCCGAGCGTCCTTGAACCGCTCGCCGTTACGTGTCGTTGTTACGGAGTGACCTTTCAGGTGCGGCAAGTCCGTGTCCACATGCAGTGATCTCGGCCAGAAACCGCTACTGGTGCTGTTGCTGTTGCTGCTGCTTGTGCTGCTGCTGCACCCACCACCACTTCCACTTGTCTCTAAGCGAATGTGGTGCCCTGGGAGTTTTGTGGACGATGCCACATCTATGGCTCCGCTTGTGAAGATTCCTTCTAATATCGGCCACTATGTGGTTGCTCACACGTCTCCTGCTCAACTGGTTGACTTGGATTCAGTTGAGTCGACTTATTAACTACAATTTTGAATGTTTTTTCAACGAATTCTTTGTGATATTTCTCCGTTTTAATGTTGTGTCTACTGACAGGCGTATCGAGACGTTCAGGCGGAATGACAGGCTGAATGACGCAGTGTGTGGGAGCCCTACTATATCGATAGAGTGGTATTTTTGATATTTAAAAAAACGGAAAAAATTAATGTGTAACATTTCTTTTAAATTTATAAGGAATAAAAAATAAATAAATAAAAACCCAAGTTTTACAATTACTCTTTCACATTTCAGGCGGAATGACAGGCTGGAATGTTGCAGTGTGTAGGCACCCTAATATATCGACAGTGTAGTATTTTTGATATTATTTAAAAACGGGAAAAAAAATTAATGTGTAACATTTATTTGCAATTTATAAAGAACTAATAAAAACCCAAGTTTTACAATTACTCTTTGGCATTTAAAAAATAGCACCGAAAATATCTCGATACAAATATTTCTTTCAAAAATATCGATGTATCGATACATTTGTTTGTTTTTTTTTTTTTAACCGGTTGTCAAAGTAAACAAAATCGTCAATAATACAGCTTTGCTCGAAATTAACCAAATTAACTGTCTTTACACTGAACCGAACTTTAACAAAAGCAAGACAATGCATCCGGGCCAAACGGAAGTGAACGAAGTCACCGGCTACTGGACGTTTCTCCTCAGCGTACGTTCACTAGTGGCACGGTTTTGTGCTTTTAATAATAACTGATTGATTTCAGATTGATTGGACAGATCCGTGGCTGATTGGCCTAGTTTTGGTGCATGTCCTGACCACAGCAACAGCTCTACTCAGCCGGAACAACACCAACTTCCAGGTCTTTCTGTTCCTGGTACTGCGTACGTGGGGATTCTACGGCCGAATTGTTTCTTGTTGTTGTTTAATTGTTTTTCTTGTTATCTGCAGTGCTGGCGGTTTACTTCACGGAGAGCATCAACGAGTACGCGGCCCAGAACTGGAGCTCCTTCTCCAAGCAGCAGTACTTTGATAGCAACGGGCTGTTTATCTCGACAGTCTTCTCCATTCCCATACTCCTCAACTGCATGCTGTTGATCGTAAGTAACGCCATAGAAACTGCGGACAGGGGTCAATGACCTGGTGATTTTGCAGGGAACTTGGCTCTACAACTCCACGCAGCTGATGGTCTCGTTGAAAACGGCTCAAATCAGGGAGCGAGCGCGTCAGGGACGAAAAAACCAGGAAGACACATCGTTGGCCACCGAGGAGCACGAGAAAGCTGAGTAGGAGCTGCGTTTAATTTTAAGCTGTTATCATTGGAGCTGTGAGGAATCCATTGCTTTTTCAAAGATGTAAAGCTAAAGTCCCCCGACTTGAATTAGAATTAGGCTTAGAGTCGTACTTGCTGCCATTTCAGAATAGCTTCTTGCGATACTTAATATATTTTAGAAACGCAGTGGTGTGCATTTTATTTTGTTAATAGTTTGGCTGTTCTAAGGAAATAAAAAACACGAAGTTTGGCGGTGTTTTAACGATATATATCGAAAGCGAAAATTCGATATTATCGGTAAGGTATTTTGTAGGATTCTTTTTGAAAATTCAAATTGTAGCAATTTCGAATAGAATTATAATACCCTTAAAGGGTTTAAAAATTAATTTAAGCGAAAATAGGGAAAAACAACAACAACGTGCTAGAGATGGAAACTAGAGCTGGGAAATTATCGATGGTGGCTCGATAACCTAGCTATTTCCCTTGGAATTTGGCTTTTAGCTGTTTTCTAGCTTGTCTCCGAAAAGGCATCTCTGCTCGTTGTTGGTTGTTGTTGTTTTTCCCTTTTTTCGACCGGTCGAAGTCAAAGTGTCGCGCAGCAATGAATTCTGGTAAACAAAATCGGTGATAAGATATAACTTCGCTTAAATTAATTAAAAGTCGCGCGAAAGCGTTTGCAAACGCATAAAATTAAGCGCGGATTAAAGCTCGGCTTACGGCTGTGAGTGTGTGTGTTGGTGCGTCGCTGCCTGCGTGTGTATGCGTGTTGGCCGAAAAAAAGAAGTTTTCCCGTTACCATATTTTGTACAAAGGCCAAAAGGGCGCAGCATCTTCGCTCTGTCCTGCTCTCGCCTGAAGAGCAGCGTGAATTTTGCAACTTCAGTTATTGTGCAAACGGCAGGTGAAAATAAGACACACACACAAAGTGGCCAGGTGCAAGGAGTGGGAGGAGAGAAAGAAGAAGAACGCCAGCAACTCCGCGCAGCCAAAAGGAAAACGAATAGTGACGCATAGAGGTTGCTAATTACGACAGGTAAACAACCGAGTTCATCGCGAATCGCATCAAAATTCCACCACAGCCATAACAATAGCCGTAAAAGCAATGTTTTTTGGATTTGTCACTCCCATTACTCTCCCTATCATCCAATGCGTAGTTGTAGATTTTCACGATATCCCCACAGCAGAAATGAGTGACGTGTTGGCGTTCATTCATAAAAAGCGTCTGGGGCCGTTTTCCCCTCACTTTTTCGTCCCCCCCTCCAAATGTTTGTTGTGTTTTTGCTGCTGGAATTTAGTTTACAAATATTTTTGTTTGTCAGTTTCAAAGTCCGTTGCAGTTTTTGCTGTTTTGGAGATATGTATGGGGAAATGCAAATAAAATAATTGTGTCGAGTGAAACATAATTTCTGATGGGGTCACGCCACGCCCCTATTTTGCATAATACTAGGAAATAATACAGCACTTGGGGGTTAATCAGGAGACGACATATTTTAAAGGGAAAGTAATGTGAAATTTAAATATTAAAGATGATTCTTAAATATCAAAAATCTATATAAAAAAATAATATATATTTTTTAGTCTTCATAATGTATAGTAGTCTCTGCAAAAACTAATCTAGTCCAAGAGTTTAAAAATATTTAAAATACCTATAATTGCAGATATTTTTTAGTTATATACGCCACATTCCCAGCAGGGAATAAACATGTTCTTCCTATATTAATCAAGATTATATCAGGTACTGGCCTTTCCGTACTAATTAAGATTATATCAGATATATATTTATAGTTCCTTTCCAGACATTATCTAATATGTTGCCACATTCCATAATTCTATGAGCTAGCTCAGACAGAGGTCTATACTAAGTGTGCGTTGTACTCATTAAGATTAGATCAGATACCGAATGCCGCCATATGGTGGGCGCATTGGAATGATTAATTCAGCTAATAATTGGATTCCCGGGCTAATGAAAAGTCACACATACACACGTCAGACCGTCATAGGTCACAGTTTTCAGTTTTATCGCTTATCTTTTTTGGCCTTTTCCGCACCTCGGGCAATTGGCGGAAAACAATAATACGGAATTTATGGTCAACATGTCGCCAAAATGCCAAAGTCAAGCAAAATAACTATATACAAATAATAAAAAGAAAACAATCAAAATAACTCGGTGACATCATTTTGACTAATCGCCAATTTTAGCATTTGAAAAACGGCGGCTGCTGCTGCTCGCCCCACAGAGTCCACTAGGTGGGAGCGAGCACTGGGCGCACAGGGGGCGTGCGAGGGCGGGCAGGGCGAGAGCGAGAGCGGAGCAGGTGCTTCTAAGCCGAAGTCCAAGCAGAAGCCGAAGCTCGAGCCCGAAGCCAAAGTCATTCGGCATTCCAACACCTACGGGTAATAAATAGATCGTCGCGGTGCTTCGATATATCAGCTATCCATATAGTTTCACTTTCGCGCAGATCGTTTTATTGGCCGCTATCAGCCGGCAATCGCAATCCGCTGAGTGCGCCAGCATTGCTTTTATCACAGCGCAATAAACGCAGATCGGGCGAGATGTATCTTAGAAAGTGTGCTAACAATTTGCCAGATTTGCCATCTTTCAGTTGCGTTAATTGCTGGCTGTTTTAGCGTTAACGATCTTTTAATTTTACGAATACATAAATCACAGAACCAGTGGGGCGAAAGGCTAATAAGAAATTGGTCTCTTACATTATATCAAATAAAAGAGCAAAGTTTTAAGGGAAAACTAATATAAATATTCTAGAAATTAGAATCTACATAGGCGTGTTTTATAAACTATTTATGGCAAGATTTCCAGGTGTTATCCATTTTATAGATCATATAAAACACAGAAATCATCTATGACATCTTAAAAACCAACTCTTGCCGTATATTTTGACCATTTGTTTATAATTTCCCCCAATCTCCAATCAGATTCAATTACCTCGAACATATTAAGGCTCATTAAAAGAAACATTCCAGCCTCGATCTAGTTCATAGATACAAACACGCATCCGTCCGTACAGCCCGCTAGTTATTTCGGTTAATTTTGATGTGTGCTAAGAGCCGACGCCAAGAGTGGAGAGCATTGGGAAGCACTGCTCCAGATCCCCAGATATTTCCGAGACTCAGGGCGACACACGTTGCTCTGCATCTCCTCCGCTGGGTGGGTGGAAATGTTGTGAAAAGCTAAATGAGGCGTGACATGAAAAAAAACGCCAAGCGACAAAACACAAACACACAACATAGATGATACGGGGGCAACGAAAACAAACAAAGTTGAGTGCGGCCACCCACAACATGGCAGCCAACAATGGCTGGCACTAGAGACCGCTGAAAAGGAGAGCAAGAACTTGGGGCCACATAAATACCAGCCATGGAGTAATTTTGGCCTACAAAAAACATTGCTCGGGTTGTCTCCTAGAAACAAAGGGAAAATTGAAAAAGAAAAACGCTTGGAAAAATTGTCAAATGCACTTGGAAATAATACGGGAATTGGTAATAAACATATAAACTAATTAACTGCTTTTAGAAAAATGTATCACTTATTTTTTTTATAATTTAGTTACTTTTTAGATTATAAACTTTTCATAGTCATAGCTTTTCCCATGAAAAGTTCGTGTTATTTACAATTCTACTTTTATCTAAAACCTTTCTCCCAGTGCAAGTCCGCGTAAAGCCTAGGAAAATAGTGGGGGAGTAGCGCACAATTAACCCTTTTTTGCCTGTGGGCCCTCTCGCTTTGAAGTCGCCTCTTTTCCGAGGCTGTCCACTGTGCTTTAATTAGTTTATAGAACAAGAACCAGCGCCCGTAGAGCCGCGTCCCAGCTAAATGCAATAAAATTAATCGTTTATGCTGTAATCGCATTTAGCGGCGCCAACCTCTTTCCCCCTCACCCCTCCAGTTCTCTTTTGATGTATGGGATATGTATCGGGAGCGACTGCGATATTCCCCAGTCAAGGGGCAGTCATGTATGGGAATGCCATTACAAGGGAATTGCTTGCTCGGTGGCGATTGGAGCGTAAAGCATCTGGTTATTTTTAGAGTAGAAACCCACGGGGCAGCCAGTGACAAACCCAAAGCCCCAAAGGGCTGGCCATAATTGTTTGTGATTCACAATACATTTTGCTCAAGAAACCAATTAACCGCATACAGTAAAGTCCAGATGACAGAGAGTTACGGGAGCTGGTGTCTTCCTTCTCAGCAGCAGGGGTAGCAGCAACGGGACTCGCCACAATAGTCCAAGCCACTGCAGCACATCACGCAGCAGTGTGCTCTGTCACGAGATCTACGGGAATGACTACAGCGGGGACTACAGCACGGACTACAGCGGGGACTACAACAATGACTAAACCAGGAACTGCCGCAGGGACCGCATGATCGACCACAACATGACCCACAGTTGGGATCACAGCATGGCCCATAAGCCGATCCGCAGCAGCCATCGGACGGACATCCATTTGCATCACAGAAGGTGGTGCCAAAGGGTCCGTTTCCGCCATCCCAGCCACAACGCGTGAATCCCGAGTAGATGCCGTAGGGACAGTTCCCGCAGGCGCGCTCCGGATAGGGTCCAATGTAGAACGGATTGAACTTTTGGCCCCAGCACATGCTCTCTGGCTAATGGCGGAGATCCGTCAGAGGAAATATCAACTCTGGTGAAAGGGCAAGGACTCACATGCTGGACTTTACTGTGGGCGGGTAGAAAGCTTCTCCTTTCTAAAATTTTGATAATTGCCTCGAACAATGCGATTTTTCCCTCAAAGCCAACCAGATTGTTTATATATATAAATATATATAACAAACTGATCGACAGCGGTGGGGGTTAATATATGGCAATCGTTTCATCTCGGGCTATTTGTTTGTAAACAAAGTCGGTGGCCAACAAATATTTGGGCAGCCAACTTCCGCTTTTGCTGAAAAGGGGAAAAATAATTTAAGTATTGTTTACGCGAGGGATATTTAATATATTTGGGCAGCAGTTGTGGTAATTCTGGAATTTCATTTGATTGTCTGACGGGGGTTCAAATAATTAACTAATAAACAAATATTGTAGATCTTTCCTCATTATAATTCCAAGTTCATTTCTTGCTTTTATTCTTTCTGATTACTCGATACCCTTATAATGCTTTTATATCATCATTTTGGCGTTTCCTCTAAGCCCCATTGATTGGTCAGAGTCATCGTGGACAATGCCATTATGTGTGGCAGTTGCATTTCAAATCTCATTATAGATTTATGCAAAATGTAAGCAGAAACCCCGAAGAAAGGCACCAGACTTGTAGACTGCCTCTCTCTGTCGACTTTAGCCCTGGCCTGCATTGATTTGTGGGGCTTTCTTTGTCACCGGGTTCCCTTTCCTCTTGGACAGCTATTCGATTTCCATTTCCATTCCTATTTCGATTGCCATTTCAGTTGCAGTTGATTGACTGCCCTTTTTTTTGTCGTTTGTCGTTGACATGGCCAGAGTTTCCCCCGTGCAAAAAAAATGCCAAAGAAGAAACAAGAAATCAGAACAACAGAAATTGCACAATTTTCCAGCGTTCTAACGAGTTTCGCTCGGCTAATCGGAATATATCTTATCGGCTACGGTCTGTTTGCTTTGCAGATCGTTATCACCGCCCGTGAGATAGTGGAACGTCCTCCAAATGTATCGTGAAATGGGAAAAGCTGCCCACACCAAAATGTTTACGATGCTTATATGTATGTTGGTGTGCCGTAGCGCCGCCGCTGCCCTTTGGTTTCGTAAGAGATTTTGTGTGTGCGTGGGCAGGGGCAAAAACAGAAAACAGAAAACCAAAAATTTTCCCATAATCGCTTACATCAAAGCCGTCCAGGGAAAAGTTCACCCATTCCTCCTCCTCTTAGGCCACTTTTTAGTGGTTTCGTGCCAAACACTTTGGCCCAGTTCAGTGCGACGCTCTGTCTGGCTGATTTTCTACTCGTTTGGCCAATTAGCTGACTATTTACAATTGTTGCAGCTCAAATTCCGAATTCTTGAGTCTCGGGTCGCTTTTAGTATTCGTTTTCCCTGCGGTTTTCCCCCACAAATCGCACGTTCTCACAAATCGCCAAAAATAGGGCGTGACTCGTGTGATAAAGTGGAAAATATTTACCGCGAATCGTTCGCTCATCTGTGCTAATTATACAGGGGATTGTCATCGATGGATCATGGCTGAACGGTTGTCACACCCCGGGTTCTATATCTGCCTATATAGTCTCTGATTCTCTAACTGCAATCAATTCTCAGCTGATAATTTGCATATTTCGAGTGGAATTTTCAACTCAACTGGTTGGATTTGCCGTGGGTTAGTGGCAATTATTAATGTGTGGGCGGTGGGTGTTGATAGGTGCAGGTGGTGTCAGGTGGCGGGCCTGCGTAACCGCTGCGAGTGCCTCAATCGGAATAATAAGTTATGCATATAGTTCGTACCGCCGAATGTTGATTTACCCCAAGGAAACTCTGGCTTTAACGGTTGATTGGACTTGAAAATGTTATAAACAAAACTGTGTCAATATTGGCTGGTTATACAGTTTCCAAATTTGTTTGTTAAATGTTTTACAGAGCTCTTAAAATATGTTTGTTTGTACGTTTAGAAGGTCTAACTATAACTATAACTTTCTAATTCATTCATTCATTCTGATTTTAAATGAAGCTCAAGGTTGCTAATTAAAGTCAGTCATTGCTTTAAAATATGGAATTAAATTAAGCTAATATTTAATTACCTTTTTTGTTGAATATATTAGACAAGCTCTTATTTTCTCTCTATGCGTCTGTTTACCTTTTTAAATTCAGCTGACAGCTTAAGTTTAATGCAATCAAGTCCATACAATGCAAGCCTCCTACCTTTTATCAAGGTAAATCAACTGGGCCTTATCTGCACCCTGACCTTGGCCAGGTGGTGGCTGTGAGAAAAGCCGATCCGGCTTGGTGCCCCATCATCTGCATTGCTGTCAGCACTCTTGCCACCTGCTCTGTGAACAAAAAGCGGACAGGTAAATCCACTAGATCCCCAGGATTATGGGCCGCAGTAAACTCTTCAGAGTGCCTCTAGAACTTGAAGCAAAGCGCCCAGCTCCGATTCTTAAGCTCTTGCCTATATATACCCACATATATGTATGTATAGTATGTATACTCAATCCCTTTGGCAATCCTTGAGCGGCGACAACTAATGGCGCTTTGTGGTGCCGCGGAATGTGCATTTCGCTTTTGCCTTTGCCATTCCAGTTGCACAGTAAGTGGCGCAGAGCCACTCCTCCGTATCCTTGCCAGCGCCCATACCACTTCCAGTTCCATTCCCAGTCCCAGTCCCTTCCTGAATGCTCCCATTTCGAGCTGTACACATAATTACTTCGCTTGCGCAGTCTGACGAGGCTGATGACAGTTGGCTCGTCTAACTGGGACACAACTTCCTTCCAGTCCGGAACATAGTTTTCTTTCTAGTTGCCCAGCTTTTGTTGTGTTCCTGGACTAATTTGGTTTGTCTTTGATAGCTTATAGCAGGGAGAATAAATAGTACCCAAAGGAAAACTTAAATATCAACGACTTAAGACCCTCTTTAAAAGTATATAAAAATTACTTTATTCCGTAAAACATCTAAAAGAAAATTCTAAAAAATTAATTCTTCATTTTATATTAAATTGTTTATCAAATTTCACATTATTGCTTCTCAAAAATTTCTCTCTCTGCATAAATAAGCTAGGCAAACTTATGGGACTTCGTTTGCAGGGCCATCAATTATGACAAATAGAGCATATGCACATCCACTCTTGTTGGCTGGACTCAATTTTTCAATTAACTCGGCAGCAGTAGTTCCAGTTAGCCTCACCTTTGGCTCCTTTTTGAGCCTCTCACCTGGACAAAAGGTTATTGCACGGCCTGCGATTTGAGCTGATCAATTCGGCCAGACATGCAATCTCCTGCTGCTGTCCTGTTGCTGCAAAAACGGAAAAGTCGGAATTAACACGGAATACAAGGGATACGGGGATACAGGGACTCGGGGATACAGGAATACCGGGATACACGAATCCAGGAGAGGCAAAAGAACGAACGGGTTTTGCCTCTGAAATTGCAAATTATGTGCCCGGTGGTTATCATCGCTGGAGTCGGTTGTTTGGCTTTGATTTCCCTGGCACGCAAATGGCATAAAACAGCAACAGCACCCAGGACTCCCAGGACACGGAGGACTTTCAACTGAAACTTGTTTAATTTCTGCTTTGCGGCAACAGGGAAAATGTGAAAGATGGAATAAAGGTGGAGAGGGAAAACTTTGATGCAGGTCCTGGACACGCTATCGTCCTTGTTGCTATTCATATTTCATCCGTGCGGTTCCTCCGCTTTGCTCGTCGCTTTTTTATATTTTCTTTTTACTTCTTTTTTTTCAGCTCAGTTAGTAAATTGAGCATCAACGTGAGTTCTCTGCTGACTTACCTGTTTCCCCCGTTTCCCGTGGGTTCTTTTTGGGTTCACCTGGGGTCAGCCGGGTGCAGGTGATGGATGATTGGAGCGCTGGCTATTCAGACTCTAGCTGGAGAGGGAGCACATTATCAAATAGAGTAATTAAAGGGATGCATTTTCTGGTTGCCACTATTACTGTGAGGTTTCCAATGGATTTTCCATGCATAAAATCACAGAAATTACCCAACTCTCTGTGATTTAAATGTCACAAATTGCATCAACGTGCTTTGCTTCGATGTTTAGTCAGGATTTCAACTTTCCCAATGGGAAAACGCTCTCCAAACTTGTATTAATTAAATGGGATTTCAGTTTCTGTTGCTCCAACTCTAATGGATTTGTTTTTCTCTGTCTTTTTTATTCAATTAACTGTATTGGAAACCCCAGAGATTATCCAAATGTATGTGAAAATGTTTGCATAGAGTTTCTATCGATGAGCTCATTTTTTTACCCTTTCCCAGAGTATTATAAGTTTTTATCAGTGAAGGAGTCCATTCCGACCCTATAAACCATATATATTCTTGATCAGCGTAAGAAGCCGAGTCGATCTAGCCTATTGTGAAAGAAAATTTTTTTTTCAATTTTTTTTTTTTCAAAAATATGATAAGGGGTTACATTGTTAAAATTTTCAAAAATTGATAAAAATCGAAATTTTAAAAACTTTAAAATTAGGTTTGCAGATTTATTAATCTATAAAAAACTAGCACAGAAAAGCTTTCCGATTTAAAATTAGTAAATTTTTGGCCAAGTTATGATCGATTTAAATGGCAAACCACAAGGGTATACAAACTTCTGCTTCCCACAGTTAGCTTCCGCTCTTATTTAAATTCACTCGTATTTAAATATAATATATACACAATATTTCTGCCTCTCGTTAATGCCATCGTTCAGTTCGACCCATTTAGCCTTTGAGGCTGTGTATTTAAGCCTGATTTTGATGGCTGCTCGCCGGTAATGAGGTTCAAACTTCTCACACACACATACTCGTACCACACATTCAGCTTGATCCTTAAAGTTGCTGGAAAAAATTGCCTTCAAGAGTGTGTCGCCAGCAGGACTTCCGATTAGAAAAGTTTCCTGCCGGCTAGCTGGCCTCCTTGTTGGTTTATTTATATGGTAAAATTGCTAACAATGGGCCAAGCACAAATATGTAAAACAACTAAGAAATCTGCATGAATTGAGCTGCCTGCCTGGTGGTCAGCCACCACAACAAAAGCTGCCAACAATTGCGGTTACAATTGGTAAATCCCCAACAGAACAGAACGCTACGGAACCAGGAGGTGTTTTGTACTTTTGCAATGGAATTTAATATGCTGCTGACACGGATAAAAAGAGAATTTTTAGTGCAGAGATCTCTGGATGACACGAATAGGGGCACACGCCTCTCATCCTCCTTAACCTCTTTAGGGTGCACTTGGAGGAAATTTTGTAAATATTATAGTATTTATTTAAATATGATTTTAATAGTCATAGAACATATTTAAACCACACAATAATTAATATATTTATTCTAAGAGTGTCATTTTAAAAAGAAGAAGATAGTTTACTTTCTGAAATCTATATTAAAAATAACTTGTAGCACCTTAAAACTTCCTGGAAATGGTTTAAAAGTATTCAAACTTATTCATATTACGGATTTAAATATTAAAAATACTCATAGTTTGTTTTCGACGTTATTTTATCAAAAATATTAAATAAAATCTCTCAAAACCCAGTTTTTATATTGAAATTCCACAATGTCTTGCTAAATCCCAAAATTTTTCTCTCCCTGCTGGCATAATCGGTGGGTGGTGGCCACTTGGCAGAAGGCTGTTGCAAGCAGCGGCAGCAGCAGGATGTCAACGCTCGGGGCGAGTGGCAGCATCAAAAACTGCAGCAGCCGCTGGCAATGCGGAATTCCCTTCCTCTCACTTTTTCGGGGGAAACGTTCTTCTCATCCTTCTGCGCCTCCTCCTGCTCCACCGCCCTGCTATCCTGACCAAACTCAAATTATTCAGCCAGGTCTTGTTGCATACTTTCGAGCGCAAATGTTTGCCGAGCTCGCAGCATTCGCTCCGTGCCCCAAAGAATTCAAGAGTGTGAGAGCAGGGGGGAGTGGGTGCCCGTATGTGTGCGGGCATTTATGTGTGTCCTAACGGCTGTTGTTGCTCTATTTCGTATGGCAAAAGAGGGAGGATGAGGAGAAAAAGCCGAGGCACGTGAAGCCTTATGAGTCATCATCCTCAATCTTTAGACGCCCAGGCTGCCATAACCAACACTGAGGGGAAAATAGCATCCTCGAAGGCGGGAGTTGAGCATGGTAGGGTTTCTTATACAGAAATATATATGAGTATCCTTGGAGAATGAGAAAAGCGTATGAAGTTTGATAGTTTTAGGAAGATCTTTGGGGAATAAGGAAGACATCTTTAATATTAAACAGATTTTATAAGGAAAACTACATCATTTTATTTGGATTTAATATAATATAATGCCTGGCTTTCAGCTCTATATTTGAAGCCTAGCCTTCTAACCCTATACCTTTTCCAGGACAGTTTACCCACTGACTTTATGGCGAAACTTCTATTAAATTTAAACAAAATGCTTTGATTTCTAATAGAACTCTAGAGTTTCTGAAGTACCCAACTTAGTGCCACTCACTTTCCTCATTTTCTAGCAGCGTTTCTCCCAGTGTATTCCCACTGCCATCATCATCATCTCCATCATCTCGACTCCCAGCTTCATTCATAGTTTGCAGTTTGGAAATTCAATTTCAGCTTTCAGCTCCCCGCTGCCTGTCACCACATTTTGGCTCTCCTTGTAATAACACTATCATTTAGTTGACAGAGGGCAGCGGCAGGAAAAGGAAGCGGCATTTAAATGAGAATACTTGTTTAAATTGGCCAGCTCTCGGATGTTGAAAAGGACATGGCAGGCAGGACATGGATGGGGACATATGTTGGCATTGTGAGACAGAAATAGCCACCAGATCCGCACAGAAAGTAGTACTCTGATTACGTTCCAATGATGACTCAGACTCGGAGACAACCCCTACTCTGCCCTCTGGCTTTCTTCTCCTTTCTTTTCCAAGGACATTTCAAGTTTTTTTCTCGCTCCTGGGAGATGGAAAATCAATTGGGAAAAGTTGGGTATGAGAAGCGTGATGTGACAGCAACTTCTGAAGTTGTCGACACCCTTTTGGCGTGGAATTATGCTTCAAGGATATGTTGAGGAGGACGCTGCCTGCAAGCGGGGCATCCTTGTCGATTAATTGGACTGGCAAAAGCGGTTTATGGGAAAGAGAGCGAAAACTTTTAGCGCGTAGGCGGATTATTAAATTCGCTTTGTTTCCCTAACTAGCTGTGGGGTTAGCATGAGGCGGCGGATGAGAGTCCCTACTGTCTGCCTCGCTGGATTGCTCACTTCCTCTTCCGGCGATTGCCGCCAGCAGGGATGCAAAGACAACAGCGGCCAGACTATAGGGAGAACACAACGAGAAATATGAGAGCTAGGCGTGCTTGATTGTAATTAGAGAAAAAATTATACATATTTTGTGTATTTCATTTATTTAATGGGAAAATTAATAGGGTTTGTTTGAATATGTCTTATTTTATAGGATAAAAACTGCCAAATTTATTCGATAAATCAAGATTTTCCTAGTAAATATTATATACTATTGTGAAGGGTTGTCTTCACAGACTTTTGAGGCATCATTAACGATTGTCCATGTCTTTGCTTTTAAGAGTTCTTGAAATCCTTCACTTTCCAGCTCTTGAAGTGATTTATTTTATCTCTCAAAACTATTTCATTAAATATAAGAAATAATTTATCTATTACCATTTATGGTAAGCTATTTTAAATACTTATTTTTCCAAGTGCATCGACAATAAACGAGCACTGGTGAAGCCAGACGCCAAACACAATGGAACATGTAAAAACGGGACTGGCGAGCATATTCCCCATGCGGTGTCGCTTCGTCCCTCTATGTCCCTGTGGTGGCTGTTGAATGCTCCTCTAAGCGTAGCATTCCAACTCCCTAATACCCCCCAACCATCACTGACCCAGTTAGCTGCCACCCAGAACTATTATTATTTACGATTATCGCTATTATAATGCACGCTTTTTAATTAAATTGCAGGCATATCGGTATTGCAGCAGCATCATCAGTAATGGAGCTGGAGCCGCGTGTGGCCATCCTGCAGGACCTGCGCCTGCAGACCTTTGACTCCATCCGTTTCGCCTCCTATCGCACCGCCTCCAAGCTGCGCTACATACAAAAGTCAACGAATCTGCATCTGGTGGACATATGGAACGTTATCGAGGCATTCCGCGAGAATGGCCTCAATACCCTGGAGCCACAGAGCGAGGTGAGCGTGGCCAGGCTGGAGACGCTTGTGTCCTCGCTGTATCACAATCTCAACAAGCGGCTGCCCACCGCCCAGCAGGTGCCTGTCGACTCTAAAGCGGGTTTGCTGCTCAATTGGCTGTTGGCTGCTTACACAAGGTAAGGGTTTGGGTAATGTTTGAGATGATTTCATCCCATTTAACAATGGTTCTCTCTTTTTACAGTGATAACTCGGGCAAAATTCGCGTATTCTCCATCAAGGTGGCCCTGGCTACCATGTGCTCTGGCAAACTGGTGGACAAACTCAGATGTGAGTGGTTTACAAGCTAAAAATAAACCCGCAAGCTAAGTTATTTCTCTCTCTTTACATTTCCATAGATATATTCTCGCAGATCTCGGATGGCGCTGGCCAGCTGGTGGCCTGGAAACTGGGCGAATTCCTGCGCGAGGTGCTGGCCCTGCCGGCGGCCGTGTACGAGTCGCCCACATTCCACTACAAGGAGGGGCTCGAGGAGGAGATCTTCCCGGCCGAGAACAAGGTGACGGTGAACGATTTTATGGCCACGCTTATGTCCGAGCCGGGGCCGTCCTGCCTCGTCTGGCTGCCGCTGGTGCACCGGCTGGCCACTGTGGAGACCATTGTGCATCCGACTGTCTGCTCTGTTTGCCACAAGGAAAACTTCACCGGGTTTCGTTATCGCTGTCAGCGGTGCCACGCCTACCAGTTGTGCCAGGAGTGCTTCTGGCACGGCAAGACATCGCTGAACCACCAGAACGATCACGAGGTCAAGGAGTACTCGAGCTACAAGTCGCCCAGCAAACAGATCGGTCACTCGCTGCGCAAGAGCTTCCGCTGTGTGCCCGAGAAGACGGCGCAGGTGCTACCCCGCTTCCCCGACCAGCCGGAGAAGACGCTCAACCTGTCGCACATCGTGCCACCCTCGCCGCTGCCCTCGCACAATGGCTTCTCGGACCCCTCGGGCCTCGTATCCGGCCACCATGGCGGACCCCATCCGGGTCACCCGGGCCAGCACGGCCTGCCGCCTGGCCTCTTTGATCGCTCCAGCACCCTCGATTCACGGGCCACCGGTCGCAGTTTGGATAGCGCCAGCGGCACCACCATGTCCCGTGTGGCCGCTGCCTCCGCCAATGATGAGGAGCACCGTCTAATTGCCCGCTATGCCGCCCGATTGGCCCAGGAGAACCGAGCGGTAAGTGTTTAGCTGAGAGAATTATCCGAATCCCTTTCATTCCTGCCTCCTTTAGCCCTCCAACTTGCCCGACAGTGCCACGCCCATTGGCACGGACAACTCGCGGGCCCAACGCGAGCTGATTGCCCAACTGGAGTCCAAGAACAAGGAGATAATGCGGGAGATAGCGCGCCTGAGGCGCCAGCAGGAGACGGAGCAGATGGCACCGGAGAATCCGGCGCTGATCAACGAGCTAAGGGCTTTGCGGCAGCGGAAGGGAGAACTCGAGGGCCACTTGGGCGCCCTGCAGGACTCACGGCGGCAGCTGATGGAACAACTGGAGGGCCTGATGCGTATGCTGAAGAACCAACAGACCGCCTCGCCCCGCTCCACGCCCAACTCGAGTCCACGCTCAGGGAAGTCGCCACCGATGCCAGGCGGCGGCGGGGGAGGAGGAGGAGGAGTAGGAGCTGGTATCCTTGGCACCTCACCCATGAGTGCCCTGCACGCCCAGCAGATGCAGCAGCATCCCATGGCCGGTGGCGTGCGGGCCGCCCAACAGCAGCTCCTCCAGCAGCAACAACAGCAGCAGGCCCATGGCCACGGTCCCTTCAGCCAGAGCCAGCTGGATCAGCTCAACCAGATCAGCAGCGACATGCGCAGCGCCTTCGCCGCCAACGGAAGTGCAAGTGAGTAGGGATTGGAGGGAGGATCCAATGAAAGATGACCCGCGGGCGGGATACTTTCGATTAGGTTTCGGTCATGTCCAAATTTTGAAATCTCCCGAGGAATTGGTCAATTGGCGAGAGTTTAGGCCTGGGTCCAGACATCAGATATTAATCGAATCCACTCAATGGTGCGGGAAAACCTCCACCACTGGCACAAACACACGCTAAATACACCCAACACACCCAAAACACACACACACACAATCGTTTCTTGATCGCTTCGCCTTCGCAGCGCCACCGCCAATGCGTAGCAGCACTGCCACTGCCAGTGCCACAGGCCATGTCAGTGGCATTCCCAGCCTCAATCCGATTCCGAATCCTGACGCGGAGCTCAATGAGGCCGCCGACCATCTAACGTCGGCCATTTCCCACATGGTCAGCGACCTGAATGCAGGTAAATCCAAGGATTCGAACCACTCTAAACCCGCTATCGCTTCCGCAACTGCAACTGCTGCTGCTGCTCTCCGCCCCCGCTTTGCGAAGATGCCCGTGAATGGTGGTCAGCACTGCACCAGCACAGACAGCACCTAGAACTCGTAGTTAGCACCGCTTCTAGAGCCGCCACCTAATCCCCCACTGCTCCTCCCTGACCCCCAAACAAAACTGGAATGTGTTTCTCTCTGTGCTTATGCCGTGTGTGTTTCTTTTGTGTGTTGGGTCTCGCCATTTCCAGGACGGGGAAGGGCTGCTCCGTCGAGCTCCCTGCCGCAGGCACGCTTCATCCTGCCATTGGGTAAGTTGTCCCGGTGGTCACTCCTGCTGCTGCTGGTTCCCATAAGCCACCGTCTCTAAAGCTTCATTTTTTCGATATCGTTTTCTTTTCGTTTCGTCTCCTTGAATCGTTTTTGGTTTTAGATTATTTCCCTAATCGGCGGCACAAGAAAAAGTGCTGCAAATATTGAGATTCTTCTTTTGCTTAGTTAGCTTCCCTTTATAATTTGTGCTCGTTTCTTCTGTTCAAAAATCCGAAAATCTAAACCAAAAACCGAACAAGAATTCCGACACATCGAGGGCGGCGAATCGGAGGGATCGAGTCAGTGCGAATGCAACGATTGCGAGTGCCGCGAGTACGAGGAGGTCTTCCGCACCGACGAGGATCTCGAGTGCGAGGGAGCTGCCGCTGCCCCCTATAATACCGATCCCAAACCCTATAATATTCAGGCCGAAGAGGACCAGTTTGATTATACGTTCGGGCAGGGCGAGGAGCTGTCACAGGTGAATCGCATCCTGGGCTACAGGAACCATCCGGAGTTGTTCATCGACGATGAGCAGGCCGGCTTCCCGGCGCTGCACGAGATCGGTGAGACAATCGATGAACTGCAGCTGATCATGCACGCTTATATCATGAAGTATAGTTTGAATTTGTAAGGGGTTCTCAACGATATATAACTCTCTCCGATCAGGTAAAATATATACAGAATCTACCGCTTCTCTAGACCATCCTAACTCGCTCGTCTCACGTCAGGTAGATCTCTCTCTCTAGACTCTAGTGTGGGTGCCACTCTCTGTTCTATCCCTAGCCGCATCCTCATCATCGCTGCACTGTCAATCGCCTCTCTCTACTCGAGCAATCTCAGTCTCAGTTCATACTAGTTAGTCTCTAGATTTTGATTCACGTTGGCTGCTTGACTCGAAACGGATTCGAATAAATTGTCAGATCTTGACTTTGATTTGTGCCTTTGAAAGTCAATATTTATATTTGTTTACCGCAACCTTGATACAATTTCAGATTTCGACGAGTCTCAATCGTATAACCAAGAGTGGAACGAAAAGGTAAAGGGTTTCGCCACGAAATCCCGCTCACTGTTGCTCTAGATGTTGTTCCTTATCTTCCTCTCTCTCTTTGTATATGCACTCGATAAGCATACTATATATATACTATAATATCTATGTATATCCCGTAGCTAGTGTAGTTGTTGATTGCCACCTTGCATGCCACTGAGACCTCTTAACTTGAGTACGATTAATCAAGCAAACCCACTCTTAGCCACTCTCTCTCTAACTAGTTTATTTCACTAAATTCACAGGCAAATGCGAATAGCCAATGGCAGGAGCAGTTTGCCCAATGGAGTCTTAACTCGCAGAAGAACTAAGAAGACACCGCCTCACCAGTGGACCAGTATACCATGCCGGAGCCCCAGGAGGACGAACTCGCGCTTAGCTTTTTACACCCTACCTTAACTCATATTTACGTTGACTTAGAGCAATTTATTTATTATTATTATTATTTAATGGAGCCGTAGCCGTAGACTTTCTTCTCTCGGGATATATGATTATTTTACTGAAGCAAAGAATATGAATATACAATTGAATCTCGTTGAACAAGATACGTACATGGACGTACTGCTAATGGGCAATAAGAGACATGTATGGCGTTTTAATTTTAGGTTTCTGCGACTCTGTAATGCTCGGCTTTTAGATTTTGTAAGCCCGCGCGTCAGCGCTTATTTATTACCAGCAAAACTTAACAACAACCGAAAATCAAACATGTACGAGTAATGCGTAATACAAATACGATATAGAAACTTATTATGTACTTAAACTTAAACCTAAACTAGCAACTTGTTAAAGAACCGAAAATCAAATTCTAAACCGGGGCTGGAAGGGCATCGGGCTTTTCAACGTTTTTATGACGATGCTGTTCCAGTTCTAAACGCTAAAACTTATATACACAATATACACACACTTTGAGATACGATTGAAGACAACAAAACGGAAAATGAAAAACTATTTGAGCCACAGTAAAGAAAAACAAAAACAAACCCAATGTTAAACACTAAAAACTAAAACGATCGCCGCGTTTCGATTTATACTTAATCTCCATTTATAATATGCATTCATACCGCAAAAGTTATACCATATAATCGTAAATGCATATAGAGCACGACGAGATATAGAGAGAATCCGACATTTATATAGAACGTATACATAAATAACTACTGAAGAATATTACAAAAAGAGAAAAACTAAATAAAAATGCATTTTAAACAATCACAATACGAAGGAGTTTTTGATTTAAAGGGGGAGTGTTATTTGGGATGTATTGGAGAGAATATAAGATAGATTTTAAAACTTGAGTAATGTTTTAAAACGATTTAAATTTCAATTTTAAACGGCGCTCAATAGAAGGGCATACTTGCGGTGGACAATGGAAAAAACATCAAATATTGCAAAATTGCTAGATCAGCATCACTGGCAGTTAGTAAGATGCCATTTTGTCCCAATAATGCAAAATGCAAATTCAAATTTGGCAGTTAAATTCAAATTCAAATGTAGAATTTTTTACATTTTTTTAAATATTTTAACTGCCAAATTTGAATTTGAATTTAACTGCCAAATTTGAATTTGAATTTAACGACGATCAGTTTCAGTGTGACCAGGTGCAGTTGTAAAATAACACCTAAATTTGGATTCAAAAGGTTTGAGTCTGCGCTAACTTTCGTCGGCTCCGAAATGGTTTGAAACTTGGACAAAATTTACAATATGGTCACACTGGCACGTTTTTCGTGGCCCAAAGTTTTTATAACAGTTTATACCAGTTTTCAGTTGCTTGCTGCTGATTTCTGTTCGCCTGTTACCCCAATTTGGGAAACGGGCAATTTGCATGAAAATGTTCGGAAATTTGGATTGGCTGCTGTAGGGATGTTGTTGTAAAAAGGTTGTTGTTGCCATCAAGCTGTTGTTGTCGTCAACAAATAGGTATAAATGCATAAATTGAAATATAACCGTTTATACCAATTATTATTTTTGCCCAAATGTTTTTATAACAGTTTATACCAGTTTTCAGTTGCTTGCTGCTGATTTCTGTTCGCCTGTTACCCCAGTTTGGAAAGCGGCCAATTTGAATGAAAAATTTTGCTACTTGCATCAGTGATGCTCACTTCCATCAGTGATGCTCACTTCCATAAGTGATGCTCACTTCCATCAGTGATGCTCACTTCCATCAGTGATGCTCACTTCCATCAGTGATGCTCACTTCCATCAGTGATGCTCACTTCCATCAGTGATGCTCACTTCCATCAGTGATGCTCACTTCCATCAGTGATGCTCATCACTGGCAGCTAGTTAGATGCAATTTTCTACCAATAATGCAAAAAATAGCTAGATGAGCATCACTGATGCACATGCGCATCACTGCCATTAAGCCCGATTTTATTGCCCTCCAATATTGAAATATAGCCAGATGAGCATCACTGATGGAAGTGAGCATCACTGATGGAAGTGAGCATCACTGATGGAAGTGAGCACTGAAACTGATCGTCGTTAAATTCAAATTCAAATTTGGCAGTTTAATTCAAATTCAAATTTGGCAGTTAAAATATTAAAAAAATTTTTTTAATTCTAAAAAAATTTTAAAAATCTAAAAAAAAGTTAAAATATTAGAAAAAATTTTAAAAATTCAGGAAAATTTTTTAAAATTTAGAAAAAAATTTAAAAATTCAGAAAATGATGTTAAAAATTACATCGGAAATGAGAAAAACAGAAAATTAAAAACTAAAAAAGGCATAACTCTGTCAAAAATGCCGTAATTTGCATTCGGAAAGCGGCGTTATGTTAGTTTTTATAAGGTTTACAAATCTGCATACTTAGTTAGAAATTGCAAATTTTATCAAATTTTGAGTATTTTAATGATGTAACCCCTTATAACATTTTGAAAAAATTGATTAAAAATTTTTTTCCTCCGGACTTAGCCAGAAAGATGCGCCTGCTAATGCTGATCAAGAATATATATGGTTTATGGGGTCGGAAATGACTCCTTCAATGCGTAATGAGCTTCGGACTGGAAATAAAATACCCTGCCAGGGTATAAAAATTATAGCTTCGTTGTTTTTCAACGTATGTTTATCTACTCTCAGATATAAGCTTTTTTTATTATTCTAGAATTTTGGTATACATTTTATAAAAATCGGACAACTATATCATATAGCTGCCATAGAAGCGATCGGTAAATGTATAAAATATGTAAAGCTGGGAATGTAAAACTGAAACTGTCAAACTGTAAACATAATAAGTATAGGTAAAATTTAATGAAACTCTGTTTTGTGAGTGTTCTCAGCATTTAAATCTATAATATAAACATCGAAACCAATCTGCAAGGGTATACAAACTTCGCCGTGCCGAAGCTAGTATCCTTTCTTGTTTTTGTTTAGCGGAGTTATAAGCCAGGCAGCCCAGTTTCGAACCTGCGAAATAATTCGTCATCTGGCGGCAATATAGCTATAATCGAGACTTAAAAATATCGATAGATATTCTTATCGATGTCTTGGTTCGATTTTCACATCCCTAGTTTCTGACACTCGAGCGGGCGGATAATTCAAAAAGCACGCACTCATTTATTCGCTTTCCGACACTCGTGCTGTGCAGTTCGCCGCGTTTCCTCCGTCTTGGCCAAAAAACTCGTGACCGATCTCCGAGAGAATAAGTGCAAGAGAGAGCCGAGTCTAAAACCAGCTTAGAGCGAGCCGACAAGTGTGGGGCCGCGCCGCCAGCATCCACGTTAGCAGTGCAAGCGAAAGAAACGGCGATACCAGTTTTGGGAGACACCGCCACTCTCCACGACTCTTCCCAGACATTTGGAGCGCAGCTTTGCTCAGCTGAAACGTCTTGAGAAATTATATACCTCGTATACCGCGCGTTATTCAGGGTGTGGTGCTAAAGATCCGCAGAGACGACGACGAGATGTGGAGCCCAAAGAACCTACTTGGCTGCGTGTGGAGCGCCCTGCTGCTGGCCCTGCTCCAGGGCGCGGCGGCCCAGCGCACGCCCACCATCTCGTACATCACACAGGAGCAGATCAAGGACATTGGCGGCACCGTCGAGTTCGACTGCTCCGTCCAGTACGCCAAGGAGTACAATGTGCTCTTTCTGAAGACTGACAGCGATCCCGTCTTCCTGTCCACCGGATCGACGCTGGTGATTAAGGACTCGCGCTTCTCGCTCCGCTACGATCCCAACTCGTCCACGTACAAGCTGCAGATCAAGGATATCCAGGAGACGGATGCGGGCACCTACACCTGCCAAGTGGTCATCTCCACGGTGCACAAGGTGAGCGCTGAGGTGAAGCTGTCTGTGCGCCGTCCGCCCGTCATCTCGGACAACTCCACGCAGTCGATCGTGGCCAGCGAGGGCAGCAGCGTCCAGATGGAGTGCTATGCCAGCGGCTATCCCACGCCCACCATCACCTGGCGTCGCGAGAACAACGCCATCCTGCCCACGGGTGAGTCCTGGTCTATAATATATTTTGTTATTTATTGTGGAATTTTATGAGGGAGAGCATGGCTCCGAGTTAACTTACAAGTCTCACGTTTGTTGGGGCGCTGTTCTGTGGCTCTCTCTCTCTCGCGCGGTTTCTCTGGCTCTCAGTCCCCCAGTTGGAGCTTCAAGCACGTCTCACTGTCCGTCCCGCTTTGGCTTTTGCTTTGGCTACAAGGTGTGTGCACTGGCTCCCGTGGTGGTGGTGACCGTGACTCACTCAGGCGTCACCTCAGCTTTGTTTATTTAGCATTCTGGAGCTACTAAACGGCAGCTAGCTTTTCCCCTTTTTAAGTTTTTCTTTTCCGCTCTTTTTGTACCTTTTGTTCCAACCCCACCACCTGTCGTCCGAGGGCCATAGGTTTTGCAACACAAGATTGATTTTTCTTGGCCTCACTCGGCACGCTTTCTTTTTATGGCATTTGCCCGCTTTTGTTTACTTTTTTGTGAAATAAAAACAGCTTTTTTTGGGTTTAAGAATTGTTTATTTTCTTCGATTTAATAAACAAGATCCACCCCTTGCTTACTTTTTAACCCTAAGAAACGGAAAACACAGCCTAATCAAATACCAATTTGAAAGCTAATATTAAATTTAAGGCAAGAGATTGGTTTTTAAACTCAATCTTGCTAAAAGGTTTTTATTCTTTCTCTACTTTCTTGAAGCTTTTAAGAAAAAAGGGTTCTCAACTGAATTATCTTCTCATTTTTATATTTAAAAGAAATTAATAAGGAGTTATTTGTAGTGCAGATAACATATAAAAAGCAATCGAAAAACAGTAAACAATTCCTTGAATTTCATATATTATATTTATATTCTAATGCCTCGCTTTGCATTATTTTTAATCTCTAAGACAAAGTTCAATATTTTTTTTTGGAAATCCCCTGCTGACAAGTGCAAATGTTATCACCATTTTGGTTTATTTTCTTCCATTTTTGTATTGTTTTTTTCAAGATTTGCAACAAAAGATTTATTGCCTTTCATCCTCTCTCTATTTTCCATCCAAATTTTACAAATTTCCAAACACCTTCTCCAGGTTTTCTTTGGAAATACCCCGGACAGTCCCGGCAAGTGCAAATGTTATCTTCAGTTTTGTTTGCTTTCCTTTGTCCTTCCAAAATTTTCGTGTTTAAGAGGGAAAAAGCTAATAAAACAATAAAATAATTTGGTGCTCAGGTAGAGAGAGTAGAACCTTCACTTAAGGTTAATCCCGTACAGGTGCTGCTGCAACACCGATCTCTACCTGAGGGCTGACCCTCGGGCGGCGGCCATAATGGATGCCCTTAACGAGATTGCAGCGTCATTTGAACGGCAGTCGAAAAGCAATTAGTGAAACTAATCCGATGGATGACTACCTACTACCTAGAACAGTCACCACACCCTGTACTACACTACTACACCCTTGGTTGCTCTCTCAGATACTGTATCTGTAAGCTAGCTTAGTTCCAGAACTTGTATCTTGTGCAATCTTTAATTGCCGCGACATTGAGGTTGCCTTCTAGGCGTGGTCCGCTAAAAAACTATAAAACCCGAACCGCAATAGGTTGGACACGCTCGATGGCAGCCAGAAAAGGCTTTACTCTTTTTTTCCTATAAATCAAAAGGGCCCAGGAACAGGGGGTCGGGTCCAGTATTTGCCAGGAGTTTCACACTTTTTTACGCTCTAATTTAAAGCGCTTAAGCAAACAAATTCTGACGGACCCACACGGGGCTTTGAAATGCGCCAACGAACCGAGTCAAATGCTCTGGGATAAGGGGTTTCCACAGGAGGGTTTTCCAGGGGGGAGGTTCTCCACAGATGCAGCCTTTGTGCTGTGGCAGCATTTCACCATTTCCCATTCGAGTTTTCGAGGCATTCGACAACTTCAGCACGCGCAATTGCTTCCGCAACTTGAAAACGTTCCACGGACCGTTTGATGGTCTCCGGGAACAACTCTGCTCGGAGCCACAGCCAGAGCCAGGCCGGTGCCGGAGTCGGAGTTCGGGCGTAAACAACACACAAACCTTCCTTCAACCGGTGCAAATGCAACAGCAGCAGAAGGGCGAGAGGGCTGTTTTCTTACACATCAGACACGGTCTGGGCTTTGGGCTTTTTGCCTCCTCCCGACTGCATAAAAAACGAAACGAAATGAAAAATACAAAAAATGAAACGGGAAAGAGGAAAGAGGAAAGAGGAGGGGAGGCGAGGCGGGCGGGCAAACATATGCAAACAAAGGCTTCCTGAGAGAGCATGGGCCTGGCGTCGCCTGGAAACCCCGTAACCAAACCGAAACCCTTACCCTCCTTCCGCCGCTCGGCTACATATAATTCTTATTTTGATAGCCGGCAAAATACAATCGAAGTATACAAAATATATAAATTACAAGCTAAAAAGGTAACCCAAACAAAGACCGCTTCCCGGGGCGAGTACAATGTAAGAGATGCAAACAAACAAGCCGCGAGCGGTTCGACCCCTGTTCAGGATCGGGATCGGGATCCCTCTTCTAAGCAACCCCTAACCCTAGCTCCTGGTCCCGCCCAGGGTTGAGGAATGGAAACCCCCTCCCTAAGCATAGACTTCCGTTCTTTTTTGGCAGGGTGTCGACAACGCGACCCATGTCCATGCCAATTTGTGCGTTGCCAGGCAAATCGATTGGTTTTTTACGCCATTCAATGGCCATTGAGCAAACACAGACATGCACCTGGCGCACCTGAAAGTTATCTATGGGGCATATATGCATATGCTGGGCTGTCATAATAAACCTCACCTTGGCCCGGCCCCACAAATTGTTGTTATGCAAAGAAAGCAAAAATTAAATTTCCATTTTTTGCTGAATCTCTTCTCTCAACCGGCGACGACGACGACCACGACAGCTGTCGACATCTGGGTTATTGTTGTCTGATTCTCTCTCTTTTCAGACAGAGCCGGAAGCCAGGCATCTTTCAGATACTTATCTGATCGAGGAGGGATCTCTGATCGCGAGGATCAGGCTAAATTAACTTTAATTGTTCAATTATGCGAGTACACTCGCTCGGGATCACTTCGGGGTGTCTGCACACGCTCTATATGGGGACTCTATGGGTCCGGTACTTTAGTACTACGACTCCCCTGCTTAAAAAGCTTGATTAACCTTTCATGCAAATTGTTGGAAAATTGCGAATTAGACTCAAGTGAGCGTGATCTCTGAAGTATTCCAATTTCGCCAAAAGAAGGGTGCAAAATGCTAATGTTTATAATATTTACACACAAACATTTCGATGCGCAATTGATGCTCAACTCGAGATCTCAACAGGCCGTATACGAAATTAGTTACCCTCGATTTTATGTTGATTTATAATGAAAAACATTCCTGGGATGCCAGAGAGGAAGCAGAAGCAGCTGGGGCGAATATTTGCAAGCAATTAGGTTTGGCACACTCGCAATTAGAGGAGTGAGCGTCCAAGTCCTTTGATGATTATTTGTTTGTCCTGCTGCTGCTGCTGCTACTACTTCTGTTTCCTCTTCCTGTTGCAAGCTTGCCTGCATTGTTTATGGCCGTTGCAAAGTCAAAAGCAGAAGCAAAAGCAAAAAGCAAAGGCATAAGCGGCATAGTGAGAACGGGAACGATAAACGCCAATGACGTACTTACCGAACGCGGTGTGGCAAAAACCTGTTTGTAAATGTTGGTTGCTGGGGCAACGACCACTTGGTCAACATGGAACGCCATGAGCCGCCAACTGGCGGCTTTCAGTCAGCCAGCAAAATGCAGAGAGTCGGAGATATAACAGCCCTTTGTGGCAGTTACTCAGCCTGAAGTAATAACTTGTTAGTTGATAGCTCAAATGGCCAGCTAAATCGTCCCAGTTTCCTACCAATTTACATCAACTAATCGGAGACCAGGAAAAGGGAGATTAAATAAATAAATATACAGTAATATTTCATATTATACAAATGTATTCTAAATTTCTTGCCGTGCATCAATGAATCCTTTCACACTTTGAATACATTTTCTCTTTCTGTGTGTGGCGGCAATTCCCCTATTTATTTAGCACTTTTAGCTGCATGTTTCACCTTCAACGACAGCAGACCGGCTTTTTAATCCTTATCACACTCACTTTCTCACACAAAGGACACGCGGCTTTCGCTCCAAGCCCAAACCGTAGCCACCCCTCCTGCTCCTGCTCCTGCTCTTTGTTTGTCCTGGGACTTTGCCAATATTTATTTAGGCACTCGGCTCACAAGGGATTTACGTCGGTCAGCCTTCTTGCTCCGCCAGCTTATCCATTTCTTTTTTTGGCATAATTGCTATTTTAATAGTTTTCTTTTCAATCCAATCCCTGATTTATGAGTCTCTTCTCTCGCCGACAAGTACAGTCTGCACTCGTCGGCAATTGAGTTTCCCTGGGAAGGAGGAAGAGCAGCAGAGTGTGGAGTGGAGTGGAGTGTAATCCAATAAATGGCATGCCAGGCGGCATAACTCTCGGCCAGCTATAATGTACTACTCGACGGAGAAAATCACTTTTGAAAAGTCAACAACACACAGCGTCTGTGGCTTTGTCTGTCGGTGGGTGGTTCCTGGTTCTTCCTCTGGCGTTGGAGGTGGAGGTGAAGGTGGGTGGCCTTGCTCTGGGTGGTGGCTGCCTTCATGTCACATTCTGTGCGGTTTCAAGGCGAAGGCAAAGGCGAAGCGTTACCCACCAAAGTGGGTGCATTCACATGTCTCAAGAGCTTGTTATATGCTCGATATATACGTTCGGATCTGTGTGTGCGCGCCGAGAGAAGCCCTCGGTTCATGTTGATGTTCCTTGATGAGTTTGGGTGACAAAACAGGAAGAGGCGACAAATTTGCAAAGGCATGCAATTTTTCCACACAATGTTAGGAGTGGGGAGGAACTGCAGAAGCTTCTAAGGCAGTATATACCAGGTGTTCTTTGGGCAATCAAAGTGGATACAGTAGGGTATTCCTATTATTATGGGTTTAATCAACTCCAAACACTTGACTCCTGGT